AAAACAGTAAAAAAAAACAAACAAACAAACAATATTGCTGGAGTATCTGTAAATCTTTAGTGTGCCCTTATCTGCAAACTGTATCTCAAGCTGGTTTAATATTGGGCTGTGACTGGAACAATTAGAGTAAAGAAACCTCTAAAAAACTTTTGCTACTTTTGAATTTAGGTCAGGGTCAGCCATGAATACACAGCCATTCCGCACGCCGACAAATATGTTCTCAATAGCAAACACGTTTCATTTTAGGCTGTCCAAGGACATGCTACAGGTGTTCACACTCCACACTTCATACAAAGGATTCTGTACAGTGCCAGAAAAGGATTTTAACTTCTAGCAATAGTAGAACCCTATTTGGTGCTGTATAGAACCATTTTTAAAAAAGCATTCTGTAAAGAACCATAAACAGGTTTTCCAGCATAGAGAAAGAACTACTAAACCAGGTAAAGAACCATTTATGCATTTAGATGCATAAAAAGTGTTCATGGTTCTATTCAAAACCATTGCCTTTACTAAAGAACCCTTGAAGAAGAGTGTCTGTTGCATCATGCAACATGTTTTTGCACAACAGGCAATATATGACAATATACGGGGTTTTTCCTATTTGCCTGAAGCTGAATCGTACTTTGGTTTTGCTTTTCACAGGACATCACCCCACTCGCCTGACTACACACATTTTTACCACTTAAATAATACTAACCCTTGTGTGGTGTTCAGGTCTGGGGCACCCATTTTCAATGTTTATCAAAAGAAAAAATGATTATTTTATTTTATTATTATAGGAAAAATGTATGATTATTTCAACCTCAGATTTCTTGGCCTTTGCAAATTGTCTGTGAAGACTATATATAATAACACATTTTCAGTGACTCCACACTGTTCACCCCCCACACATTTATATTACACATATATTACATTTATTATACTCTGTTCTCCTCCTACATGGCCTGCTGTTAGTGTGTGTGTGTGTCTGTGTATGTGTTTGTATATGAGTGTGAGAGTGGACAACATGGACAGGCTGCTGATTGGCTACAGCTGCTAAAGGCCACTTGTGATATTTTAAACATCTGGTATTTTTACATAAATTGTTATGGCTGTATTGATTTAAAAAAACAGTAACATGGTTTGTTACTCAGACCACTGAGTAACAAACACATCAACACCACACAAGAGTTAATTAGCTGAGGAATGGTAAGCTATTACACTTATTTGCAGATGTGTCTTCTTATCAGTTTTTAAGTCAGGAATTGTTTACACTGAGAACCAGACAATCATATAATAAAAAGGACTGAATTAAAAAAAAAACAATTATTTTAAATTATTTTAACTATTTTTTTATAGGCATACAGTTATGTGGTTAAATGACTCCTAGTCATACGTCTGGTGTAAACCTCACAAAAATATAATGTGAAAAAAGTTGATCAGTGTATACAGCTGAATGCAGAGGTTTGATCTGGTCAGAAGACATTTTTTGTTGTTTTTCTAAGTGAAAATATTAACACATCCTCTTCAGAGAATATACTTAAATATGATATTTTTCTAGAATTTTCTAGAATTTTTCAATAGTTTTTTTCCAATTTGGAAAAAAAAATGTCCCACAACTGTTGCAAATGTTATAATTTACCTATTTTTTCCAGTATGTTAAACTGACCATATAAACAGTAATTGTTCATTATAGTGCCACAGCAATTCAACAAAATCAATAAAACTAAGTAATTTTGCATCACTATAAATCATGGATTCATCAGTGGTTGAAACCCACATGTTTAACATGTTTGCCAACAACAGTCCGTCCACATATCCAGCTAATGTCATCAGTAATAATGACACAAATACTGAACTAAAGTTCAGCTCACTTTTATAAGGCTGTAAACTCTTTACTGCAGGATCTGTCTTCATTAAAGCATTTGACTGTCCTTACAGTCTGCTTCAGCACAACAAAGAGAGCATTTTAAACAGACAAAAAATCTCTGGACCGACTGAAATGCAATCAAATACACAAACTCTGACGTTAACTAAGTCATCTTAAATTTCATGGGAAGTTTTTGTTCTCTCAAACATGTTTATCTTTTGTTTTACATGAGAACGAAAAACAGAGTAAGTGTTGATTAAAGGAACACACGTCCAATAAAAACAGACTGAGAAAAGTGCAACAACACCCGACTGAACCATTTCATTTAATCCGTCCTCAGTGTTTGTATATAGTGATAACAAACTTTTACAGCTAATGCAGAAGTACTTAAAGTGAAATGCAAAAGTTTGAAGACCCCCAGTCGAATTATATGAATTACACTCAAATATTGCATTTCCTGCACATTTTAATGCACAATTTCAGTTTATTTTCCAAGTTTAACTAATTTTATTTATGAATAAACAAAACACAAAATGTGCTGTAACTTTTGCACAGGCCAAATTCCACAAATAAACCGTAATTGTGAAAATCAACGAAAACATGTCATTTGATTGGGATGCACACATTTTTATATGCAACTGTATGATAAAACATATTAATAAATAAAATGTGCACTAGCTAAATGTGTATAGCACCTTTAACACTGTAGCAACCCTCTACTGGATGGCGATACCTCCGAGAAGCTCTGGAGGCATGACCATGTGAGTGGCCAAGCACAGAGGCTCACGGGAGCCTTGTGTCCTCCTAAAAAGGGACTTTAATGTTGGTTTAATGTTGTTTGTTAGTGTAAAGATGTGTGTTATTTGTGGTTCATTGTGCCTGGGGGTGTAGGTGTTTTGTGTTGTGAGTTAGTCACCATTAGGGTACAGCCTGTGACTAGTGGTGACCTCCCCTACAAGATCAGTGCTTTGTATGTGCCTTTCTGCCCTAGTGTTTAATGAAAAAGCACTTCTCATGGTCGAATCATGACCTCCCCTGTGTCTTACTCTAGGTTGACATTGGTGTCAGAAGTGGGATAGCACCCCCCCCCCAACACCTGTTAGGTTTTACTATTTGTATATGTGATAGTGAGCATGTTGTACAAAATAAAATATTAATTTACCATCATTTACTTTTAGAATATTCATTTTGTCATTTATTTAGTCATAAATATATGTTGAAAAGGTAACTTTCTGGTGATTGTGTACTAAACTATATAAACTGTATAATTCTCTCAGATCAGTTTTGATTATTTCAGTTCAAAATGTGGAAAAAAAAACATACATTCCAAATGTATTTATCGAATATATTTTTGCATTATATGAAAATGGCAAAAAAAATTAAGCATTTGTTAAACATAGTTTTAAAATGCATTTATTTGTATTTGTTATTATATTTTTCCAATTGCATGTAGTTTCAGCTAAGTTTACAGATAGAACTAAATATACATGAACTGAATGAATAGTACTGACTTCTGTGTTTTGCTTTGTTCTTTGCATTAACCATGTACATATGCAGTAAGACACTCACACAAAATGTATTTCAAATAAACAAGATATCAAATCATAACTGCATTTTCACTCTGTATCAATACCTACAACTCTTCCTTTTGTCATGGTAAAGGTTCATTTGCTAATATTTAAAAGTCAAATACTGGAATACAAATTAATTTCAAAAGGCACCCGGACAGTAAAGTGCATTATACAGTATTTTAGCTATTTTCATACATTTTAAATGTATTTGATAAATATATTTACATATAACTATTTTTATATGGTGCATTTCTGTGTGTAATTTTTCCCCATACATTTTAGAATAAATGCATTTTAAAATATATTTGGTTAATATAGTAATATATTCTGAAAAGCATTTTAGTGTTGGGAACGTATTAAAGAATGGACTGCAATGTACTTCAAATAGAAAAAAATGTCCATGTATTTTTCTTCCACATGGGTGCACAGCCTTGTTTATCAAGGGCCCAGATGAATGACAGAAACGCATTAGTTTGTCTCCCTAAAGTTTGACACGAGATGGCGCTACAGGACAATAATTTACTGCTGCGGTTAACAGACTGTGACTGAATGACCGATCCACCTAGCGAAGAAAAAAAGCCACAGATACTGTAAAAGCCTAGTTTACCTGGTGTACATTATTTGGGCATTATTTGGTTCCACAAATCCACGTTATACATAATGTCCTGTCTTGCTTATACACGTACAAATAATCACTTGCTTATTATATCATAGACCCATAAAGGACCGTGACGTGTGGACAAAACAACTCCAGAAGTGACCCCTTTTTTATAGCTGGTCAGCATCTGGCTAGGACTTCAGCTCAAATATGGATCAATTTTAATTGATACAGGAAACAAACTAACACAGTAAGTAAGAGAAGACACTTGGGGAAATATGCATAAATAATGTACATGATGTAATGAACAATAAATATGCTCATATGCTCTCTATTATAAACAACCGGCTTTTATGCTGCAAAATAAAATAAAAAACTGCGATTAGCGATGTAACTTTTTGAAACTCAGAACTTAAAATTGGCAGATATATAATTATCAGATTATCAGACAAAAATCAGATTTTAAATTAAAAAAAAAAAATAAAGAAACAAAAACCTATCAATACTGCGACTCACCCAAAACTTTTCACATTGATTCCAACTTCGATGTCTTTTAATTTGAATTGTGCAGTCTCTCTGGCTTTTATTTTGTCGTGCTGTTTTCAGCAACCGTTGCTTGTGTCACGTGATCTTGAGCATTTTTCACAGTTTTTTTTAACACTTTTCCATTTTTCAGAATTTTTAGCTTTAGTTTTTCAATTTACATCTCCATATATTTTAGTTATTATTATTATTATTATTATTATTATTATAGTAAAGATAAAAAAAATGATCTGGACATTTTTCGATTTTTTTCGTCCTGCCCACGGTGTCGCCGACCAATCAGAGGCAGCGAGGTATTAAACGCGTTTTCGTCATGCAAGGGAATCCTCACAGCCAATCGGAGACAAGGACCGGAGTCGATCCGACCAATCAGACACGGAGATACGTTAAATGCATTTAAAAGGGGGATTTTTGAAACTAAACAGCTTCACTCAAGTGAGATCGGGGGGAGAGACGTGGAGGGCCTGATTAGCAGCGTTATAAACTCAGTTCTCTTACGTTGGTTGGCTCTAACGTTACGTATCTGGTTGTTAAATAGAGTTTATCTCCGCTGCGAGGGAGTCTGGGCCTTTTGTTTCAGTTTATTTTAGTTTCTGGATCGAGGATTAGCCGCTTCTGCGGTAGCGGAGACAGACACTGCGGTGGAGCTTGGTGACTGAGGTGATGCTCTTCAGGACAAACTAGCTGGGCTTCTGCGCTACTGAGTGGTATTCTCTAACGCAGTTTACGGAAAGTACTGAGGGTGTATGTTTCTTTTCATTTAAAGTTGTTTCGTCAGATTATTGGCTGCGTTAGTTTAGCTATCAGTGGATAAAAACCGGGGTTAGTATGGCTAAAGCAGGGTTAGCTTTCCGGCTAACAGGCTAACGCTGGTGCTGGCGTTTCTTCCTAGTTAGCCAGCTAAACTAGCTAACCGAGCAGAAAGAGCTGATCGATATTCCCGTTAAATAAGCCCTTATAATCCTGCATAACGCTCTGTTTCGTTCTAAATATAGGCTAAAGTTGACTCTTTGGCTATAAATAAGATCCGTTTAGGCTGATGGGTGTCTCACGTTAGCTATTGAGGGTTAAAGGCGACAAGTTGGCTTTCTAGTTACCTCCAAATACATAGATACATTTTCCTGACTGTTACGATGTAAACGTAAGGTTGATATTGGATATCTGGCTATAAATAATGCTTAATGTTGATTTTCTAGCTTTAGTGGTGTAACTGCACTCTTAAAAGTGGTTCTTCCAGATTGATGGAGAATCTTATATATGGTTCTGTATAGCACCAAAAGGGTTCTTCTATTTTTATAAGCTTGACATCATAGCAATAGAAGAACCCATTTTGGTGCTGTATAGAACCACATACAGCACATTCTCCATCAATCTGAAGAACTACTTCGCCATGCGAAGAGCTATTTAAGCATGAAGTGGTTCTAAATAGAGCTATTTTATTAGTAAAGAACCCTTGAAGAACCTTTTTTGTGAGGATGTAGGTTATATAACTCTTGGTATACAATATCTAAGTACACTCAAAGTAAGTTTAGGTAGCTGAGTTAACTAGCTAAAGGAGTTCAATGTGGGTTAAACTCATTGAAATGTTTTATAACATGCCTTTCATGCTTGTTCTCTTTTAGGATATGGATCCTGCTGTTAAAATCAGATCCTCTAAAGACCAGATCATTCGGAAGGCAGACAGTGAAAAGGTAAATGGTGTAGTCCAGTGTTACAATACTCAGTGAAATGTGTCTGTGGTCAACATCAAATGGGCTTAAAGGGGCATTCTGGCCTACCAGCATTTAATATTTTAATGTATTGGTCTTCTGTGGTGCCGCATTGCACCCCTCAGCCACACTGGCTGGACAGAATTTACATGTGTCGCTTTTGTGTTTTTCATTATCAGTGTTCTCTCACTACATTACACAAACACGAGAGACGAGCTATGATGGTCAACAAATCTTGACTGATAGCCACTGATTTAGATACTAATAAATACATCTGTGGTGCTTGCTAACTTTAGTGGTCTAGCATTAGCATCATTTTGTTTAACTTTTTTGCTATTCCCCAGTTTCAGTACTGGTTTTAACAAGACCTCTACATTTCCTCTCAGGGTAATCCCCGGCGCCATCTTAAGGGTTCCATTACTTTATTAGCTGAATAAAGGGTGGTAGAAGAGCCCTCAGAGGGCTGATGGATGGACACCAGTGTCTGCTTCGGCAGCAGAACTTGCCCAGTAATCATTGCAACCAAATGCGTTTCCCTTTTCAAACCCTCAAAAAATGATGGGCAAGCTGTGTACAGGCTACAGCAATAAAATACTTTAAAATCCCCAACATTTCAAACCCATAACATTCAATTTTTCTCTGCTAGCCGGCTCATTGGTGTACTTTAGGCTACACTGCTGACAATAATAAAAGGAAAGGCACTACTCACTGGTTCTACTCCAATTTTATAGCCAGACAAAGCAATTACTTGCACAATATGTACATTATTCTCTAACAACTAAGGTTTCGCAGTGCAAAGTTTGCATGGCTAGCCAGTTAGTTCACTAAGGCCAATCTGCCATGTACAAATGTGTTCTGTTTGAATAATCCACTCCTCGCTCTTCTGCCACAAGTGGCCGCTTGTCTAACAGCGGTGGGACCCACATCTGAATGGTGGGGTGAACTGGGTGAGGGCCAGTTTGAATATGGATTTGAAATCAGGCCTTTGTTAAAGGAGTGATTCAGGTAAAAAGTTTATCCAGCTCTTGAATATTTCAAACAGCCCGTAACTACATAGCCACCCTAAAACATTTGTAGTTTTACAAAGTTTACTTCAAGATACATGATCAGAATGGGTGGTTTCCTGGTCTGTTAACTAAATCTAGGCGATAGGGTGATGTAAACAGATATCATTGATGATGGAAAGTAACCCATTGGCGAAGTGTAAAAGGCGATAAGAGCTAAGAGAGAATTGGAGAGGGCTAATTTACCCTTAAGCAGCTTGCAAAATATGTTGAGAAACTATGGCCCATGTTTAAGTAGTATGTGGGCTCAGGCTATATTATTGACTAGATAACATTGTGCTAAGTATTTTTAGGTATCGCCCAGACTTGCTATACTGCTGCAAGAAGTGAGCAGGCATGTTTGCAACAGATGGAGTGTTATGTTTTGTCTGTTTGGCGACTGTTCCTGTAATATAACACACGTCTAAACCTTTTAGTTTATAACTAAGGGCTGTTAAGGAAGTAACCACCAGTAAACTTTTAAATGGTATTAAAATAATTACCCTGAATACCTGCAAATCTCTGCCTTTTAATTTAAATGGTCATGTTTCTAAAGAGGCCCTTCTCCCCTCCTTTGTAAAGGTTTTAAGTGAGGGACCGAAGAGGGTTCCTGTGGCACAGGTCTGCCACAAGCCAGTGCCTATGCCGAGTCACACGCACATTCTTGGTGCATCACAAGGGCCACAGCGTGTGCAGCGGCCACGGAGTCAGCATAAGCCAGCGGTCAGCGGGCCTCCTGTGAAAAATGCTTCTAGTGGAAATCAGAATGTCAGCCCAGCTCAGGCTCATCCTGCACCTCAGGCTCAGCCTAAACCTCAGCCACAGAGCCAGCCAAGACCCTGCGCCACCACTGAGCCAGTCAAAGCTGCTGAACCCAGCACACAGGAGAAGCCCAACCGTAAGCATCTCTTGACATGTACAACCTGATTTGCGAGGCATGCCTTGCTCATTCATTACTGTGTACTTTATAGTATAACATACAGCTTGCCACCACATTTGATTCTCATCCATTGCCTGCCATTTTGGCTGAACACAGCAGTGCCATCAGTAATGGATTAAAATGCAGTTTAGTGCTTCAATAGTTGCTATTGTTATATAATGGACATTTGAACATTTTATTTTTTTTTTAAGTCCCATTAAGGACAAGAAATTAGGTAATGTAAAGTCATCTAAGTTTAAGCACATTTAACTCTCTCATTTATGTTGTATTTGCTTGTTTATCTGGTGAATTCTGTTTTTTAAAAAGTCACTCGACCCTGATGATTTTTGCCTGCCTCAAAAACATCTCATCTTTTTGGCTACGTCACCATGCACCAGTGTGTAAGGGACAAATTGTTTCATCTGCTGCTTTATGACCTATTATCAAGCAAAAATGTTCAGCTAGCTTAAAAACCCACGCTTAAAAACCCATTAATGTCCAGGAACACACATGCATTGATTTCCTGTTTATATTGACTATAATGTATGTGCACTTTACAACCCTTTGTTGCTGCTGTAACACTGCATTTTTAGGATTCTTAGTTTCTGTCTGTGTAACTTGAATTGGTTACTGTTTGTGTTGACTGTTTTCTTAGAAAAACCGGTCAGTGGAATCACCATTGCATCCAGTGCTGGAAAGTAAGTAGTTCTGAACACTAATGTGTTTTTGAGTTATAGGGAAAAGTCACAACTAAATCTGTAGCACTGAGAGGTAGAATGGAAAGACATTAACCATTACTAAAGGCAAGTCCTTACTTTCAACATATCAAATGTTGAACTGGCTGGAACGGCTCAGTTTGAAAGTATTTGTTTGTCCAATCTTCTTATCCTCATCTAAACTTTTCATTTTGCTGCAGGAAGCCTTGGAGCTTGGAGAACTTTGATATCGGCCGTGCACTGGGAAAGGGCAAGTTTGGGAGTGTGTACCTGGCCAGGGAGCGACAGACTAAGTTCATCCTGGCCCTGAAAGTGCTGTTTAAAAAGCAGCTGGAGAAAGCTGGTGTGGAACACCAGCTGAGGCGAGAGGTGGAGATCCAGTCTCATCTCAGGTGTGTTGCTTAAACATGTGCTTCAAATAAGGTTGTGCAGCAGTATCTTTTACTGATCGGTCAGTTCTATTCATGTTGACTTCTGCACACCTTGTAAATTGTATTTACCTTACCTGTTAGGGTAGCTTTTATGTATTTTTTTTTTTATTTATTTATTTTGCATATCATATGTATGGTTGATTCTCATGCAGGTAAAGGGCTAATAAATGTTTACATTTATTATTTATTATATTTATTTAGTGAACATTTCTCTCTTCCCAAGCAGTGGCAGACTTTTGCCATGATTCTCAGCCCAGAGTCAATCAGAAAATGCAATGCATAAAGGACGTTGCTTTTGATCAGAAAACATGCCAAATTGAAAATTATTTCTCGTGATCTTCACTCTTTTGAAAATGTTTGCCTTAAGATCTGGCAGACAGTACTCTGAATACAACACCTTTAGTCTGATTCTAAGTAAGACTCGTGTCTATAGTGACTTGTACTACAGGAAACTTGATTTTAACGTCTTCCTTCTCTCCTGGCGTTTCCTTCATGCTGTTGGCCCAAGCAGGCATCCAAACATCCTGCGTTTGTACGGCTACTTCCACGACTCGGCACGTGTGTATCTCATCCTGGAGTTTGCCCCCAAAGGGGAACTGTACGGAGAACTGCAGCGCTGCGGGACGTTTGACGACCAGCGCAGCGCCACTGTGAGCAAGTTTTCCATTACTCTACAGCTAATACCAGTTAGACTGCAAAATGAACTGATTCTACTTTGAAATATAATGTTTTTAACAGTATGTATTTGGTCACCAAAAAACATTTGTGTAAAGGTGTTTGGGGGGTGGGGGGGGTGTTCTATCTAGATTTGATAATACATGACTCTACCAAAAGTGCTGATACACATGTTCAGTACAAAGCATGCAATATTATTGTATTAAACTTTCCTTTTAAAGACATGGCATGCCATTAATTTGTGTTGTCTTGCTATGTTCCTTGTAGATGATGCCCAACAATCTTTTATAGTAACTATATAGTTCATTTTTCCATTGCTGCAGTGTGAATAGTGCATCATTTAAATGCAATTTCAAGTTCATCTGAAAAGTTTTGTTTTTTTGTTTTTTTTTCAGTACATAATGGAGCTGGCTGATGCCCTGAACTATTGCCACTCAAAGAAAGTGATCCACAGGGACATTAAACCTGAGAATCTATTGCTAGGGGCCAATGGTGAGCTGAAGATTGCTGACTTTGGATGGTCGGTCCACACACCATCCTCCAGGTATACCTGATTTGCAATACGTCAAGAGCTAAACTTTTTTTTTTTTTATTACCAACCATTAGACTGCTGTACCACTTGGATCTGTTTGGACACGGGTGTTTTTTTTTGAGAATGGGTAAAAGGGCTGTCTTTCCTCTCTACTTGAATCATCAGAGATCCTGTAAGTGTAGCTCAAAGCCACCATGTCGCAGATCTCATAATTGCTCATTATCATGGTCAAGGTTAAATACCAGGACAAGGATCTGACGTTAATGAAATTAGTTTGAATGGGATCAAGATCACAACCATGCTGGAAACCTTTTATCTTTACTGTGTTAGGGGTAGATCTTGTCACAGCATTTGTGGCTGCCTCTGCCTGCTGCAATAATTTAGCGGTATTGGAATTAAATGAAACGGTGGTTCCCTGGTGCTGTAGCTCCTGTAGTTCCCCTGTGCTGCATGTTGGGTGCTTTCCAGGCTTTAAATGACCATATCCAACTATTCGGCTCATTAACAAGCCTTTCCTGAGTTGAGGTGTGTTGAAGTAAGAGAAATATTCAAATGTGTAGATAATAGTCCAGAATGAAAGAACCACTGAAATAAGTTAATGTTTTGGTTGTTTTTATTCTCTAGGAGGTCGACGCTGTGCGGCACCCTGGACTACCTTCCTCCAGAGATGATAGAGGGGAAAACCCATGATGAGAAAGTAGATCTCTGGAGTTTAGGAGTGCTCTGCTACGAGTTTCTGGTTGGACGTCCACCCTTTGAAACAAAGAGCCATGAAGAAACCTACCGGAAGATCTCTAGGGTAAGTGTGTGGGAGACAATAACTGTCTGTAAAACTTTCTAGCTTACATTAAACCATATTTTTGGATGTTTATAGGAATGGGCAGAGCTAAACTGCTGTAGGTGGAAAGGGTGGATATATGAGATATATGTAAATGTGCTGGTTTTCATGACCTCATGGTGCATTCAAATTTTTTTTTTGAATTCAGTTTAGTTTCTATAGGGACCATTCTACCAAATTAGTTTAAGCTGTTTCCCCAGTAAAAATAATTCTAGTTAAAAAAACAGAAACAATTATTCAGACCTTATTTACAAGGCTTGTGATCTGCTTAAATTAATTGAGTAGTTATTTACACACACACACACACACACACACACAATTATTTTTAGGGCACTTTCTATTGGGACTTGGCTTTTCCAAACCCTAAGTCCTAAAATTTAAACTTTTGGAAATAATACTTGGGGTAAGTGAAGTTGTAAGATTTAGATTTACCAGGATTTATCAAGAAACATTGTGCATGTGTTAAAATGGCTGTGTAATCAGATAATACGGGTGCTACACAGGCCTGCCTGCCGTCCAGAACTGTCTCTCATTAAAAATGTCTTTCTGATTAAGCTCAATATACAACAAAGGATTTGTATGGTTGCACAGCTGAAGACTAACAGAAGAATGGCAAAAAATGCTTTCAAATCTGGATCAATGTGTCTTCAGTCCCCAAAATTATTAATAGAAAAGGTGATGTAACACAGTGGTAAACATGCTCCTGTCCCAGCGTTTTTAGAGCATGTTGCAGGCATCATTTGGAATGAGCATATTTTCCAAAAACAATGAAAGTAAAATGAAGGTAAAACATCAAATATTGTTTCATAGCATTTCATATAGTGTCCCAACTTTATTGAAATTGGGGTTGTAGCCTTGTGTTTTTTGTAAAACAAATAATGCAGTAATAAACTTAGTCATGTACTAAAAACATGGAGTAAAAGGGCTAAAAAGATTAGCCTAAATGCTGATGTACCTCTGATTTAATTTTGGTATGGAAACCCCAGAAGCCTTAAAGTGCACAAGTTTTGTAAATGCATATTTATCAAGTTCTCTGCTGCCCACTTTTGAGATCTACCGCTCAACATTTGGATGCTCCTTTCCAAAACTTTCATTGCTTATTTTGCTTGCATTGCTTATTCATTGCTTGTTTTGAAAAAAATGCTCAACAGTCTCTGGATTTCTGTGCCTGCGCAGGTTGAGTTCACCTATCCGGCCCATGTGAGTGAAGGGAGCAGAGATTTGATCAACAAGCTACTGAAACACAACCCCATGCACAGGCTTCCCATCCAGGGAGTACTGAGCCACTACTGGGTTGTGGAATACTCCACCAAAAAGCCCACCACTTTGACACCAGCTCCTACGGCTGGACAGTGAGGAGGGTGCCGTTTGTTTGCCGCTTGTGATTGCAGCTGCTGTGGAGAAACTGAAACTGTGGATTATTGCTGACTTTTGGCAGGAATCCTGAGCCTGGCTGCCTTTTTTCTCTCCCCTCACATGCTTTTGGGAATACCATCTGCGTTTGTCATCTTCCTTCTTGTGCCAGTCTCGTCTTAGCGTTTCCCTCTCGTTTTGTAAATATTTAACTGTTCACAATTATGAAATGTAATATTTTACCTGTTATTACTTGAAACAATAAACATTAAGTATCGTTGAAATCGTTGACTACAATCAGGGAGATCATTTCAACACTTTTGGCTACAAAAGTCTTATGGTGTTTGCTCAGTTAAATCTCTGCAAACTTAATTGTAATGGAAGTAAATGGCAGGTTGGAGCCTTTTCAAATATTCAGTGTTCTTTCCCCAGATAAGTGCAATATGTGAATGTGGTCTGCTTGGGCCAGGTGCTTTTTGGGGTGTTGTGTGGTTTTTATTATTTGGCTTTATGCATCAAACTTTATTGCCACTCTTAATAAAAAGAAAATGATGCTCTGAAGCCTCCTAAATGTTTCTCAGCTGCGTTTCTGCATAATAACATTTTTCATGCTGTTCATTCACGTTGTGATCATCTACTTTTTTGATTTGTGAAATGTACTGAGATTTGTACCTTATTGATTTTGCTTAGAAGTAACAGTAGTTAGTTTATAGTGAAGAAATGGAAGAGTTTCTGTCCTGAGTGATGCTTTATTTTTCATGGAAATGTGCCGTTATATTGTGCACTGTATTGAGAATGTCACCAGATAAAGCATGAGAATGTTTTAGTTCACGAAAGTGGCAACACATCAGTGTACAAGTTTCATATCGCTGCTGACGGGACAAAACCTTGTATCTCAGTTTGTCATTTTTCAGTTTGACATAATTTGAAAATGCCTGTTGTCCTTTTACATTGTGTGTAAATTTCATGATGAATGGACCAAAAGAAACGGCCAAAAATGACACAGTGGGGAAAAGTCTGGTCCCATTGGCTCATATTAAAAGCAAAGAAGTGTTTTTTTTCTCTCTCTCTCCTTCTCCTTCTGTAAATTTACCATTTTGGAGATACAAGGTTTTCTTCCGACAACAGTATCCACACTTGGCCACAGTCAGTGTGAGTGAACTGAGTAATGCTGTCAAGTTCAAAGGTTTGCTTTCATATACCATGTGGCACAGGTCACATTAACCCTTGTGTGGCGTTGATGTTTTTATTACTCGGTGGTCTGGCGGACCCACCACATTATTGTTTTTTAAATCAATACAGCCATAAGTGTAGGGTTCTCCTTTAGCAGCTGTAGCCAGTCAGCAGCCAGGCCATGTAGGAGGAGAACAGAGTTAAGGGACCCAGCACCTCCACACTTTTATTACCTGTGGGTTCACCCAACACCACATGTGTAATATATGTAGGGGTTTACATTTTACAGAAGATGAGCAAAGGCCAAGGAAGCTGAGGTTGAAATGATCTTAAATCACATAATTTTTTCTTTTGATAAACATTGAAAATGAGTCCCACAGACCTGAACACCACATAAGGGTTAATGAAAACCAGTTTTAGGGGGGGGGAGGTACGAAAAAGCCCATCTACCCAAGTGTTAAAAGAATTGTTTGGCAAAAATTGAATTTTTACAATTTGTCCCTCTACTCTGAAGTAGTTTGTCAGCCAAGACCAGTCAGATGTCCACAAATGGGCAAAAGTTTAGGCTTTACTGTGGTTATTTCCGCTGTTTTTACTGTATTGTGTTTAGCTATGCGACACATTTGTCCATTTCTTTAAACAACAGTGTCAGAAACCACAAAAGCGAGTCTGTTCAAGACCTCGTAAAACAGCTTGTAGCGAGTGTGAGATGTGGGCCTGCAGTTTTTGCTGTGCTAATTAATTATTGGTAGCTGCTTGCTTGTTAGTAGAGGTGGGTAGTAACCAAGTACACTTTTAAAAAAAGATGGTTCTTCTGGGGTTCTTTAGTAAAGAAAATGGTCCTATACAGAACCATGAACACTCAAAGAACCCTTTGCATGATTAAAAGATTTGTGTCATGAAAGCATTTTTCAGATTGATGGAGAATGTTCTGTAGATGGTTCTATATAGAACCTTTTTGAAAAGGGTTATAACACCAAAAAGGGTTCTTTTGTTACAAGCTTGACAATAGAAGAACCCTTTTTAATGCTATATAGAATCAATCTATAGAAATATTTCCCAATGCAAAGACCCCTTTAATCATGCAAAGGGTATTTTGAGTGTACTTGGTTCTATGTAGAACCAATTTCTTTATTAAAGAACCCTTGAAGAACCATCTTCTTTAAGTGTGTACACTGACTCGAGTACCGGTGCTTAAGTAAAACATTAATGGATTTGTACTCTTGAGTATTTTTAAGCCACAACACTTGTACTCGAGTATATCAGTGAGTAAAGGAATCTACTTTTCTATGTTTTTGCCATTTATATTTAGTCACTAGTTACTTTTTTGGGTTTAATTTCATGATGTTTTATTGGTAACGGCATCTGTACTGCTTGTGATTAGTCACAGCTCTGACTTTGGAGCTTTAGCATTTTATTTTAGGCCGTACGAATAAGAAAAAGAGTAGAATCGAGCTGTACAAACTTCAGTCGTGCTGGTAAATGCTGGATTTAGTAATTAGTTCCACTGCACTTCTATGAGTTACTACTTAAGTTGATTTTTTGACCTGATACTTTTGTGCTTCAGTTGTTTTCTGTCAAGGTACTTTTACTTGTGCCATGTTTTAAAATACTTTTACCTGAGTTCTGAAATAGGCTACTGTACCCACCTCTGCTTGTTAGCCAGGTCTACATTTGCCTCGTAGTTTGAGTACAAAACACACAACTTGTAAAAACTGTTTGATCAGCCTTTTCTGGAACATTCAATCTTTTGCTGAGCTCCTCTTTTAAAATATGTCATTCATTACATCATTAACCCTAAAACAGTCCATGTCATATACAGTATGTAGCTCCTCATTTCCCTCTTCATTGGTCTAAATCTATATGAACCAGTGCCCTGTCCTCCTCTTTGGCTTTGTCTTTACTGGCTGTGTCTGTGATAGTTACTGTGTCCATCACTTTAGTGTTAATATCACTGGCTGGAAGAAATGCTTGTTCAGTTGCTTCCTCCACACTGTCTGAGTCAAACTCAGGTTCCCGGGCCTCTTCATAACTGGCTTGATCTTTGGCTGACAGGGAAAACGCTTCTTGTCCGTCCTCAACGTCGCTCATATCTTGGACTGGGTCCGGTTCTGAACTCAAAGTGAGCTGGTTTGAATCGGTGCTTGTGATAAAATCTGTGAAGTAAAAAACAACATAATCCCATCATTTAATGCATAAACATCCATTAGAAACCCTGCTGAAAAAGTATGCTGGTCTAAACTGGACTCTTAAAACAGATGGTTCTTCAAGGGTTCTTTAGTAAAGACAATGATTCAACCATGAACATTCAAAGAACCATTTGCATGCTTAAAATGTTCTTTGCATTATGAAATGGTTCTTTAGATTGATGGACAATGTGTTGCATGTGGTTTTAAAAAGGGTCCATCTATTGTTACAAGCTTGACATTGTCACAGTAGCAGAACCCTTTAGTGCTATATAGGACCATTTTCAAAAATGTTCTATATAGAACCATATAGAACACATTCTCAATCAATCTGAGGAGCCCTTTTACAATGCAAAGAACCCATTAAGCATGCAAATGGTTCTGTAAGTGTTCATGGTTCTATATAGAGTCATTGTCTTTACTAAAGAACCTTATTACACCTTATTAGAAGCCCCTCACTTGTAGCTCCACCTGGCTGCTGTACAGAAACTGTAGCCCATCTGTTGATGCACAGTTTGTGTTAGCCATCCTCTAGCCCTTCATCAGTGGTCAGTTTCAGACCACAGAGCCACTCGTGACTGGATATTTTTGGGTGGTGGTCCACTCTCCACCTAGCAGTGACGCTGATGTTGGAAAAACCTTAGGAGCACCGTTGTGTTTGATACACTCACTGCTGTGCTGAGAATGATCTACCATCCAAATGATATCTGGTCAACAGAGCTTCGTTGAGCAGAAACTGACCAATGATGAATGGGCCTTCACAAAAAGGATTTATAGTGATAGAATAAGAAACTAAGATTTCTATTATATTTTATTATAATCTATAATATTTTTTCATCAGTATAATGTTCCTGTAGTACTATTTTATAATAAAGCAATAAGCCAGGAGAGGCTGTGTTACTGCAGTTTTATCACGGGGAAGGGTGTTGTTAGGCACAACGCGATGCTGAGTGATAAAATGATAAAATCAAGTGGCTTATTGCTTTTATAAAATGGTGGCCAACATAAAAATATGATGAAGCAAAGTTTTTAGAAAATAATTCATTATTAATAATAATCGACAAAAATAAGTATTCTGCCCAGAAATGTAGTTCCTTGAGTATGGTATCGTTGCCAAGCAACCATGGACCGCTGCATGAGGACAAATACGTTTGGTCACCCATTGCTACTGCGGTCATTTCATGAACCCTTTAACTTTTTTCCATATAGCAATGAATATACGATAACACAGCACTGTTTAATGCAAACCTTCACTTTATAAGAACTTTTTGGTCACCAAATGACCACCGCGAGTCATATATAGTGCCAATCCAGCAGCGCCCCTCTTCTCATGCTGGGGCTGAATCTCAAATGGCTCCCTGCTCCCTACATAGTGCACTACGTAGGAATTGAAATACTGGATCCTGCAGCCCAACAGTGCAAATATAGCTAAGAAACAGTGATTTCGGTTTCAGCCACATCCACTTCCACAACTAGAAGTTCTGAAGTCTCATAGCACACTTTTTAGAAAATATGGAGTCGTTTGGGATTCAGTCTGGGTTTGATGCGACTTCTGACTGAAACACAGACATTTGAAGCGTTTAAGTTATTGAAGTGATGTTCTTTAGACTTTTATACTGCTGTTTTACAGTGAATCATACTGTAAGTACTTTAATTCAAGCCTGTGATATTAATGATGGAGTTGTTTAGGATGTTAGCTATCTTTTAGCCTGTTAGCTAGCTGACCAGCCCAGTTCTAGTAAAGAAAATAAGTTGTGAGTTCTTACTTCATCAATATACTCAGTGGTCAAGAGAGCAGTAACACAGTTAAAGATTATTCCCTTAACAGCACAAAGGTTTTTCGTGACGTGGAACAGTGATACAGAGTTCAGTTGCTGTGAAGCGGTCATGGGTGCCCTTATCAGAGAACTTGTAGAGATGAGAATTACACTCTGTAATGTCTTCTGGGTTTCTCAAACGCTAGAGGGCGCTCCCGAGCGAGTCCAAAATGAATGGGCTAATATGGAGCATTTGAGCAAAATCATAGTTTATAAATGCTTAAACATTTTTAATATAAAATAATACATTAATTTTCTAAACACAGAACAGCATAAAACATTTTAACACTGCTGTTATATTTTTAAGAGCTTTTCAATTCGAGTTATATAAGTTTAAAACGGCATGTCATGTACGTTCATGACGTCAGTAAGCACGAACAGCCAATGAGCTGCTCCGCTCGCCAACCAATCAGCTACTGAGTAGCAGCAACGCCAGTGTTCTGCTGCCCAAAACCCGCTTGCTGTAAAAAATAAGGAAATGTACTGGTACGTTTTCTTTATTTTTTTAGTGAAATACATCCTTCTACCTTCGTAAATTAAAGGAAAGTTCTGGGCGAGTGATTAGAAACTATTTCAACATTTCATTTTTAGCCATTTAACTACATTCAATGCCATTCATTGAACACCCTCTGGCGTTTAACAGTCATGTTTTTGATGTAATGGGGGAAATAAGAAGAGGCCAAGCTCCTCATATCTCGGCTCTGCACTTATATCATGCATTTGTTATGAATGTTATGAATGCTGCTCAGCCAATCAGATTTTAGGACCGGAACTATAACGTTTTATAATAATATTTAATCTTGTGGTAAACTATGGTAATGACCGTAATTCCTGTCAGTAAGATATTAATATGAATCCTGTAGAAATTACTATAGATCTTTTTCATAAAGGGGGTAGAGGGCAGCCGATATATCTTCCATGACAACAGATGGGCTACAGTCTGCAACTGCACACCTCTATAGTTTAGTTGACCTGTAATGTAGGTGGACCTCATAAAGTGGACCGCGAACGTAAATCAGTCTCATTCAGTATCGTTACCTGTGTCCTGAGGTTCATCACTGACATCCTCGCGGTCCAGCTGTTCAATCATCTCTGCGTAAATGGGACGGGTTTTGAGCTCAGCAGTGTGCCATTCTGGTGATCCACAATCCGTCTCATCCATTTCATTCTCTTCCTCTGCTGATTCGCTTTCTTTCTCTTTCACTTCTTCACGTGCCTCCTCAGTTTCAGAGACCGCCTCATGGGCCTCGTCCACAGTGGAGCTGCATAGAAGATCCTCTAAGTCTGGACGTTTGTCATCAGAAACAGTAATTGATGGGTCATTTAAAGTAGCAAGGGATTCCACAATGTTTACAACCATGTTTTCCGCAAAAGCTGCAGTCAGGTGGTCTGAAACAGCTGGATCTGAGTCAGCCTCAGTGGTCAAGCCATCTGCATCCTCATTTTGGATAGAATTTCCAGCTGAGGCGAATTCCTCATCGGTATCTTTAGTATTTGTTTCTCGTTCCTCAGCAAAAGTGTCTGGGACAGTGTCTTTTGACTCTTGGACAGTGTGGGAGAGGCCACAGGTGTTTATCTCTTCTTTCTTTTCTTCCTCAGTTTGTCTTAGTTTGTCGTTTTGCTCTCTTTCTTCTACTGCATCTTCATCGCTAATCTCAACGGCCTTTACTTTGTCCACTTCTTGTTCCTCTGCTGCCCCATTCGCCACTGATTCTGACTTTGCTTGGCTTTCTTGTTCACTCTCCTTCGTTCCATCTTCATCTTCTTTTTCCTCCTCTCCGCCTGCCTCCTCAACTTCCTCCACCTGTTTGTCTTCATCCATTTCTCTCTCGCCTCTCTCCTCAGTGCTCGTCACCTCATTCCTCACCTCCTCGACCACTGCATCCTCCCTTTCCACACTTTTCTCAAGCTCCGTACTGACTGTCTCTAACTGCGATGTTTGGCTTTCGTGCTCTTCCCACTCCTTCCTTTCTGCCTCTTTCTCTTCCTCCATCTGTCTGTCTCCATCCACTTTAGTCCCTCTTTCATCCTCATTGAGCTCTACGTTCTTTGCTTTGTTGTTCACTTCGTTCTTCACTTCCTCATTTGCAGCATCCTCTCTTTCAGCACTTTTCTCAGGTTCTGTCGCTCCCTCTTTCTGCTCCATCTTTCCTTGGCTTTCTCCTTCGCTCTCCCTCTCTTCATCTCCACCCTTATTTCCCTCCGTTCTTGCTGATATCTCCTCCCCCACGATCTGATCTTGTTCTCCATCCTGTTTCTCTCTCTCATCCCTCACACCTTCTCTCATCTCTCCATCTGTTGTTTCCTTCACTCTAGGTGCCTCTTCTTGTCCTTCTTCTCTTTCCTTCCCATCATTCGTCTCATCTTCTCTCTTCTCCTCTGCTGATTCTTCTTCTGTCTCTTTTCTCACTCCATCCTTGCCCTCTCCCACTTCACTCTCCCTTTCTTCTTTATTCTCATCCCTTGCTTTGTCTCCATCAACCCCATCGACAGACATCATAGATGCTTGAGTGGCAGTTTGAGGCTCAAGGTCTTTTTCTTTTTCCTCCAGTTTTTCTTCCTCCCCCTTTTCGTCTCCATCCCTCTCTCCCAACACTTGGCTCTCAACCTTCTCGGCTTTGTTTTCTTCTTCTCTCATCTCTCCATCCTTCCGCTCTCCCAGCATTTCCTCTTCTTCCTCCTGTCTCATCTCTCCATCCTTCCTCTCTCTCATCGTTTTCTCTTCTTCCACCTCTCTCATCTCTCCATCCTTCCCCTCTCTTGCTTCTTCCTCTTCCTTCTCCTCTCTTATCCCTTCATCCTTCCTCCCTCTCACCGTTTCCTCTTCCTCCTCTCTTATCTCTCCTTCATTTCTCTCTCTCATGTTTTCCTCTTCTTCTTCCTCCTGTCTCATCTCTCCATCCTTCCTCTCTCTCACCGTTTCCTCTTCTTCCTCCTCTCTCATCTCTCCATCCTTCCTCTCTCTCACTGTTTCCTCTTCTTCCTCCTCTCTCATCTCTCCATCCTTCCTCTCTCTCACCGTTTCCTCTTCTTTTTCCTCTCTCATCTCTCCATTCTTCCTTTCTCTCGCTGTTTCCTCTTCTTTCTCTTCTCTCACCTCTCCATCCTTCTTCTCTCTTGTCATTTCCTCTTCTTCCTCCTGTCTCATCTCTCCATCCTTCCTCTCTCTCGTCGTTTCCTCTTCTTCCACCTCTCTCATCTCTCCATCCTTCCCCTCTCTTGCTTCTTCCTCTTCCTTCTCCTCTCTTATCCCTCCATCCTTCCCCTCTCTCACCTCTTCCTCCTCTCTTATCTCTCCTTCATTTCTCTCTCTCATGTTTTCCTCTTCTTCTTCCTCCTCTCTCATCTCTCCATCCTTCCTCTCTCTCACCATTTCCTCTTCTTCCTCCTCTCTCATCTCTCCTTCTTTTCTCTCTCTCACATCTTCTTCTCTCTCCTCTCTCATCTCTCCATCCTTCCTCTCTCTCGCCGTTTCCTCTTCTTCCTCCTCTCTCATCTCTCCATCCTTCTCCTCTTTCGCTTTTTCCTCTTCCTCCTCCTCTCTCATCTCTCCATCCTTCTCCTCTCTCGCTTTTTCCTCTTCCTCCTCCTCTCTCATCTCTCCATCCTTCCTCTCTTGCACTTTTTCCTCTTCATTCTCCTTTCTTATCTCTCCACCCTTCCTCTCTTTTGCTTTTTCCTCTTTTTCTTCCTCCTCTCTCATCTCTCCGTCCTTCTCCTCTCTCGCTTTTTCCTCTTCTTCCTCCTTTGTCATCTGTCCTTCTTTTCTCTCTCTCACATCTTCCTCTTCTTCTCTCTCCTCTCTTATCTCTTCATCCTTCTCTCTCACTTTTTCCTTTTCTTCCACCTCTCTTATCTCTCCACTCTTCCTCTCTTCCACTTTTTCCTCTTCTTTCTCCTCTCTCATCTCTCCTTCATTTCTCTGTCTCACTTTTTCCTCTTCCTCCTCCTGCTCTCTCATCTCGCCATCCTTCCCCTCTCTTGCTTCTTTCTCTTTCTCCTTGTCTCTCATCTCTACTTCATGTCTTTCTCTCACATTTTCCTCTTCTTCCTCTCTCATCTCTCCATCATCCCCCTCTTCCTCAGGGATGGATATCATAGATGCCTGAGCAGTCACCCAAGCCTCCAGGCTTTTTTCGTTCTCCTCTTTTTCTCCTCTCCTCCTCTCTCTTGCTTTTTCCTCATCCTCCTGTGTGTCCATGACCTCACTCTGTTCCTTCTCTCCATCATCTTTCTCTCTTTTTCCCTCTGCTTCTGTGGAAACGATGAACTCTTGCGTTGGCAGTGCAGGTAGAGGCCGTGATGGGGCTGTGGGCGGAGGCTGCGTAGAACTGATACCAGCCTGGACTTGAGCTGTGATCTGGCTGTCCGACTGATCTGCATCACAAACAGAATTCTGGGTGACAGAGTTGGACGAATGGGGCTGAGGATGTACCAAAATCTTGCTTTCTGATTGGTCCAGACTTTGAGCTTCGAAGTCTGCAGTGGGTGGACGAGGGTAAAAATCCAAGCTTTCAACTATTTCAGTTAATGACATTTGCGTGTTTATTGATGAAGACGGCTGGAGAATGATGACTGATTCAGGAATCTCTACTACTATTTGACCACTAGAGGGCAACTGAGAGACCACTGTTTGTCCACTTGGACTCTGGGTTGAGTGAAATGGAGATATGGAGGGAGAGACTTCCGTTGGAGGAGAGTGTGTGTGCAGGGGTTGGGTGTGTGTGTTGTGACCGAGTGCTGTGGGGCTCTGCGATGTTGGAGTCGAAGGAAAGAAAGGAGAGAGTGGATTAGGGCTACAGGGAGAAGAGGGGGAGGAGGAAGACGATTTAATGGAGATAAAGGCGTCAGTCAAACTGCGATGGAACTTCCTGGTAGAACTCCTCACTGTAAAAAAAAAGAATAATCAAAGTCTGCATTTAGTAAGTCTAATAAACAAAAAACTCTTTTTCTCCTCCTTTCTCTGTTTCTCTCTTCTCTCTCTCTCCCTCACCTGTACGTGGTGAGTTGGGTGGGGTGTGTTGGGTGTTGGAGGATGAAGATGAGGACAGTGAGAGCTGTCTGAAAAACTGTCTCGGATTGCCTTTGCGCTGAGACACCAGAGCTGCTGCCTCCTGCAGGACATAAACAGGATTACACCACCTCAGAATGGAAGCCCATTTAGTTTTAATGTCAATAATGAGGAGGTTTCTCATAATTCTGACTTAATATCTCATAATATTTCATTTTCATATGAGTACATATCAGTTAAGACTGATAATTGATTTTCAAAAATAATTCAACAATATGTATCGAATGTTCATGAGTCAGAAACCACCCTAGATTTATTTAATTTCCTGTTAAAATGGCCATAATAGACATAATAGACCATAACAGACTATTCAGGTATCTATTAAGTTTCTCAGAAAAAAAGCAGAAAACATTACACAGAAGCTTTAACAACTAAAGATAACACTTCTTTCAGTTTTTAGTGTGTCTACCTTTTGCCTTTATTACAGCTTCCATAAATCTGAGGAGACTCACTTTCATTTTTTCAAAGAAACCTACAGGGATGTTTTTTCCACACCTCTAAAGTTCAGTCTTAGAAGTTGGTTTTGCATTTTCTGCTTCTCACGATCCAAGTAATGAAACACATTCAGTGATGTTGAGGTCTGGACTCTGGAGTGGTCAGTCCATTGTTCAGCTTCTTTGTTTGGTGTGTCCGTCTCCTTTTCTCAGTGAGGTTCTTCTTGACAGCTACACATCTTTTCAGACCCATAGCGCTGAGTCGTCTTCTCACAGTGGAAGGATGGACAGAAACACCTGTGGATGTTTTCAGATCTGAAGCAGCTTGATTTTCTCCTCTCTCTCAAAGATGAAAGCTTTAAGTGCTGTTTATCTGATGGGGGCAGGTTTGTTGGTCTGCCAGGTCTTCCAAGTGGTTGTTAGGAGTCCTATTTTCTCTGTTGCTTCTAGTCATTGTTTTAATCTTTGACTTTCTCCTTCCTCATGCACATGGATTATCTCTTAGATTATGTCTAATCTAAGAAATATCTTCTTAAAATGAATAACTTGTACTTAATGGTCATTTTGACTGGGAATTAAATTAATGAAGGGGGTCTCTGACTTTTACACAGTACTGTGTTTCTGATGAAACTCACGGCTGCTTTCTCCACTGATTCGGAGTGTGCGAACCGACATCTCATTTCCTCCTCAAACTGCTGCTGCTGCTGAGCCTGCCACACACACACATACAAAAATACACACGGAAACACAGCATAAACAAATACTCACCAACAGTTATTTATTCAGTGCTGCTTTCAAGTGCTGAATTTGCTCCTCAAAGAAAGTTTTCATCTTTCAAGTTTAAAGTAAACACAGTTACCCATTTGAGCTGCTCCTGTTTGTGTTTCTCCGCTTCTGCTTGAGCCTGTAACCGTCTGAAATCAGAAGACACCTGCAGTTAGACTGTTGTTGAAAGATTTAATATCAATTACAGTACATAAAACATTAATAAGCAATACTAATGTCGCAACCAATCATTAACTAATGATGCAGAAACTAATATTATTTCACATTTTATTAAGTAGTTTATAAACATCGCTAAATGGTTAAGTAATATCTCAATTAATCAATTAGAAGTTTATTAATGTGTTCTTTAATGTGACCCAACAATTGGGACAGTAAGAACTAAGCACTAATGAACAATTTATTAAAGTCTATGATGATGTCATAATAAAGTCAAATGATGATGTCAAATAAAGTCATTTTCCAAAAGAATCTCAAAAATCATCTGAACTGGTAGAGAAAGTGTTCAGAGCAATACTCGCTCTACCATTTATCAGTCATCTATGTGCCAGGATGAATTAAAGAGTTCCTGGTAAATGCTGATATCTGTGGACAGGCTCCATGGTCTTCATGTAGATGCTTGAAATCGCACTGAAAGAGCTGTGAGTACAACGACACCCGACATGCTCAATCGAGTACGGGATGAATTTGACTATGGCGTTGATGTTGTCTGCACAGCTGGAGGAGGTTCATATTGAGCACTTGTGAAATTACATAACAAACTTTATGCTCATTTAACCATTTACAGTTTACTGCATTGCTCTGTAATGATTTACAAGTGAAATAACTGATAAAACTGATGAATCTTTTTGAATCACCCAGTATATAAAGTTCTTTTTGAATGTGTTACTTAATATTAACAATTATGCAATTATGTAATGTTCTTTGGCACATATCTCTTAAAAACCACTCTTTAATGCACAGCAGTGTTCAATAAATATTACATGACCAGTATATACTTTATGAATTAAATATGATATACCTTGACATACCCAGAGTGTATATAAACATAGTGTATATATATATATACTCACTGTGCATTTATGAAGTGTCCATAAGGTAGATATTTAAGCTTTAGTCTTTATTTAATGAAGACTTTATGTGACTTTATGGTAGACTTCAATAAATTTTTCATTAGTTCTTACTGTCTCAATTGTTGAATTACATTTATTTACACATAAATAATCTCCTTAATAATATCTACAAAAATGTGCAGGTTAATTGCTACAAAGATTGCTACGTTACTTAACCATTTAGTAATGTTTATTACTCTCTTAATTACAGTTAATCAGTGTACTCGTATTGTAAATTAGTACAGAGGCTAAAGGGAGAACAAAGAACATCTTTGTAGAAACACTGAGGTTTTGAATTTGTTTCATGTCTGCACTGCTAATTGTTGCCAGGATTGCACACTATTTAGCACTCATTTTTCATATTTCAGTAAAATCATTTTAAGTGTTTTTAATCAGACGATTCAGGTTTTGGTGTTTTAAAGACTTTAAGGGACTCAAATGTTTAAAGCTACACTATGTACAATTTGGGCAAAGACTCCCAGAGTGGATGAATCTGATGTTTGTGGGTGTGTTGAAGGAATATTCAAAGAGAACTCAGTCAAAACTTGGTGAAGGATGTGAGTAAATGATCTACTATTATCTTCATATCTACATCAATGTAATGTTGATTTTACATTTGAGGCCTAAACATCGAGCTGGACCTTCTTTTTCAGCCTGTGTGTGTATCATTAATACATAAAGACATATGATGCAGTCTAAAAAACTCCCATTGAAATGGCCAGACACCTCTTTTCAGGCTTTACAGGATTTCAGGCTTTACAGGATTTCAGGCTTTACCGTGCGACTCACAGCAGCACACAGACCCCATGTTTTAGCATGTTTTTTGTCTCTAGTCTAAAGCCAGTGTGTTTACGTGGTAAAGTGATTTGTGCTGAACCTTTGCTCCTGTATCTTCTTCAGTTTCTCATTCATTCTCCTCTCCCGCTCCTCCGCCTCCCTCTTTTCCTGCTGCACTCTCTCTCGCTCCCTCCGTCTCCTGTCTTCTGCTGCCCTCCGGCGCTCTTCCTCTTTACGCTCCTCTTCCTCTCTCTGTGAGAAACATACACAATTCCTAGAACTACAAAGGATTTCCAGAATCACCTTTGACAGTGGATGATATTCCAAAACTCTCAATCTGAGGTATAGCGGCTTTTTATGCAATGATATGCAAAAGTTTGGGCGCCCCTAGTCAAATGACATGTTTTTGTTTTTTAATAAATGTTTGTGTCTTTTAATAAATGAACACATCCTCTACAGAGAACACAATAATGCACATTTAAATACACAGTTACTGCTTATTCGCAGAATTTAACATATTGGAAAGAAATAAAACATCAAATTTTATGGCATGTTTTATATTTTATGTTTTTTTCTATTATGTTACATTCAGCAAATAAATCACTTCACTTCAACATGTAATTTGACCAAATATATATATTTTTGTTAGTGAGTGTATATATATATATATATATATATATATATAAATATATATATAGAAAGTTCTATAAGAGAAACACTTGTTGGTGGAAATACTGTTTTGGAAAGAAATTCATGCACAAACATAATCACTATTTGTCAAAGAAGGACATTTCAAGCATTTACTGTAAACATAAGCCTTAAATTCAGAATGTCTTTAAGATTACATACATTCATACAATCAGGAGGGTCCAAACTTTCAACTGGTACTGTATTTCTACTATGAGTAATACTGAGACAGCAGTACCGACTGATTTCAGTGTTATTCAGTATGAATGTAAATGACTGGATATTCACCTCTGCTTGAGCCCAGAAGTTCTCTCGGTGCGTTTTGCGTATTTCTGCTGCTGCTATCGTCCTCTTATAATTAGTTCCCTGCCAAAAGGGGAGGATGTAGTGAACAAGACAAAAATACGGACAAACTCATGCTTCAAGCTGGCTTCCTACTGCTGTTTTTAGGTGTTCAAAATACTTTTATCAATGCTTATCAGTGGATAATCCACATAAGAAAGTCTATTAGAAATTACTCCACACGGTGTGATGATTTAGGCCTGCAGTTTGTGTGATACTAATTAAATAAATGAATATAGGCTTTCATTACTTGTTAGCTACAGCTAAAGAAGTAAATTCATTACATTAGTAACACTCACTACAGTTGGAAATGACCACCTACTGCTTTAACTAATTAATTAATTAGCATGATAATTGACTTAATAAGATCAGAATCACAGCTCTCTCACCACAGTCTCCTCTCTGTCCTCCTGTCGTAAACCTCGTCTCATTCTCTCTCTTTCCATCACCTCCGCCACTTTAGAGGCCACAGAAAAAATCCTCTCCTCTGTAACATCCTCCACAGAAGAAGCAGGGAAAAAGAAATGCACCTCCTGCAAGAGAGAGAGAGAGAGAGAGAGAGAGAGAGAGAGAGAGAGAGAGAGAGAGAAAGAGAGAGAGAGAGAGAGACTTTGCGTGTCATAACAAGCTTGTACAAAAATAGGGTTTGGGTAAAAACCCTTTAACCACTCCATTGAGATGTGTGGACTGTTTGGAAGACTGCAGGGATGTATTTACTTCCTGACAGCCAGGAACAGCACAACGTTTAATCGTTTCCCCACATCTTCAACTCCAATAACTCTCCTTCAGACCGTCTGCAGTAACAACATCCAATTTCACTTTTATGGGAATGGGGCGGAGCTAATCTGCTGCAGGCTGAATGAGCGATCATAAATATGTTCATGGCTGTAATAACATAACTATGATGAATTCAAAATGGGCTCTGCAGTGAACTTTAACCCTTGTGTGGTGTTGATGTGTTTGTTACTCAGTGGTCTGGTGGACCCACCGCATTATTGTTTTTTTTAATCAGTACAGCCAAAACAATTTATAAAAATACCAGATGTTTAAAATATCACAAGTGGCCAGCGTAGCAGCTGTAGTCAGTCAGCAGCCTGTCCATGTTGTCCACCCTCACACACACACACACACACACACACACAAACACTCACTCACACACACACACACACACACACACACACACACAAACACATACACATTAACAAACACATACATACAGAGTGAAGGACACAGCACCTCCACACTTTTATTCCCCGTGGGTTCAGCCCAACACCACGTGTGTAATATAAAGGTGTGGGGGGTGAACAGAGTGAAGACACTGAAAATGTATCATTTAATATGATCTTCACAGAAAATGAGCAAAGGTCAAGAAATCTGAGGTTAAAATAATAATAAATCGCATCATTTTTTCTTTTGGTAAACACTGAAAATGGGTCCCACAGACCTGAACACCACACAAGGGTTAACTATTTTCACACGGTGCGTAAACCCTTTCATGTGTTTTACCTTGAAGAAGGATTTGATAGCGGGAACATGAGCAGCACACTGAGTTCTACGATATTCATCCAAATCTTTTCCTACCTGAAACACAAACACAAAGAGAGTGAAGGGTGATTAGGAAACACTGTATACAGTATCGGAATTATCAACATTGTGTTCATCTTGCTGTGTTTTGGTGGCTTCTTTTGGTGGCAGCAACAGAAAGTTGCCAAAATTGTCAAGTCAAGTCAAGACAGGGCCGAGTAACAAAATACAGTCCTGTAGGGCTTAATAAGACTTAAATGCCTGGGAAAAAGTTCTTAAATTTGATTTGAAAGTGTTTTGTGTGGGAGATGATCCTATAAAAAAGGGGTGGTGGTTCCATAATTTGGGGGCTGCCTCAGAGAAAGTTCGAACTCCTTTTGATTTCAACCAAGACCACGGAAGAATTTGTTGAAGCAACTGATTTGATGATTTTAAAACTCTTGAAGTAGAAAGTTGATAAATGAGATCAGCAATATAATGTGGAGCCACTTCATGGAGAGCTTTAAACACAAACAATAAAACTTCAAATTGTGTTTTGTACTGGACTGGTAACCAGTGATGGGAGGCCTGGACGAGAGAGATACTTTGCCATTTTCTGGTACCATTCAGAAGCTTAGATCGTCCGCTTGGAATTATAAGGTGACAAAATTGAGTTATTCACATTATTCTTATTCTGTGACAACTTCCTAACATTATGTGAGGTATTATTTTTAAAGTTATATGCGTTTTTGGACTCTTTACATAGAAAACAAAAAGGTTCTGTCTCCAAAGTCAAACTCTAACTTAGTTCTATAAAGTTCTATCTGTGAGCCAATCAGCACTTGAATACATTCAAGAGGACCAATCAGGTTCTGCTTCTTTGTCAGGTTGCTGCACCGCTCAGTGACTGCGGGAAAAGTTTCTAAAACTTTACGAAACATGAAAACAAGTTGCTGAAACTCTGCCTGTCTTCCTGCAGTTCTTTAAAAACTCTTATTGTCTTAAATTTTATAAATATTAAGACTTAAAGGTAATTAAATAGTAAACATCTGAATTGATAGGGTCTTAATTACAACATAAACATTCATTTCATTTATTCATCCATCTTTTCTTTTTCTTCTTTCTCCCAAAATAAGACATTTTGGTGCATTAGAGTCACATTTCTTATATAAAACAAAACCTCACACTGCCTTTACACTGACCTGCCACATGTAGTTGCTGGGACAGTTTATTACAGTAGCTGGTTGCTGTCTAATCTAAAGGAAACTTAAACTAATGGCTCCTACCTAAAACTGACCTCTGCACTGGACAAAACATTTAGCACTAACCTTTATACTTAATCTGCAGTTCTTTTTTGAATAAAAAAAGATGATTTGTCCAACAATAAAGCAATAATAAAAAAACAAGCAAAAAACAATAAAGAAATGTTAAAAATAATTAAATATAAAACATAAAAATAATGAAGTAATAAAAATAAATGTCCTAAAAAGGTAAAAGAAAGCATTAAATAACTTTCTGATACATGTAGACACTCTGTTACAAGTATTTTATGTTTTAAAACAACTTATGAGGTTAAACTGTTGCTTCTTTTCATATTTTGCCAGATAGAACCTTATAATTCCACACAGAAAGTGAATTCTTAGGATTAGAAGGTTCTATCTACATTGGACCTGTTCCAAAAACTCATGTACAAATTTGATAGGATTATGAAATTATACATTTATAATACATTTAGGGTGTCTGTTATTTTCATGTGTGAAAGAGACGTGTTCCACATATCAGTTCTGCTATTTGAAATGCGAAATCTTTGAAGCTTAATATCTCAAAGCTGGTCAGAACGGAGAAAGAACCTTATCATTCTAAGGGGACGAGATAATGCATTGTGAATCAGCTGCAGGTGGGACAGAGGTTGATTAACAAAGTCCCAAATGAAGAGAAATTACAGGAATCAATACGTGAAGAGAGGAAATCATGAACATTTGGCACATTTCTGTGGATAAATGTACAGACGGATTGTGTAAGTTACCCAGATAATCATGACGATATGGGTCTGGGCAGTGTTCGGCCGGTCCACTCTGCAGAGCCCGTAGAGAGGCCGTCTAGGGTGGAGCTTACTGACCAGTTCAGTTACACCACCCACTGCAAAAGGCAAATGTTATTGTGTGGACAGTGAGGATATATTTAATCACAGTTAAAAAGAATGGCTTATTGCTACTCAGTATGGTGGGTCAAGATATGACACACACAAACAACTAAGCTGTGTGTTTTGGCTAACACTGGCAGTACTGCCCCAAAATCATAGGTGCCTAAGCCAACTGTATCAAACCATTCATCTAGACAGTAAGTGTGTTTTGGCCAGTAAAAACTTTATATAAGATTAAGATAAATACAGCCATATGCAAGTGATTGAACAGCCATTGTTAAATTATGTTATATTGATTTTCTAAGTGAAAGGCCAGGCCACCATTTGTGTTTTATTTTTTCCAATATGTTAAATTCAGCAAATAAACACTAATTGTGCATCAAAATGTGTGGAAGTATGTTCTCTAGAGGATTAAACATGCAGAATGTGGCCAAAAGTATGTGGACCCCTGACCATCACACGTGTATATCCCATTTCAAAACCATGATCATTAATATGGAGTTTGTGGCTGAGCTGTTGTTGCTCTTATATGCTCATTTCACAATAGTAGCACTTACCGGGGCGGACCAGGGCAGATCTTGCAGGGCCAGAATTTCATAAACAAACTTGTGGGAACTTGTAGCATTCTATATCAGTGCCACAATTAAAGTCTCTGGGCTTTTCAGTACGAGCCGTTTTTTTTTTTAAATATACACCTTTTATACACCTGTTAGCAATGAGTGTGGCTGGAATAATTAGGAGGGGTGTCCATACATACGTACTTTTGGCCATATATATATATATAGTGCGCACACTCACAAACACTTTTTGTGCTCATGTGTATTTTCTTACCACCAGAGTCTGCCAGTTTGAGCCGGTTTGTCACACCATCATAAGCAAACAGTGCCCTGTTAACAGAAACACAAAGAGAGACAAAACATTAACAGCAGCTTTAAACTCTGTATTCAACCAGCAGTTATTTCTGTGCAGAAATGTAGGGCTGCAGTTACACCAGGACCAAGACTGCACTCTGCCATACCGCGACATCAACTTGAAGACTGTTCGTTTATCACAGTACTTCAGAAACTTTAGCTAATATTGAATTCATTTCAGTCTTTTGAAATATGAGGCACATGCATTTGCTTTGGTTCTCGATGAAAAAGTATTCAAATTTCCATCTTGCCCAGAATCGCGGGTTCTCAATGTTAGGTTTGTACTTTATGGCTGTGGTCTTGACTGAATCTGGTTCAGTAAATGTAGCGGCAAGTTTATTCAGAGAAGAAAGGCTCTTAAACTTTAGGTTACTTTGTTACCGCGCATAACTCTGTGATTTTACAGTGCTGCTGCCACCATCAGGTGAAAGGAAAAACTGCAGTGTACTGTCTGGCAGGCCACTTATAACACACTGTAAAACAGAAGCCACGGGCCAATTAAAATCTGTCCGTCAGCCACTTTTTATGCTGCCTTCTGTACGGCATAAACATTCACCAGTAAATGAAATTTTAATTTGAAAAAATAACTAATATCACTGTTCCTTAATGGGAATTAGCTGTAGAGTGTAACTACAAAAGTTCAAATAGCAATGCCAGGTATCACTACTGTAACTACAGTAGTATAGATATGTCAGATAGCTAACCAGCCAGCCAAGTTAACCATGAACTTACTGTCTTTGTGGGTTTACACTCTCAGAAAAAAAGGTATGTAACTGTCACTGGGGTGGTAAACTCAAGTGTACATCTCATACCTTTACTCAGGGAACATAACTATCAAATTATATTTTCTAAGTTGTGTTGACTCCACACACTCCGTCTCGTCTCCAGGCTTCTTATTTTATTGTTCTGTTTTAAAACACTCGGTTATGAAACGGTACAAATACATACTTTTCACCTGGAAAAACGTATTTAAGGTGCACAACTGGACCTTAAAACCACTGATGTACCTTTGAGGGAACATTTACATTGTTTGTACCTTAATAACCAAAAAATGTATCTGCACAGAACCTTTATTCTTAACTGTGTACTAACTTCTCTCAGTGATTTCCCATCACAGATGTTCCATTCCCTTTGAGAGTCTTCCAGAACCCTGTCTGCTGTGTTATGACGTACATGTGTTTTCTGTACTTGCAGCAAGTTTTTGAAATGTAGTTCAGGTGTAGTTATTTTGATTAAAGTGTTTTGTGAATTTACATCGCATTTATGAGTTTGCAGCATGTTTTTTAATGTACTGTATGCTGGATCTTGTCGGTCACCATACAAAAGAGACCTACTTTTATTACATATACTTGCAAAAATGTAATACATATGATATATAACACTGACAATGCATAAACTGTGTGTGTGTGTGTGTGTGTGTAAACACGTATTGCGCTGCTCTCCTCCTCCGGGTATTCTGTAATCTGCTCACACCCAACACACCATTCTGTAAACTACTACAACCTATTCAGCTGTGAGAATGAACCCTCTAGAAAGTTCATCAAGATTACAAAAGCCCACCAGCCAGACGTTTAGCTGACATAACCTCAGGAGCACGCTCAGTGGATTAGCTGAAATATGTCCGTGTGTTCTCATAATCAGTTAAGAAAGACCAGAATAGTCACATAGGCCTTTAATCCCCTGCAGCACTTAAAGTGAAAATCTAATGTACACAGTTTTCCAAATGTAGTGGGTCAGCCAAGACATGTGTCTGAAGTTTGCTCCTTTATTTTTGCGCTGGAGTTACGAGGCTAATGTTGCTAAGAAGTAATGGAAGAGAATGCCATACCGGTTAGCATTGTGCTAACAGTATGCTTAAATCGTTGTATACTGTCCTCAAACAATTAAATAAATAATCTCAAATAGACTTGCTTATGTGTTTTTTGTCCATGTTTATGTATAACAGTGTGTCATACAGCACCAGAAACCACATTAGCAAGTCTATTTGAGATTACTTAACAAGGTTTGAGGTAGTGCTGGGCGATACTTTGTCTATACTATACTGTGATATTAACATACTGTGATACTCCTTTCCAGCTTTAATGATATTTTGGTAAATGATACTTGCTACACAGTGAGCATTCTAATATAACGGCAAGGAAATAGTGATGTTGCCAAGCAATTTGTTTTCAATCCTTTGTGCTATTTACTCACAATATACATATAGTACAACTGCATATATATCATTATATTATAAGTTTATGTAGTGCTCCAGATTGATTTGAAATATGCTTTCTTTCTGGTTGACATTTACATTATTGTATAAAATTCTCTTGAGCCGGATTTTTTATGAAGAAAAAAAGAGAACAAAACTGTCCAATCTCAAGTCACGTGTCAAGTCGAGTGGTCTTTATTGTCATTCCTCAACATAGCTTGTATGCAATGGAAGGAAATGTCGTTCTTCAGGCCCCATGATACAACACAACACAGCAGCACATTACTCAGGACAGAAGTGCAGACACAAGGCAGTGTGAAACCATCTGGGCATTATTGTGATAAATTATGTCCCAAGACAATACAATAAGTTTTCTGAGCATATTGTGGATATCGTGATACTAGTAGAACAATGACCAACTGCCTATTTCATTATAAAGAGAGCAAAACTAGCCAGGTTTAACTGGATTTAGTGCAAAACCACAGGCCATATATAGATTAAAAATAATGGTATTCACAATTTTTGATAATACTTTTAAAATGTAGCACTACTAGTTATTTTTTCTCTGTTCCAACTGATCAGATGCCTGAACAAATAAATATTGTGAGATATTGTGTATCGTGAACATTTCTTGAAGTATTGCGATGTTATATTTTTTGTTATATTGTCTTTTAATAGAGGGTAGTAGGACTCAGGAAGCATAACGCTGCTGTCAGAACAAAACTTTGTATCTCCATTTTTGTCATTTTTCAGTTTTTGACATAATTTCAAAGTATCTGTTGCCCGTTACACCGTGTATAATTTTCATGATGAACGGCCCAAAAGAAATGGCTGAAAATTACTTGGATAAACGTCTGGTTCCATTGATTTACATTAAATGCAAAGTATGTTTTTTCCTTCTCCTGTAAAGTTATCATTTTGGAGATATGAGGTTTTGTTCAAACAGCAGCGATAAGTTCATCACCTTTTTAATACAAACTGATACTGTGATGCTGTGAAAGATTCAGAAAAATGTTTATCACAATCACCCAACACTGCCTTGAAGCTAATGTGTGATGATTAAGGCATGCAGATTTTATGATGCTAATTGGTGGCTATAAGCTTCCATTACTTGTTAGCCACATAGCTTGAGTGCAAAACCCAAAAAGCAAACATCAGACACCAAACATGTCTTGGCTAATCAACTACGTCTGGGGTAAGGGGGGGTAGGGGGCTGTTAAAATGTTCGCTGAACTTTCGCATTAAAGCTGTTGAGGCTGAAACACATAATATTTGTGAAAACAGTCTGAAACTGCACAGATGAGAACAAAGACACTCACTCCGGAGATGCAGAAAGAGAGGGAGCGGTGGCAGAAGACAGAAAGACAGGAAGATTGGGGAATGAGAGCTGACTGTGCTGTGCAGTGAATACAGCTCTGTCCCTAAAGACCACCGGCCTTTTACACTGTTTCTGATTACCGGCTGTTATTATTCTCAAAACTATTGTCAATGCAAAACTCAGAAACAATGTTCAAGCAGCGCCAAACCATAATGCTTTATTTACTCTACTGGACTGAAGTACTAATGTTTAACCCTTAGAAGTCTAGATTATTATTATCATTTTTGTCATTATACTATTTAAATGTAATGATATAATCACATTATACATAATAAATTAAATTTACATTTAATTTATGTTCTGTATTGACAGGTTTGAGTCTGTTTTCTGATTATTTTGATATTAAAGTGATGATAAAATCATGGCAAAAATGCCAGTGATGTTTTTCTGTCTTCAAAGTCAGTCTGTACATAACACAATACATTTACTCTACAAATCATTATAAAATATCTCCTCTTCAGCTTACATAAATAATTATTTATATTTATTCTAATATTAGTGTTCTTTTATAGCAAATAAATGCTAACTTACCAATGATATCATAGTATGTGAAAACATCTTAAATGTAGTTGGTATATCTATTATTTCTCAGTGTTATAAGAATACTATGTTATTTAAAGCTGCACTATGTAAGTTTTTTGTTAAAATTGAAAGAGTCAGGAGAAAGAATAAGCAAAAATATAGTGTTATATTGAAAAATATTACACATCTTTACTATTTATTTACTTTATTTATTTATTATTACATTTATGTTTTCCCTTACCAAGATATATAGCGCTGCTGTCGGACCAAAACCTTGTATCTCCAAAATGGTAACTTTACAGGAGAAGGAAAAAACATACTTTACTTTTAATGTAAGTCAATGGAACCAGACTTATTTCCAGGTAACTCTGGGCCGTTTCTTTTAGTCTATTCATCTTGAAATTTACACACAATATAAAGGACAGTAGACGTTTTCAAATTATGTCAAAAACTGAAAAACAAAATGGAGATATGAGGTTTTGGTCCGACAGCAGCGACAGCAGCTTTTTAAATCTGGTGCCTAAAGTAGAGGTTTTCAGGAGAGCTAATGCAGTGTTGTTCTACAGTAAGAGAAGAAACAGCACAGCAGCAGTACAGTTTGTTAGAAACAGACAGATGATTGAGGTGGGGACAAATTACACCACTTAGGACCATTTCCTGTCCCTTCTCTACACACTGACCAAACAAGGAAACAAGTGCCCTCACACACACACACACACACACACACACAGAGAAACACACATTCACACACACACACAGACGCACACACACACACACACACACACACGCATACAGGGAGTTTTGTTGACATGCAACGACATTCTTTCTTTTAAAATGCGCTTCCGTTTGCAGCATCTTTTCAATGTGTTTTCTCCAACAATCAACAATGCCCTGTAGTACAAACAGGAAAAGCTCGGTCTGTCCACTTTAGTCATGACTCTTAGTTAAAGGGGAATTCCACCGTTTTTTTAAAATCTCTGCATGATTACTTTGTTCAAATGTAAACAAAGCAATTCAAAGTGGTTGGATGGCCAACGTGCTGTTCTTGAGAAACTTATCAAGTCAGAATTGTTCACAGTGGTGGTGATAGGAACCAGACGTCTAAAGAGTTTAAGGCCTCTTAAAAAATACCGTCACAGAAAGTTATTTGGCTTTTAGAAATATGTTTCAGGTCTTAATCATATTGCAAAACTAATGTCTCAGGTATCAGGCAGTGTATTCGTTGTGTAATAACTTTCTGCGAGGGAACTTTTAGAGATACTAAACACTTCGGAAGTCTGGTTCCTATCACCACCACTGTGAACAGTTCTGACTCTGTAAGGTTCTCTAGAACAGACCATTTCACACCAAACCACTCTGAGTGACTTTGTTTACATCTCAGCCATTTAATTATGCAGAAATTTAGACAAATCAGTAGAATTAACCTTTAAATTCAGATCAAATTCCTTTAATAAAAGTGTGCAAACCAAACATCCCTTAATGAAAGACCAGCCAAAAGAAAAAATGATAAACCTACACTTAGAAAAAGATGGTTCTTCAAAGGTTATTTAGTAAATGGAAAGGTTCTATTTGAACCATGAGTTCTTTACAGAACCATTTCATGCTTAAATGTTTCTTTGCATGGTGAAGTTTTCAGGATGATGGAAAATGTGTTGTACATGGTTCTAGCGCCAAAAGGGTTCTTCAGTTGTTACAATGTCAAGCTTGTAACAGGAGAAGATCTATTTTTGGTGCTGTAGAGAACCATTTTCAAAAAGGTTCTATATAGAACCACATACAACACACTCTCCATCAATCTGAAGAACCATTTCACCATGCAAAGAACCATTTAAGCATGAAACGGTTCTATATAGAACTCACGGTTCTAAAAAGAACCATCTCCAAAGAACCCTTGAAGAACCATTTTTAAGAGTGTAGTTTAAAAGCCTAAGTTTTATGGGTTTTAAACTGTATGAAGGATCCTGACAGATAAAAACAGAGACACAGAAAACTGCTTCTCCACTTTTCTAGTCAGTCAGACTGGATGACTAAGCTAAAAGCTAAAGGTTTATACTCAGTTCTAGAGGCAGACACACTGTGAAGGAACTGGAATTGCTGAAAGTGAGAAAACGAGGCAAAATACTGCCTTTAAAGCCTCATTAATGAAGATGCGTTTGGTTTAGCGTGTTATTCGGTGGTGATAGTACCAATAACAGCGAGGCTGAAGTTGGCTCCCTGCTCGGCAGCTTCTTGTTCAAATGTCTCTACCTGAGGCGCCAGAATGTACGTTAACTGCTGCACCATTTAAGGTGGAACGGGAAAATCCGAACAAGAAGCTGGCGAATAAGACGCTGATTTCAGCTTCGTCCAGAAGTACCACACCGTTAGGTCAGCACTGTTGGCTAAGTGGCTTCTGTTCAGAGTATTTCATACACTTCTATATTAGCTAGCTAGCTAATTGCTAGTTAGCTCACCGAAAACTGAGCTATTTTAGAATTAGTACTGGCTTATACAACTATATAACAACCAAAGTATAATCATAATACTCGATAAAAAACAATCCTTAGACTGAACCGAAGAACTACATGTGTACAGATGAGTACAAGATTAACTGGCATATTGTCTGTTTGTTTACACCATGGAGCAGAGTGGCGCAGCGGAAGCGTGCTGGGCCCATAACCCAGAGGTCGATGGATCGAAACCATCCTCTGCTAACGTTTTTCATTTTTCTGTGCTGGACACTTCAGGCTATATCTTCTGACCATACCTACATTAAAATAACCACCCTCTGCTTTTAATTAAGCCTTTTAAATGTGGTTTTAGTAATATAATAAATGCTATAATTGTATTGAATGTGTATAGGTATAAACCCAACATTCAGGAACATGACAGTCTTTCAGTTATAGTGTACCCATATGGAAATCTGATATATAGCAATAAAGGAGTTCAAATATATGACATATATTAGCATATATGGAGGTCCATTAATCCGATGTCCCTTAATCCAACTTTATATTAGTCCCATAGGGAATATATATGACATGCAAACTTATTTGAAACAAGCCATTTTAGACATGGGACATGTATTTCAGCCATATATCAACATATATAAACATATAAGTGTAACATATATCTAACAATACATGATAGAAAACATTATTCCCATATGGATGGTATTACATATATATGCTAGCTGCATGTTACATAAGTTTTTTTTATTGCATGCATGTTGCTGGTGTGTTTCATTTTGATTTTTTGGTTTAACAAATCTTTTAGTGTTTGTATCAGACAGACAGTATATCACTGTTGTCGGGAGAAAACCTCGTGTCTCCATTTTTGAGGTTTTTCAGTTTTTGACATAATTTGAAAATACCTGTTGGCCTTTACATTGTGTGTAAATTTGCATGAAGAATGGGCCAAAAGAAATGACCAAAAATGACTTGGAAAAAAGTCTGGTTTCATTGACTTACATTAAAAGTAAAGTAGTTTTTTTCCTTCTGCTGTAAAGTTACCATTTTGGAGATATGAGGTTTTCTTCGGACAACAGCGATATGTGTTCGATATATTAGGCATATATGTGTTTACCCACCTATCAGATACATATATATGATCCATATATAGTCCAATATTTGATACTTATACATATGTATAAAACATGTATGTACATTTTGAAATACATGTATGACCTTTTTGATATATGTGCATACATGGCCATATATCAGATACCAGAATGAGTATTTTTATTCTATTTCACATTTTATTCTACAATTTCTATTCTACTATCAAAAATTAAAGTGATGGCTTCTTATATTTTTGACAATTTTATTACACATGATCTACACACTTATCCCTCTCCTCATTCTCACAAATTATATAACCCTAACAATTCAAGGTTGTAAACAATAACTCAGCATTCATTATAAAACTATGATCTATAACAAGTAAGTTTTTTATAAACAAAGGTAAAAGCTCAATTCAACATTCAGAAACACAAGCTTCATGTACTTGTGTTTGACAATGTAAAGACATCTGCTAAGGAGATCAATCCTCTGCTTTTCAACTTTACTCAAATCTATTTAATATTACTTTCATATATTATAGTTCTTGTTATAGAGATTCATTATTTCCCTGTCTTTGGGATGTGCTGAGTACTCATTGTGGCCTTGGTTGTGATTACAGGCATATACTACTCATGCAATCATGTAATGCAATGGAATTACAATTTAAAGTAATTGGTCAGGTAATGCAGTCAGTGTTTCTCTACTAAATAGGCATTGAAAACATACCCAAAACTCACTTTCCTCCCAGTAATTTGTTTTTGGCTTATATATATATACACACAGTTACCAAAAGAGAACCAGTTTCTCATACCAGTTTGTGGATGTTCGTGGGTTCAGCACATCTTCTTTAGCCGTTATCAGAGATAAGTTGTAGGTGTCCAGATTAATATCCTTACTCGACTTCATGGTGATGCTGAATTCAAACTGTCTTCTGTTGGAAAATTAAGAAAAATAGCTTTAAAAAGTTTTATCCCAGCCCAGTTTAGGCTACTTAAGTGACCGTTAGCATGTAAAGTCATGGACTCAGACCTGAATAAAGCAAAGCTCCACGCTTCCTGTGATTAAAATAGCAGGCATTTGTGAATTGTATCCAAACTCTCAGGAAGTTGAGGGGCTTATGAAGCCACTCCCACCGATTGGAGATAAAAATTGCTCTCTGGAGTTTAAAAGGTCAGCCTCTGATCCCTCCTCTTTCCTCTTTTTGTGAATATTTTGCATTTCTGATCTGCTTTAGCTACCGATTGTAGCCTGAGATGAAACACAGGGTCAGTGGTTGAACTGAAATATTATAAGTTGAGAATGAAGTTCTCACTTTTCTCACTTGTTGGCTGGATTTAGGTAATAAGTTATGTTTTATTCCAATTTCAAAACTTCCTAGGAAGCACAAACACTATATTCCCAGTCCTTCTCCTGGAGTAATTTAGCTTGTTTTGAACATTTTAGTGTTTCCCTTCTCTAGGCAAAACTCATTAGTCCATTAAAGCCCTTCATGAGGTTAAAAATGGACATTAAATAAAGTACAGAGCGAAGGAGTTTGTAGAAGTGTTGGGAAATGCGACTGTAATGTGTGTCAGTTACAGAATGCTCAGTTATGCAGTAGCGTGTGAAAGCTGGAGGCTCCAGTGTCCCATACTCCTCCTGACCCTGGCTGAATTTTTTGTTTACATCCTAACCCTGGGCCAGTGTTTGTTTGTTTATTTATAAATGACTCAATATGATTTATTTACATAGAATTCAATAATCATTTTCCATATTAATCCTCTTGTGGGGTCACTGTAATGCATTGACTCAGCTCAGCTGCAGTGATTTCACTGAACAAGTTTGGATAGAATGAACCCAATATGAGTAATGACACTAATAATGAGAAGGGTCTCCGGACGTGGTGCTGTTTTTCCTGTTGATACTTATGAATATGAGCAAAAAGTATGTATATATAAAGTATTTAGACAAATCAGAACTTCCTTTGGAACAATGTATTCTGGTCAGACAAAGCAATAATTGAATTATTTGGCAATAATTCAGCTCATCATGTTTGGAGAAAGAAATGTAGCTTATATGATCTAAAGAACACCACACCCACAGTGGGCTATGAAGATGGAGCATCATAGTATGGGACTATCTGCAAATGATACTGGGGCATTACACATTATTAAAGGAAACATGAATGGATCAACGTACTGGGACATATCAGAGGAAAAGTTTAATAACATCAGCCAACAAACTGAATATGGAAAGAAGATGAATGTTTCAGTAAGACAGTGACTTCAAGCATACATGTAAAATGACTTAAGACTGATTTCTAAAGAAGGTGAAAGTGCTTGCATGGCCTAGCCGGTCTAGTCCGTCAGAGGGACCATTGTAACCTTGGGGAACTGAAGACAGTTTTGTCAAGAGAAATGGGCCACGATGTTAAAAAACGAATTACCTCCTATCTTAGATGTCTTGAAGCTGTAATTGCCAACAACGGTTTTGCAACAAAGTGCTAATAATATTAGTTAGTGGGGGTGTTTGTATCCTTTTTACCCTGTCAATTAATTTTGTTTGTTTATGTTCATAAATGGATACATTTTTGTTCATATTTATATGTACAAAGTCAAAAGACATGATTAGTGTAAATGTAAAAGTGCAATGGAAGTATACTAAACAAAAATAACAAAAATAATAGTTTCTGAATATTTGCTTCCCCCATATATGTGTGTACATATACATGTGTATTACAGACATAAACACAAACAAAAAGAAGAGAAGCGGACTACAAATCACACATTTTTCATCTAACTGAAAAATGTACCAGACTGATTATAATTGATTAATTGAATTAAATATTTAAAACAAAATAAAACAATTTTAGTGTATGTAAACAGATCAAAAAATAAAATAGGATATATATATATATATATATATATATATATATATATATATATATATATATATGTGTGTGTGTGTGTGTGTGTGTGTGTGTGTGTGTGTATGTGTTTATTATTCATGTTACATTGGTATTTATTATTCTTTTATATCTTTCTTTTATTTTATATATAAATATATAATATTATATATACATATATAATATAATATAATATTATATTATTTGTTACATTTCTATTTATTATTCATTTATATCTTTATAAATGAATAATAAAAAAAATGTAACATGAATAATAAAATAAAAACAGGAGAGCGTAACGCTGAGAAGCCAATCAGAGCAGAGCTTAGGCGTGACGCCATCCGTAGGCGACACCACGTTGCTATTGCGTGCGGTTAGCTTGTAGCGGGAAGGCGAATAAAATAGACAGATAAACTGAGTTACTGTGCGGTCAGTATAGCGGGTCGGCAGTGGGGGAGCTACGAGGCGCTGGGCGCTTGATAGTTATTATAAAACCGCTTTGTAATTACTGTCCGAGTCTGAACTGACCTGTTTACCCGATGCTAAAAGGCTAACCGGTGTCAGTCGCGTAGTGAGGCTGCTGCTCTGAGAGAAGGAAGCGGTTCACCTGTACAGGGGTAGTTCACCTGTACAGGGGTAGTTCATCTGTAGTAGGGTAAGTTATTTGTTCTGGGGTAGTTTATCCATAGAGAGGTGGTTTACCTGTAGTAGGGTGGCTAGGTTATTTGTTCGGGGGTAGTTTGTCTGTAGAGGGTACGTCATTTGTACTTGGGTAGTACAGTTAGTTAAGGCTAGTCCCAGTTTGTTATTACTAGCCTAACAACCAGGATGAAGTGCCACTACGAGGTGCTCGGAGTCCAGAGGGACGCGACGGACGACGATCTGAAAAAAGCCTACAGGAAACTGGCCCTGAAATGGCACCCAGGTAGGTCATAATAATGAGGGTTTTTATACAGCGTCTTTCTCAGGCTCAGCGTTACTCACAAAATCAATAATAGGTCATGTAAGAACTTAAACACCCCAAACGTCGCAGCAGGATAACCAAATAAGCAAAGTCAGTTTGTAGGCATCTGCTCAGCTTACGTTTCTTTTGAAATCAAGGGTATTAATAGGGAGTCTGTCCTCCTTTGCTGCATTGCCAGTCTCTTCTCTGCTGGGAATGCTTTACACTAGATGTTGGAACATTGCTGTGAGCATTGACCAATAGAATGGAACGCTATGGATGGAGCACATGAGCCTGAGGTCACCATGTCCATTGCCAAGTGTCAGTTAGAGGGGTATAATGTGGAACTGCATTCTTTGGAGTGATGGAGCTCCAGCCGTATCTCAAAGATGTGTTGGAGTCCAGAACTGATCATCCAACATCAGCACCTGACCTCACTAATGCTTTTGTGGCTGAATACAATCAAATCCTCATAGCTATGTCCCAACATCTAGTGTAAAATATACTTCTTTAAATGGGGGACAAACTATTAATACTATTAATTGTTGAACTGTTAATTAAACCTTTTGAAGACATTTAAAGGTATTTTTATGAGGCTAATCAAAATGTGAATTGCTGCTTCCAGATAAGAACCTGGAGAATGCAGAAGAAGCTGCAGAGCAATTCAAACTGATTCAGGCAGCTTATGATGTACTTAGTGACCCACAAGAGAGAGCCTGGTAAGCACTGCTTCAACTCTTGACATTTCTTAATGGGCTGAAGTTGTTGAAGAATGTGAAGGCAGTCTGTAGATTTATTATTAACTCCATCCTTGAGTTCCTTCCTAAACCTAATACTGATAGGCCTGTAAACATGAGTTAATGTGGCCTCTCCTAAGGTACGATAACCACCGGGAGGCGTTGCTGAAAGGCGGAGTCAGTGGAGAGTACCAGGATGATAGTATTGATCTTCTGCAGTACTTCACTGTGACCTGTTACTCGGGTTACGGAGATGACGAGCAGGTAAGTGAGTGAATGAGCAAAAGGAAAGGTGACGAGAAAATGAGGTTTGAGCAGAATATGCCTCTGTGCGTCAAAAATATCAATAATTGATTCACTATAAAATAATTTAAATACACCAGTCCTGTGTAAGTTTACAGGTTTCAAATAATTAGTGTGGTAAAATAAGAAATGTTTGATATATTTAGAATGATGAACAAAGCTATGGATGATTCTAAAATCCTGAGAAAGCTGTAGAACCTCAAGAACATTAGTAAAGCGATAAACCATGAGAGGCCTTGCTTCACAATTAATTTTTTTCATCAGTTAGGGGTCTTTATAAAATGGTGACAATGTACAATATAATAAAATGTGCATATGTTCAATAAATATTTATACTTACAAATACGAATCACAGTAAACGGTTCTTCCACTGAGAAATGCAATTTGTTTAGAGTAGACCGTTGTTGCCAAGCAATCATGAATTGCTGAAGGATGACAAGAACTTCCAGTCTCTAATCATTGTACACCGATCAGGCATAACATTATGACCACCTCCTTGTTTCTACACTCATTGTCCATTTTATCAGCTCCACTTACTATATAGGTGCACTTTGTAGTTCTACAGTTACAGACTGTAGTCCATCTGTTTCTCTGCATACTTTGTTAGCCCCCTTTTACCCTGTTCTTCAGTGGTCAGGACCCTCATGGACCCTCACAGAGCAGGTACTAATTGGGTGGTGGATCATTCTCAGCGCTGCAGTAACACTGACGTGGTGGTGGTGTGTTAGTGCGTGTTGTGCTGGTGTGAGTGGATCAGACACAGCAGTGCTGCTGGAGTTTTTAAACACTGTGTCCACTCACTGTCCACTCTATTAGACACTCCTACCTTGTCAGTCCACCTTGTAGATGTAAAGTCAGAGACGATAGCTCATCTGCTGCTGCACAGTTTGTGTTGGTCATCCTCTAGTCCTTCATCAGTGGTCACAGGACGCTGCCCACAGGACACTGTTGGCTGGATATTTTTGGTTGGTGGACTATTCTCAGTCCAGCAGTGACACTGAGGTGTTTAAAAACTGCAGCAGCACTGCTGTGTCTGATCCACTCAGACCAGCGCAACACACACTAACATACCACCACCACATCAGTGTTACTGCAGTGTTGAGAATGATCCACCACCCAAATAGTACCTGCTCTGTGAGGGTCCATGAGGGTCCTGACCACTGAAGAACAGGGTAAAAGGGGGCTAACAAAGTTTGTAGAGAAACAGATGAACTACGGTCTGTAATTGTAGAACTACAAAGTGCACATTGTAATTTTCTATTAATTCTAGCCCGTTTCTCAATGCACTGCACCCAGCATGCACTGCAACGTAATATGTGCTCTGACTCTCCTACCCCAACAACAATCTATGGGACAGCAGTTACACCTCAATTCTACACAGTTCTATGCAATTCCATGTCGTATCACCAAACGCACTAGCTGCTTTTCATCTGCAGTTCAACCAGTATGAACACCTGACGTCAGTTCAGCAGCTCAGAAATTGAGCCCAAGTATTAATGAACTTGCAGCAAAGAAAGGATGTCTGGTGTCTAGTTTAAGCAAATAGGTAGGTTTAAAAGACTGAACTCCTGGGGACATTTAAATTTTGATTTCAGTTATTCATGTAATATTTCAAGGTCTACAATGGGCAGTTTGGGTTATAGCACAACATTCATTAAAAATGAAATAAAAACGTTTTTTCTTTGGCCCACAGTTTTTTAATATGGCACCTTTAGTGGTTGAGTTTGACACCCCTGCATTAGAATCTGATTCCAGAACTGCTCGGCTATGTTGGAACAGTTCTGCTCTGTAACAAATGGAAAAATTAATAACTGAAGTTATAGCTTAAGTGTATGATGCTTAAAACAGTTACAGTACCACTCTTGGCCACTTGAGGTCAGAAGAAGCTCATGATTGCTTATTATCTTCAGTCGTCAAGGCAGCCATGAGTTTTTTCTGCCTCATCTAATTGAAGTTGTGCCTTTTGTTTTAAATGAAGTTTATAGTAGTTTTTTCCTCCATGATCAGCCAAGACAGACGTTTGATTCTTTAGTCTTGCACTGAAACTATGAGGATGACAGGCAATTAGAGCTTTAGTTATCAGTTTGGCGTTGTACAAACAGCACAATCATCACACTTGCCTCAGTCTGTAATCTCTAATAGACTTGCTTATGTGGATTCATGTGCATGATGCTAATTGGTGTGCTTATTAATTTATTTATTAATTATTGATTTACTTATAGCTCCAGTTTAAAAGAAAAAAGTAAACTTCAGACACCAAATGTGTTTTGACCTTTCACTGAACTGTCCTTTAACATAATGTCTCTCTCTGTCTTTGTAGGGCTTCTACACAGTGTACAGGAACCTGTTTGAGTCCATTGCAAAGGAAGAATTGGAGCACAGTAAAGATGAAGATGAAGAGTGTGAAGACTTCCCCACGTTTGGAGACTCTCAGAGTGACTATGATACGGTAATGCATCGCACTACGTCATAAATATACTGTAAAAATGAACTATAGGTGCATTTCTGGGACAGCTGTTCTTCCTGTTTCTGAAAGAATGTGGAAGAATCAGTTCTAGTATTGGGTGCGTGGATTTTGGTCTTTTTATTTTCATTTGTTTTTAACGTAGCACACTCTAGATCCAGCAGTATACTTCAAATGAAAACACCGTTTTGAAGCAAAAGAACATCTTCTCGATCAAAACAGTGCAATGGTTTGTGTTTGTGTGCTGCTTGCTGCACTGAATTCACTGCGTCATTCTTTCTGAGACCTCCCCCTGACTGGCTTCTAGTGGATCTGAGACATCCACAGAGTTCTGTTTAAGTATTCTTACAACCGTGTATTTGGTGGTAGTTTGATTTTGTTGAATTGTTTTGTAGTTTGAAGTGTGAAGGCTTAACTTCCGGAGTGTATTGGAAAATGACTCTCCATGCTCTCTCTCTCCCTTTTGCTCTGTTCCATGTTCTTTATCTGTCTTCAGTGTGAGTTTTTTCAGGATGCTGTTAACTAAAGGGAAGTTTACGGTAGGGGTGGACAATATGACGATATTTTAGCATTATTGTGATAAATTATGTCACAAATGTGATTTTCTGAGCATATCATGGATGTCATCAATTAAAAAAAAAAACCCTGACCAACTGCATATTTCGTTACAAAATGAGTGTATTTAGACATGTTTAGTTACATTTAGTGCAGTTTATTATTATTATTATTACATGTTTTTTGTGACCCTACAGATTCTATTTTGTTTGTTCCAATTGTTTAAAAAAAAACCTAAATATCGTGATGCATACTGTGTATCATGAAAATGTCTTCAAGTATTGTGATATATTTGCCATATCGCCCACTCCTAGTTTCAGGTAGTTTTAGTGTAAGTGCTGGGTTTGTGCTTCTGTCTGTAGGACACAACAGTTTTTACTAGGCGGTCAAACTCACATGGATCAGTGAGTTACTTGGCAGTTACTTGGCAGATCATGTGATGTTATTTGCACCTTTTATTCTTTTATTCATATGTACAGGTCTTTAGCTTCTGGTTGTGGTGATCTAACTAACGTGGTGTCTTACAGGGGAGTAAATATACATGATGGGGCACTGATCTTCAACTGCAAGTTAAAATTTATCATAATAATTATCAACGGTGCAGTCTTTGGCTGTTTTCACACAGAAAATATCTAAGCTTGGTGTATCAACCAAAATAACCCAATCAAATTGTGAAATTTGAAATCAGTGAGCTGTTTAGTGTCATCTAGGTCAGCAGAAAGCGTCTCACTGAAGTGACCATCTCTGAGTCTATAAACACCTGCTTGTCCAGTGTTCTTCTGAAATTAGACGTGTAAAGTTATCAAGTATAAGTTTGTCCCACCTTTTCTGCAGCTTTACTCTTCTGGCTAGGCTTTACACTGGATGTTGGAAGATTGTTGTGAGGATTTGATTGCGTTCAGCCGCAAGAGCATTAGTGAGGTCAGATACTGCTGTATGTTCTGATGTATGTACTAATACAGAATGTCCCCCAGTGCTGGAGGGGCATTATGCCTCTTTAAATGATGCTTGGCATTGGACATGGTGCCCTCATGTGTGAATGCTCCAGTGTCCAGTTTTATTGGTCAGAGCTTTTCTGTGGAGATCTGTGAGTGCAGTTGAAAATCTCAACCTGTGGTGCACCTTAAAGTAGCTGAATTTACTCATTAGAAAGGCTGTCTGGATACTTTGACACAGTATAGACGGAGTTCATAAAGAGGACTGCTATTGGAAGTGCAATGCAGGGGTTTCTAATAAAGTAACATAATCCATTTCCATTTTGTGTGTCTGTCTGTTCTTCCCTGGTTTAGGTTGTGCACCTGTTCTACGGCTGTTGGCAGAGTTTCTGCACGAGGAAAAATTTTGCATGGAAGGAAGAGTATGACACACGGCAGGCCTCAAACCGCTGGGAGAAGAGAGCCATGGAGAAGGAAAACAAAAAGACCCGGGAAAAGGCCAGAAAAGAGCGCAGTGAGCTGGTGCGCCAGCTAGTGGCATTTGTGCGCAAACGTGACAAACGTGTGCAGGCGCACAAGAAGCTGGTGGAGGAGCAGAATGCAGAAAAAGCCAAAAAGGTGGAGGAGTTAAGGAGGAAACAGAAACTGGAGCAGGCCAGGTGAGTTTTTCTCTTTCCCCCTCTCTGTTTCCCCCTTTTTGCCCTCTAAAAACACACACAGTTGGTGTTGTACATCCTACTTTACCTCAATCATGGTCTGTAGTCCTAAAATATGATTTTTTTGTAATATTTTGCTTCATTGTTAAAGAGTAGAGTTGAAAGTTTTTATTTTTTTTATTTTTTTTAAATACATTTTTTCATTTTTTCAGAGCCACTGGTATTTTGTAGATGCATGGTCTGTTGGGAAATTTGAGGCTCTGCTTCTGCTTGTTGCTCCTCTCATTAAAACGTGGCGACTGAACTCCGGTTAAATATAGTCGCTGTTACATACTCACCATCATTCATAGCCTTTCAGTTCTTGTCTGCCATATATTGTCTTTAACTTCCGCATTTTTTCAGAGTCAGCGTTTGTTTGCCGTATAAGCTTTTGTACTTTGCCGCTATCCTAACGCACGTTTGGGCTGCAGCCATGACAATGGAGCCTGATTTTAGTTCATCCGTACAGCACAGAAAATAGAGCAGGCACCATTTACAAAAAAAATTGCGCAGCGTCACAATCTGTCAGTTTTAGATTCGGTGCGAAAGACGTCATTAATATATGTGTGTTCATTTTCAAAACTTGATGTTTTGAGTTTTTTTGTCCATAAAAATCAGATGAAGTGTGAAAAGGCCTTTTACCTTAGTCAAAAGTCAGAAGGTCTGTGTTTCCATCTAGCGTTTGAATGAGAAACTGCAGGATCCTGCGATTAAGGAGCCTCACGCAGGGCTGCAGCAATCATACATATGGCTCATGTGTTTTACGTCACTGACCAGCTCTCTTGATCGGCTAAGTTAAGGAAACATCAGCCGATGGCATATTTGGATTGAAAATTGGTCGATATCAATACAATGCCGATCGATCGTTACATCTCTACAAAATACTGAGCACAGAACGTTCAAGCATGCAAAATGAGAGGAAAAAAAAAATCTATTCTGCCTATTGATTTCATGGCCATTATCGCTAATTACTGAAGAATTGATAAGTGGTCCCAGTGTTCACCAATTTTTTTTGGCCAAAATAAAATTCCCAGTCCTTTCTGTCTGTATTTCACTACTGCGTAGACAGTTCCTCCTGTCACGTTTGTTCATTCAGTGCATTTTTCAAAACCAGTTCTAATATCTCAAATCAGAATAATCAAAACAAAACCGTGGTGAAATTTGAGCATTGAGGGTGCACTAAATCAGAGGGGTCAGAGATTCACATCCCAATACTTGGAAAAAGTGGAAAAACATTCTAATGTAGACAGTGTCCATTTAGATGTTTAAAGCTCCCTCTGCTGTGTCTCCATGCTAATTAGTTAACCAAACAGAGGGAAGAACAAAACAGCAATGATTCATTTTGTCTTTATTTAGTATTGTGTGTGGATATTTGCCACCATCCGACAGCTTCTTGGTAATTCGTTCCAAGTCTGAGAAGTTCTGAACGAGACAATATGATTAACATTTTTATAAGCTTCATAATGGGCTTTATATTCTGAGCGCCGCATTGTGGATTTATGAGATATAACAGATGTAGAAATCTAGTGTTTGCTGCAATAAAAATGATGTATTTAAAGCTTAAATATATTTTGAATATTTGACAAACAAACACGTGGAAAGTTTGAATTTGATTTCTGATTCCATTTGACAGCCCTACCTTATACAGATAGTCCAGGCTTCAATTAATAGACACTACTTATTTTAATCTGTTGAAATGGATCTTTGCTGTGGGCTCTGGTCCTTAGACTGGCAGAGGATTATAAGGAGCAGAGTTGGGCAGCCATGTCTGAACTGGAGAAGGAGCTGCAGCAGATGGAGGCTCAGTATGGGCGGCAGTTTGGAGACGCTTCAGACACTGAAGAGGAGCTCGATGACATGCAGGATAGAGTGGACGCAGGTGGGGAGGGTGAGTACACACACATACTTATACCCACACAAGAGAGATAGTTAACCCTCCTGGGTGATCATGGTCATTACGCCATGAAACCCCCTTCTTTCATTTGAATCATTTCTAACACGTAGTTCATTGAAACAAGTGGAGAAATTCTATTGAAAGTGCACATTCGGATCTAATTTCAGTTTATACCACATTTGTGTTTGTAGGTGAGGAGATATTTTATTATGAATGAAATGAAAAGTTATAGTTGTGCATACAGTCTTAATAAAAATAAAACAAAATAAAAAAATAAAAGCCATCGTTTCCTTTTTTATCATAGAAACAGAAAAATGGTTGAAGTGCACACACAAACTTTTCGACACAGAATGTTAATTAAATGTGATTAAATGTACATTAATTTAACACTGTAACTGTACTTATTATGTAATTACATAGAAATAATTTTCTAATGTAAATAAAATGTGTAGAAAAATGAAAGTAACTCTAGAAGTCTAAGGGTTTGGGCATGTTTTCCACAGAGCAAGCTCTACACTTGGAAAAGGCTGTGTAGAGTTCACAGCTTATGATATGAAGCAGGTTATGATATGAAGCAGTATACGGTCAGTGTTCCAAAGACTGCTTATGTAGTAAAATACTGAAGTAGGTCTGTTTGCAATCGGTCAGTCAAAGTGGAGCCTTGGCCTGTTTCCACTGCGAAAACTAAGAGTTTTGGCCAAGTGCCACTGTTCATATCCGCTCTTCAGTGGGGCTTAGCAGAGGCACTTTAAAGCAGTTTATACAATTTATACAACTTCCTCTTACCCTAAGTGTAGCTGGTCAGCCAGAACCCGTTTAGCATCTGAAGTTTGCACCAGAGCTACGTGGCTGATTTAGCATCATGTATGCTTGCCTAAATAATCACACACTCACCTCAAACCATGTTGAGTTGTGAAGTAATCTCTATTAGACTTGCTTATATGGTGTCCATATTAGTTTCATATGTAGCTTCAGCAAAACTAAAGAAGCAAACCTCAGACACCAAATGTGTCTTGGCTGATGGACTGCGACTGGTGTAAGGAGTAACATTGTGTAAACTGATTTTTGGTCACTTAAGTCCAAGTGAAAGCTTTGTGCCAGATTTATTAGCTTTATACAAACCCTTTTAAAGCGGTTTAGATGCACTTTGTAGTTCTACAATTACAGACTGTAGTCCGTCTGTTTCTCTGCATACTTTGTTAGCCCCCTTTTTACCCTGTTCTTCAGTGGTCAGGACCCCCATGGACCCTCACAGAGCAGGTACTATTTGGGTGGTGGATCATTCTCAGCACTGCAGTAACACTGACGTGGTGGTGGTGTGTTAGTGTGTGTTGTGCTGGTATGAGTAGATCAGACACAGCAGTGCTGCTGGAGTTTTTAAACACCTCAGTGTCACTGCTGGACTGAGAATAGTCCACCAACCAAAAATATCCAACACCGTCCTGTGACCACTGATGAAGGACTAGAGGATGACCAACACAAACTGTGCAGCAGCAGATGAGCTATCGTCTCTGAGTTTACATCTACAAGGTGGACCGACAAGGTAGGAGTGTCTAATAGAGTGGACAGTGAGCGGACAGTGTTTAAAAGCTCCAGCAGCACTGCTGTGTCTGATTCACTCGCACCAGTGCAACACACACTAACACACCACCACCACGTCAGTGTTACTGCAGTGCTGAGAATGATCCACCACCCGAATAGTACCTGCTCTGTGAGGGTCCATGAGGGTCCTGACCACTGAAGAACAGGGTAAAAGGGGGCTAACAAAGTATGCAGAGAAACAGATGGACTACAGTCTGTAACTGTAGAACTACAAAGTGCACCTATATAGTAAGTGGAGCTGATAAAATGGACAATGAGTGTAGAAACAAGGAGGTGGTCTGCATTCTAAGGAAAGCTCAGTGGTGTAGTTCAGACTGTTCTGTATCAAAAGCTCCAAGGTTTGCTGGTGAAAACGCGCACTTGATGCTTTGAAGCACAGTTGGCCGTTTAAATTTTATTCCCAAGAATTTAGAAATTACTGGAAATGGACAAGAAAAAAACAGAACATTTTTGAGGAGCATTTGGCTCAAAAATGCATTTTTTGTCCATTTCCAGGAAGGGTTAAAGGGAGGTTTAAAAAAATCTTTACACTGTTTGTACCAACACAAAAGCGCTGTTTTGAGGCAATATTTGAGGGAAGAGGAATTCCGTGGATACGCGAAATTTCCGCAAACAATTTTGGTAAAATAGACAATATACAAACAACAGATGGACATGACAGGATGTGGTCAGTGTGAACTATACAACCACAACCACAAACACATGCACGTGACAAAACTGACCAACCAAGTCTGCATTAACACCATATACACACCTTTACACACAGTTACATAACTATGGCATAAATACATGAACTGCACCAAGCAAACTCAAGTGTGAAGCATAGGTTGATGCTGAAAAATGGAATTATCATAATTAGGCCTGTTACTATTGATTACATTAATGATCCACTGGCTATGTTGATGATAAAAAGAGGCCAGGCTATAAAAATGATCTTAACTGAACAATAATAAACCATGCTTAGTCTTTCAAAGATTCCAGAAACACTAACAAACAAACACACTGTGGCAAAGAAAATGCATATTAATGGGTGGATCCTTTATGTTTTGTCTTTACTGTAAGAGAACTTTAAAGTAGCATCTCTGTCAGAACAAAACCTCGTATCTCCAGATTGGTGACTTTATAGGAGAAGGAAAAACATCATTAACTGTTAATAGACGTTAATGTAACAATTTTATTCCAAGTAATTTTGGACCATTTCTGTGGGTTCATTGATCATGAGATTTCCATACATGTAAAGAACATCAGTTGTTTTCACATGACGTGAAATAAATACATACAAATATGGAAAATATTTGTTCTGGAAAATTATTGTTAATTATTGTCCTTAAGCGCTTAAGATGAATGCAGCATCAAGTGTTACACTCACTGTAGCTCTTATCTCTGAAATAGTAACTTTTGTTGGTGAAGCAAAAACTTCTGTCTTTAAATTGAATGTTTATTAATATTGATATGCTTTATTCAAAGTAATTGTACAATATTTCTATTGGTCCATTTATCAATAAATGTTCAATGCACATAGTTATACAGTTGTAAGCAGAAACAAAAAAAAACAAACAAACAAATGTAACCTGTACCAAAGTTACGGCACCTTTATATTTTAAATTTTATATAAAATAAAAGATAAATTCAGTAAAAGATAAATTCAGATAGATAAATTCAGTCAATTTTGCGCTAAAATTGGCAGAAAAAAATCATATTTATGTTACAAAGCATGTAATTAGCCCAGGGGTATTCAAACCTTTGCGTAAGCCTGTATGTAGTTTGAATTAGAGGAATGAGCTCCATTGAACTGATGTATTTTGACACGTTTCTGACACCTCTGGTTAATAAAAGCGAAGGTGTAGTGGGGGTGTGGGCGGGGGGTTCATGGGAAAATTTAACCCCTATCTCCAAACCTACTGTTTGTATCAAAACAAAAAAGTCAATAACAAAAACAAAAAGGGGCGAAAACACAAAATACACTCTTAGCTGAAAACATAAACAGTGCATGTAAATTTTTTTTTGTTTTTTAACAAAACTTGGGCTAGCAGCATTTGTCAGATGTCCGGAGGCTATTTTGCAGCTTTTCCCAGATGTATGCTGTGTGTTTTGTTTTTAATTTGATCAGACCTCTTAGCCTGCTTCCTTGAGGGGAATAAAAGTTAAACAGGTAACTAGCAGGAGTTCTGGTCCTAATCATTTTCCAGCAGATGCACATAAACGGCATAGTTTTTATTGCCTAGTTTTACTCTCTGCCTGTAGAGTTTGTTGTTGTTGGCTGGAGAGTTGAACTGGATTTGTTGGAGTGCATCAGACTGGATTTTGGTTGTTTATATGGACACAAATACTTATGGGAAAACAGAATATGTGCATGGAAGCAGCCACTGTTTCATGCGTCATGTTATTTTCAATCAGACTTTAGATGAAGTGAATGGACCAGGTTTTACCCCTGAAAAAAGACAGTACCGTATTAGAGCTGCACTTTCACACAGTAGCTTTCAGTTGATTAAGGGTATAAATCTTTGACCTCCTAATGATTTGATTCAGTCACAAGCCCAGTTATAACAGTGGATTGTGACATTGTGATATCACAGTGCAGAAATGTGACTGAGCATGGTGGAGGTGCAGCACTGCATCACAGAGAAGGGGCATTTATTAATTATGGCCTGAAGTGCGACTGCATTGTGTGAGCAACAGCATTCACAAACAACCAGCACTAACATGATCATTAGGAACAACATACTTCAGTTTTCTCAATTCAAAATTAGTTTAAAATATCATGAACATATCAAATTGTGGGTTGAGTGTGTAGTTAAAATTTAAAATATTTCACAATTTGATGTAATTATTTTGGTGCAGTTCAGAAATATTTGACTGGAGGAAGTCTTTCCACAGTACTGTAATATAGACAAAACAGTACAGCTAGCATTTTCTAAAACTTGATGAAGAAAAGACAGAAGTAATTATAATTGGTAGTGAAGCAAAGAGGGAAAAGATGTGTAAAAGACTTGGAAATCTGGCTGTACAAGTAAAAACTGATGTAAAAACTGAAGGAATTTTAGGTGTAACTCTAGATTCTGATTTAACTTTTAAAGCACATATTAATAATATTACCAAAACTGCTTTTTATCATTTAAGGAATATAGCAGGAGTTCAACCTCATCTCTGTCTGCAAGATGCTAAAAAACTGGTCCATGCTTTTGTGTTTTCTCACCTTGACTACGGTAATACTTTGTTCATAGGACGTCCTGCAAGTATAACCAACAAACTACAACTTGTGCAAAACGCAGCAGCCAGAATATTAACACAGACTAGAAAACAGCATCATATTAAAGCAGTTTTAGCATCACTGCACCAGCTGCCTGCTTCCTTTAGAATCAACTATAAAATGTTACTACTAGTTTTTAAATCTCTTAATGGTTTAGCACCTTCATACATCTCTGAGTGCTGATGGATTATGTTCCAAATCAAGCTTTAAGATCATCCAGTGTGAGTCTTCTCATATTCCACGTATAAAACTTAAACAGAGTGGAGAGGCAACGTTTTGTTTTCATGCACCAAAGATCTGGAACACATTACCAGTAAACATCTGTCAGCCTCCTTCTGTCAATGTTTTTAAAAAACAGCTACTTATTTCTTTACTTTACTTTTATTTCTTTACTATTTTTTTTATTGTTTCCTTTGTTTTTACTGGAATATTACTAACTTTACTTTCTTGTTAGCTGTATTTTTTATCATGTTTTTATTTATACTTTTATCTTGTGCTTATTACTTAATTATTATTGAGATATCCTCTTTTCTGCTATTTATTTGTTTTTCATCTTTTATCTTTTTTCTCTTCTTCCTCTGTTGTTTCACTTTGTATTGTGAAGCACTTTGAGTTGCATTTTTAATTTATGAAAGGTGCTATATAAATCAACATTATCATAATAGTAATATTACTATATATAGAATAATGATAAAATTTCCATTTGAAAAGAGTGCATATCGTATTGACTGTCATCATAGTTGATTATAATCAATTCTAACATTCTAAAGTCAATGCAGTTGAATCATCACATTTAAATTAAATATGTCTCGGTACATTTTTACACCCATAGTGTTGCCTGCTTATGATTTTGAGAGGTTTTTTGTAATAGGATTGTGCCATAAAGCCAGTATTCCAGGTATTCTGTGCGATTCAAAGGATAAGGCTAATTCCTGCATTAGAATTCCACTGCAGCTGGCCTTATCCATTTAATTCAGTGTGGAATCTAGGAAATTTAAATGCTCCAGTTAAGATGGAACACAAACAGCAGGTGGACATGGCAGGATGGGGTCAGTGTGAGATGTAAAAACATAAACACACATGCACGACAACAGTGACCAGACCCGCAGTGACTACACACAAACAAACAACACTCGCGCACAACTGTAAGGTGTGCGAGGCTGACGTGCAGATGTTAACTTAGGAGCCTGAGGCTCTAACTGATGTGCTAATGCCTCCCCATGTACACCATCTCTAAGGCCTGTGTGAGTTATGGATTTTAAATTATGGTCAATCAGTTTTAAAGCAGTGCTTATTGATTCGATTGATTGATCAATTGAAAGGAGTAGCATTACTGAGCCAAGATACAAAAACACGGTAAAGCATGGTAACTGTGTGCTGATGCCAGTCATTCTGTAAAGCTTGAAGTAACCATTTCAGTATTACGGGCATCAGGTTTTCAGACCACATCATAGAACAGTATGTAATAACGTCACACACAGCCTTAAAAAAGAAGGTCTGGCTTGATGTTTAGGTCTCAAATGAAAACTCAGCATTACTCTGATGAAGATATGATGAAACTAGTGGATAATTCACTCGCTTCCTCAAAAGGAAGCGCGTCCTTCACCATGTTTTGACTGAATTCTCTTTGAATACTCTGTCAACGCACTCGCAGTCATCAGATTCATCCACAGATGCAAGAGCAATTATCATTTCCAATTGCAATTATAGCCCATATTATCAACAATGTAAGTTTTAATAGGGGAAATTTAACCCAGTAACACAGAGCTTGAACTGAATGCGAAGCACCCAAACACAACCACAGCTAACTGGCAGTCTGGTGCACTGTGTTCAGTGTTCAAGTCGTAAGCCAGGACAAAATGTATGTGTTGGTCTTCATGGCCAAAAAAATTTAATTTATATAAAATAGTCACAATTTAAATCTCAATCACAATATTGGTCGGAAGAATCACCATCCTCAAGTTAATGCATTGTGTATTACTGAGTGTTTTGTGCTGCTTCATGCTGTGGGAAAGCCATGGTAATGCATTGTAATCTCTTTAGAATATGACAAGACAAAGATAAAATGAGGCATACTTTAAATCTATAAGCTTAATTAGACCAGAATACAGTATGGCCCCCAAAGATCACCAAATATACGTCCTAAAATTTGCATTATAACTTGTCAGTTATGACTTTTCTCTGTGCATGAATTCTTTTGGGATGGTGTCAGATATGTCAGTGTGAACTCTAAGAGTACTAGAACTAAAACACAGAACTAAATAATTTTAAATAAAAAACATAGTTTTAGTAAAGGTGTTTACCTGGCTGATATTATTGTCATTCCTTGAATTCATCTCTTAAACTCAAACAGCGAGAATTCAAGTTTAATAATAGATAGTATAATGTGTTATGAATAAAAGCTAATATAAATATTAATCAAATATTGCAGAACTGTAGCAGAGCTCACCAGGCTTCTTGGAGGTTTTGTTGGCTTTTAGCTCAACTTTTTTCACCAGTTCTTTTCATTGTAAAGGCTTATTTGTGTTGTATTGTGTTGTGCTCGTGCTTAAGGTGACGTTTGGGTGCTTATTTGTTGTACCAGTTCAGCCTGTATTGTTAGAATAAATGTGAGCTGTTGGTTACTGCCAACTTAGTTCTTGTTAAGAGTGGTAAAAGAAAACAGCACCTTTAAAATCCTCAGGAATGACTTATTTGCCTGCTAGTATTCTTTTATTGTATAATAATATTTAGAAGTATAAATATATAACACACAGATGCAAAGCAGTACCTGTGCTTTATTGCTCTGCATTTTTACCTGTGCTCTGCATGGAACGAAGGGATGTGTTGGTTGAGTCATAATATGAATGGTCTTTAACAGATACTTTGTGTTTGTCAGATGCTGTGGATGGTGCTGATGAGATAGAGGAGTTTTATGATGACCTTTACTGTCCTGCCTGTGACAAATCCTTCAAATCGGACAAAGCGTGAGTAACTTTGGTATCACTTATGTTTATATATATATGTGTGTGTGTGTGTGTGTGTGTGTGTGTGTGTGTGTATATATATATATATATATATATATATATATATATATATATATATGTATATGTATGTATGTATGTATGTATGTATGTATGTGTGTGTGTGTGTAAGTGTTCTATGCAATATTCATAGTAAGTGGGTCTGGGTGATGATCCAGTTTTTACATTGTATTTATGATGATTTGTTTTTTTTTTAGAGATATAAAATTAGGCATCATTGTTAACTTCAGTGTTCGTAATACCCTTTTTTTTGCAGTCACTTGACTTTAAAAAGACTGTGACAGTCTGGTGTAGTCTAACAGCCTCCTCCTCTCACTTGTATGAGCATGTTGAGGCCCATTAGCAAAATGGAAACCTCAAGCCACAATATAACGTTATTCAGTTGGCCAGCACAGTGGATAACACTGCTGTCTGTATGACTAGAATTGTACTCGTTTGTTTGACAAACTCTGTGACTGGTGCAGAATTTTCTAATCAATAATGTATCTGCAACTACATTTTGAACCGTTTAACACAGTAGTGAACATTTCCTTTGCGGGTATCAAATCTCTTTAGACTGCCTCAGTATAAACAACATCCGGCTTGTTTCTCTCTGTTCAGCATGAAGAACCACGAGAAGTCAAAGAAGCACAGGGAGATGGTGGCGTTGCTCCGGCAACAGCTAGAGGAGGAAGAGGAGTCTCTGAGTCTGACTACAGCAGACAGAGATGGAGAAGAAGGGGAGGCTGAGGAGGAAGATGAAGAGGAAGAGGAGGAGAGGGATGATGCACCTAGACAGAAGTGGGTTATGCACCAAGGCCTTGTTATACACAATAGAACTGTTCAATATGGACAAAACACCATGTTAAAATATTGTGATATGCACAATAGAAACACCTTGATGTAGGTGGAGTATTTTGACCAAAATTATTAACCATTATTGGATTACGCTTTCTATATGAAGTATGCTCTAAATCTGTTTTCTATAGACTGAATGGTATTGAACCTTATAGATAACTTAGTGTCCTAGGTACCTTAGGATTTGGAACGTTTTGAAGTTTTCTGTATTGCTTATGCTCCTTATATGCCCTCTATACACTGCTGTTGAACTTCAGGATGCTCTCTGTATACTTTCTATAGGCTGAATAGCATTGAACTTTAGAATGTGTCGTTTTCAAACATCACTGATTCTGATTGCAAGCATATTGTCAGCCAGTGCTGTAGCACCTATGCAGCACGTTTCAGTGAATTAATTTTGTTTGCTTAAGGTTACAGCCCTTGTAGGAAGACTGTGTAAGCGTTAACACATTTGTGAAGTCATCACAGTTCATTCACGCTTGTCATTTTCACAGCATTTTACCTCTGACGGCTATCCTGGCAAAGCGCCAAAGATGTGTCCTTTCTCATACAAATTGCAGATTATTGTCAGAACTGCGGTTAATTATATTTCAGATCCGACAGGACAATAATACAGACAGTTTCTCAATGCACTTCTCGCCCACCAATTAATAGTTTTCCAGTAGTCTTTACAGTATAGAAAATAGTGTCAGAAATAACTGAATGCAGCTCATAGAACAGGGGACCCACTGATCTTTTTAAATTGAAGCATTGCTATGATGTAACGTCTGTTCTTCACACTTTTTATATGAATTTTCATGAATAACGGTTTTAATTGGTCTTATTTAGAGTTCAACTCATTGGTGTCCTGTTGTGATTTGCAGGTTGTCCAAAAAACAAAAGAAAAAAAAGCGACAGCAGAAAACCATGAATGTAAGTACATTTTACAGGCAGTTCATCAGCACTGTGACTGCAAACCTCTCCACACTACAGCCTCTTAATCCAAGGCTTCAGGCATTTTTAGTGAAATATTGTGTCACAAACTATTATTCAGAGCCACGACAAAAAATGTCGTGTATCGATCTGTAGGTGGTGATAAAACTTTATTGATTTTGGAATGTTAATTGATTATAATTGATCATATTATACTATTGTATAATAAATATAACAGTAATGAAATATGTAGTCATTTTTTGGCCAAAACAAATTTCTCCGGCTGTTCTCAGGTAAAAATCCAAAAAGGCTGTGTATGTTGTTTTTGTTGTGTATATTCAACTGCTGTGTAAATAGTACAAGTCACATCAGATCAGTGTATTTTAAAAAACAATTCAGTCGTTGCAAAATAACAAACTGAATTGGGTTGTGAATTAAGGTTTCACAATACAGTGAATCATTTCCTCAAGAATTGCAATCAAGTTGCATTGCTGTCTAAGGTTTACAACTGTATTTGTAATTCATGCTAATGTAACATACATATTCCACAGAATGTTCCAGAAGAGCCAAAGCCTGAGAGTCCAGTTCCAGACTCCACGGAGGGCATCAGTCCACCAGCCCAAAAGGGCAGTGATGATGACGTACCACCCTCTGAAGACCCCACAGAGGAGATGAAAAAGGACGGACCTGAACCCAACAAAAGGTCACCTATGTTCAAAATTCCAGACTGTTCACTTCATCACTGTTCAGGTGTCGTCTTTGTCCATTGTTCTCACTTAACTGTCTTTTTCAGTTCTGGGAAGCCGAAAGTCAAAAAAGGTGGAAAAGATTCCAAAAAGAACAACAAACCTCAGGGAGGTGGGGAAGTAAGCCAAGAGGTAGGTAACATGTATGTATGCATGTGTTAGAGCTGCACAGATATGAATAAAATACAGTAATGCAGTTAGATTTAGACATGCAGTTTGTGTGATACTAATTGGTGGGTATAAGATTCCAATACTTACAGTAAAGAAGCAAACTTCAGACACCAAACATGTCTTGGCCGATCAGCTGCATTTTGGGTAAATTTGATTTTTTCCCCCCAACTAATCCTTTACATTAGAAACAAATGTATTCATTTTAATGCCATGGTAGCTTTTATTTGGTTCATTTGCTGCTCTCTCTCTACCAGCTTATTTTCACTGTCATAAGACAACCTAAAAACTAATTTAATATCTGAAATTGGACAAGGAGAAAATGTTTTTAACATTTGTTGGTGTCTCTTAAAAATGAGAGCTGTTTACTCTTTAAAAATGTATTTTGGTACTTTCATTCCTAATATGTAGAAGGAAACTGGTGTTTTTAAACTGTGTATAAAAATGGAAATCTGGGGGGAAAAAGGTTCTGAATCATGAGGATTTCTTATGACGGCAGTGATGTGTTTCTTTCTCTAGAGACTCAGTTGTTTTTCTCCCTCGTTTGTGTGCAGAAGGAGCCAAACCTGCGCTGCGTGACTTGCCAGTATGAATTCAGCTCCAGAAATAAACTGTTTGACCACCTGAAGAACACAGGCCACGCCACCGCCCTGCAGTCCAGCATGGCAGCAAACACAGCGAAGAGCAAGAGAGAGAAGAGGAAAAACAGATGACCACAGCAGTGACCGGCAGAGTTATTACTATTAGTAATACTAATAAAGACTGAAGCACGGGAGGGGTTTATACAGAACCCGCTTGGTCAGTGCTGTGAAAGCATCTATCTGTGGACTGTTTTGCCATTCTGAGTTAATCTGAGTGAGTGTGTGCGTAAACAGGTATGCAGTTTCTCCATATTCACAGTGGACGCTGGGAAACCCACAGCATGCTCATGCTACTACGAGTTGTTTTCAGGAATCGCCGAACATGTCCAGAAAAAAATCAATCTACTACTCCACCAAATGCACTGTTTGTTCTCTCTGTGAGAGCTTCCTGTTGTGAATGTGGAGTGCACTATGTATTTCATCCTTCTCTTCCTGTAGGAGAAGTGGAGAATAAATTTGTCTTCGCTGCTGCTGTTGGTATATGACAGGAATTCAATCAGTTACATAATCTCCCCCTGAAACGTCTGTATGGTAAATTTGCATGTCTGCCACCACTGATGCCTCAAACATATACTGCACTTTTTTTTTTCAGTGTATTCTTACACCATTCTCCATTCTTATACACTGTTTTTACACTATACACCATTGTCACTACTTGTACAGGGTTAGTTTTACATGAGGAGATGGGGTATCGTAATTTTTACTAGCATTTCTGAGCGATTTTAGTCTTGTGTCAATGCAATGTATTAGTCATTTTTATAGCCTGTGCACTCGCACTCCCGGGTCAGTAAAGATTCCAGCGCCTTTTACGTTCCATGTAACGAGCTGTAAAAATAACCTCGGATTATATTAATCCTGTGCGACTCGACAAGTCAGTAAAAACGCTATCATATTCTGTGGAAAATGAGTTTTTTAAGGATGGAGGCCTTTGAAGAAGCGTTTACTTGTGTTCTCTGTGGCTAAAATCAAGCTGATATGTACTGTCCTACCTCAAGTGTACAACTCGTTAATAAGGCAGGCACTTAAGACAGCAAGACAGATGGCTAGAGTAAACAGAATAGTGGTGAAATTAAATATTTTGACATTTTCAGCTCGTTTCTAAGTAAAGGCAGTATATAGACTGATTAACCTCCCACTAGAGCTGGGCGACATGGCCAAAAACGTTATCACGACAAACAAAATTCATATCGTTCGATATCGATACATATCACGATAAATGTCAAATCATGATTTCTTTCACGTCTGAAGGCTCATTTTGCTCCTGGGTGGTTAATTGTGGTTTTAAACTATCACTTATGGTCCGATCATGACAAACACTCACCAAACAGTGGAACATTTCACTAATCTGTCTTGGGACAGTGGGAGAAAGTTTCTGAGCTGTTTTTATCAGCTGGAAAAGCACAGCTGCAATTTTTGTAATAGTCATGATTTAAGAAAGAACACAGATTATTTTTAGCTGTCTGGTGACGAGCGCTCGGCTACCCCGTTACAAATGCTAAACAAGTGGCCAACAACAGCGCTAAACTCTTTAGTTTCTCAACGACGTCAACTCGGTTCAGTAGGTCACTGCTGTCACTCCTACCACATCCATGTCAGAGCATATCACAGTACTCAGACACCAGCTAGCGACAACTGGGTTTCTCTATGCTACCGTGGGAGTTTAAGGGGTGAACCGCAGTATATCTGACGTTCGCTGTATAAAAGCATTATCTGCAGTGTGAATCTCTCACACCAGTCACAGAGTCCTCCTTTTAGGTATGTTTAAACTGAAAGCGGTGATTTTGTGTCTTGTTTGATCTACAGTATCATCAATTCACCGTGTTGTGCCGGAGCGCTGCTTCAAATTAGCCAGCAGCTAAAAACAGCTAGCCTGGAAAGCTAACCTAGCGCTCTCCCGCTTCCCAACGCCTCACAGCTTCCTCAGTTTACTTTTGTTTAAATAAGGGCTGTAACGAACATGAACCCACTTCTTTCTTTCACTTTCGTTGCTCGGGAATGCACTAATACTAAAATATGACGGTTTGGCGCTGTAACACGGCGCTGTAGACGTGATTTAACACCGCTAAAGTTGTTAGGATGCACGGAAGGAGGTGAGTTCACTGTAGGACAGTACAGTTACACCACTGATCTCGTCACCCACACTCGCTCACAGGAGAGCAGATCGCCGGTCGCTCCACTCAGACAGGGAATGTATAACTCCACGTTTCAAACGTTGCTAAAGTATATTTGGCGACCCTTTTTTTTTTACTCGTGGCCCCCTCCCTCTCTAATCAAGTCGAAAAACTCGAAAGTGCACCCTCTCCTGGTGACAGCAGAGTAGTGTCGCTTTCCTTGCAGTAGAAAACACCACCGGGGCTAAAACGTGGAGGTGTGAGAATGGTGCATTATATTGAACATGTCTTATCGCTCTATCGAGGAAAAGTTTTATCGCGATACTTATCGTTATCGTTTTATCGCCCAGCCCTACCTCCCACCATCTCTTAATTTATACTGACATTTTTTATCCAGGTGAATTGGTCATAAACATTACAGATGCCCTGAGGAAAATTGGCATTACCCCACCTCCCCATGTACAACTACTCCTGTCCAAATTGTCTTCAATTGACTTCAAGGGGTCTTTAATAAAGAAAATGCAAAAACTCTTTTCATGATTTAAAGGGTTCTTTGCATCGATAAAGGGTTGTTCAGACTGATGCAGAATGTGTGGTTAAAAAACAGTTCTTCTGTTGTTACAACCTTGACAAGACCCTTTTTGGTGCTATATAGAACCCTTTTTTACTGCACATTCTCCATCAATCTGAACAGCCCATTCATGATGCAAAGAGTCCTTTAATCATGCAGAGTTCTTTGAGTGTTCATGTTTTTATATAGAATCATTTTGTTTACTGAAGAACCATCATATTCGAGTGTACTTAAGTCCAGTGGTGCTCAATTTTGGTTTTGGAGGTCTGCCAACCTGGAGAGTTCAGATCCAACACACCTGGTTCTAAAGTTCGAATTCCCCTGAAGGCCTTCCTCACCTGGATCAGGTGTGTTAGATTAGGGTTGGAGCTAAACTCTAGGTGGTAGATCTCCAGGACCAGGATTGGGCTCCCCAGCTTTAGACTATACACCAGTAGTCACCAACCCTGGAGAGCCATCTACCTGCAGAGACTAGTTCTAACCACAATCTGCCACACCTGCTCCAGCTAATTAACCCCTTCAGATGTCCTTGATCAGCTGGATCAGGGCAATCATGTTAGATGAACTGTGTTCTCCAGGAGGACCACTGCTATACCTTTCATACAATATATACCAGTGTTTTTAATCCTGCTCCTGGAAACCCACAGCACTGCAGAGCTTCACTATTCCCTGCCCCCACCGACCTGAGCCAGATGAGGTGTGTTCAGTCAATTTTCTTACACGGTACACCATTCTTAAAGGGAAATTTGGCATGAAACTTTGAGTCACAGTGGTGACAGTGGTGATAGGAACCAGACGTCTGAAGAGGTTTAATGGCTCTAAAAGCTCCCTCGCAGAAGGTTGTTACATGAAATGGTTATGAATACGCTGCTTGATGCCTGGAACATATTACGATAGTTCTGAGATAGAGTTTTGGCCTAAGATGTGTTTTTATTTTTTAATCCATTCCTGGTGGAGAGATACATGCAGGGAGTTGTGAGGCACAATAGTTCCAAAGAAAACTTTGTTTTGCATATTTTGCATATTTCACCATTACATATAATAACTCAGAAGACATGTAGGCTCGCAGGTGGTTTTGGATAGTAAATAAAATGGCTATATTTTTGTTGTAGACATGGTGACCCCTGGTTCCCATCACCACCACTGTAAAGAAATCTGAATCTGTAAGTTTCTCTATAATTAACCATTTCACACCAAGCCTCTCTGAATGACTGTTTACATCTCAACCACTGAATTATGGAGACTGTTTAAATACAGTGAAATTCCACTTTAAACTATACACCATATCTACACTCATTCACAGTCTAGTGTCAGGATTGTTGTAGGGAAGCATCGTTTCAAATCGGACATGGTTTTGCAATGAACAAATTAATGCAGTTAGCTGAAGTTAGCTATAACGAATCAAACCCAATTCCGAAATCCTTAGCTGCTTATCAGAAATGTCCTAGCTTAATAAAAAACAAATGCAGTTACTGAAAGGCAAAGACATTTGAAACCGCAGCTTTTTTTCCCAATGACCCTCTCTTTGTCCTCTAGAAATGTCTCTGTGGCTGCGGAGTCCAGCGTGCAGTGTTCTGCAGTTCTAGTAGATAATCTGGGTAGTAACAGTCCACTATGGCCTGTACACTAAATTTGGCTACTATAACATGGAAAGTAGAGTGTGTGTGCATCTTCTGAAGTCTTCTTGTAATACATTCATACAAGTAAGTGTGAAATTTCTAAGATGGATATTTGATGGATTTTCTGTGGTTTCAATTAAGGCAATTCAGTCAATCTAATATGGACAAACTTAATTCAACACTTGAGAAAAGTCAGTGTTCAAATCTTGGGTCTCACTTTGTTTGAATAGTCCCCTATAGATTATCTACAGCTGTTCAAATTGTGAACAAACTATCTGTTGAAACTCAGTTGATTCTAAACAGTGGTGGGGTTAGGGTTAGGATTTGGACCAGGGCGAGGGTTGGGTTTAGGTTTAAGGTTTGGGTTGAGGTTAAGGTTAGGATTAGAGCAGGTTTAGAGTTAAAGAAAATTGCCGTCAATTTAGCAGATATTTAATTGAATGTAACCTGAAAGTACATTAAGTACCTACAAAGCATCTGAAGGGGAATATCTAAATAAAATGTTACCAAATCTTGTACCAAAAGCAAACCATTCCTAAGAAGCCTGCAGCATATTTTCATCCTGGATGTGACTAGAAGGCTTTATTAATTCTTAATAGGTTTGATTTAACAGGTTTTCATTAAAGCCCTGTTTAGTTCAGTAATTAGTATTGAAGTTCACACACATTGTCTTGTTATGCTTTATTTTCTTTCCAAGTGATCTGATTATGAAAAGCAGTATAATTTTACAGCCACATGTAAGTCAAGCCCTGAACTAAAATTTACTATCAGTGTTGAGTTCCTACTTTAATATCCTGATCTAGACAAGATTCGTCCAGAGAACCTGAGTTGAGGTTCTGTAAACAGAGGTAAGGCCCAGGGCAGGTGAGCATAATTAAAGTGCTTTAGTGAAGAAGACCAAGTTCCTGAAGTCCGTTAGAGCTTGAGAGGCTTTCTGTACACGTCAAAGCTGTGCAGACAGGACTTCCAGAAGTGCTGTATGTTTTTGCTGATTTAGATATTGCATGTAAACTACCACGTCTCCCTGTTTCACTCCAGCAGCCCTAAGGAATGAGGCTGGCTTCTTTAATGGTGTTCACTGACATGGTTGCATTAATACAGCAGTAACTGATTTTAGTAAGTACAGTCATATGCAAATGTTTGGGTGCCCCTGGTCGAATTACATGTTCTGTTGATTTTCTAAGTGAAAATAGGTTAACAGCTCTCTACAGAGAATATATTTTAATGCACAATTTTTCTTTTATTTGCATTTATTTGTGCAAAGTTGACATTTTATATTTTGTTTTATTTTTTCCAATATGTTAAACTCAGCAAATGAATAGAAACTATGCCTTAAAAAGTGCAGAAAAAATGTCATTTAAGTTTGTTCCTTGTAAAGGATCTACTAACTTACTTTAATTAAAAAAAATCAACAAAATTTGACCAGGGTGTTTGCTGTATCAGAAGAATGCTATTATTTTTTTTTTAATTAATTCTAACTAGACTAGAGTTAAAATATTATTTCTAATCCCAGATTCCATAAAAATTGTAAACAGAATTATTAAACAGAAAACCACTATCAGCCAGTTAAGCACATTTTAAATTAGCTAAAGTTATCAGCTGGTTTTCTCCAGTTTTTGGTTCGGCTGTGTTCTCTGAAAAGCATTTGTTCCCTGCGCCATTTCTAATGTCTGCCTGAAACAGAATCAGAAAGTCAGGGCCAGTGCTGATCTGCCTATTTCAGGTAAAGATGTGGTTTAGCAGTTGATTCTCTATATTATTATTTTCTTTAAGACCTAATATCGATCTGTCGTCTTATCTTCTCTCCGTGTAGTTCTGCAGGGCCTGGTCAAACACGGCCAGGAAGAAGTCCACATCGTCTTTCGTGATGCACATGGGCGGCTTTATCCGGAACGTCTGAGAGGAACGGACAGAGAAAAAAAATGGAAGGGAGTTGAGAGGGTTAACAAGGGTGGAGAGGGAGGAGAAAGATGGCTGTGTAGTGAAAGTGCTCTGTTGCAGAACGCTGATTACCTGAATTAGTCTTTTTTAATTGAAGGGCGCATATCATGGAAAAACAAGTTTATTGTCCTGATTATTGTCCTTCATACAAGCTCTAACTAGTTTTAAATCTCCCCAAACTGATTAAAATTATTTACTAAACTAATTTACAAAGTATAACTAAAAAAAGGAAGGAAGGGGAAAAACAAGTAAATAGGACTGTGAGTGGAAAATGAGCGATAAGTGGAATTTTGTCTATTACTTTGCTTAACCACCAGAAAATGCTGAGCAAAACACCAGTGGACCACCAGCTTTGCCATAAGCGGGCCAACAGTGGTCCACTATCCTCTTGCTATCAGGATTACTAAACACTGACTTAAGCACCAGTTATTAGGCAGCTTTTTTCAGCGTCTATGTCTAACATTTACAGTTCAATATGTGAAAAGCTGACCCTGCAAGAATCTCACGTAAACAGCGCCAACTATTTTTGTCACACCGGACTGCTTTTTCAACAAGGCACAATACAGGGCAGCCAGACAGAACAGATGTCATTTACATATCTTCGCCGTCCAAAGAAAAACAAGCATGTCCAAAAGGGCAACTTGAGGCAAAAACATGTTAGTAAGGTAAGTTATTGTGAAGAGATTTTATTTCAAGCCGTTTTGGGGCATTTTCATTGGTCCATTTATCATATAACTTTCACACAATGTAAATGGCAGCAGACTTTCTCAAATTTTGTGAAAAAATGGGAAAAAAAACAAAAAACACGAGTATTATGGGTTTTTTTGGACAGCGAAGATGTGTCAGTTTTAAAGTCATAAAAACATCCTGTTTTATTTTTAGGGATAAAGAGAGTTTGGAAAATGGTCATGTAAAAACAAATTATGACTGTTTTTGATACATAAGCCCGCAAGCAGTCCTCAGGGGGGAAAAATACAAAAAAAATTAGGATATGGGACGTGCGTCTCTAAAGTCAGTAATAAAGTAAGTCTTGGTATTATGATCTGATTGCACTGTTTCTTTTCCATTACCTCCATAAATACTGTATATTTAAAAGGAATAAAGTGTTTATTCCATCATAAGCCTGTCAGTGTGCCACAGTTTGTAAACCTGGCCAACTTCCACTTTCCAAGTTCATCACCCTTTCTACCCCAAATCACACTTTACATCTTACAAGTGATTGCATAATATTTAAAATGTGCTTCTATTCTCCAGGGTGTATTTTTTTCCACCTGAATTTACACGACCAAACCGTAAGGCAAATTATTCAGTAACGGCATTAAATAAATGTAAATTTTTTGTAAAAGCTCCCCTCAAATTAACAGAACGTGTTTTATGATCATACACATATTGCTATGTGCTTAAAATTTACTGCTGAAAGCCAAAAATCGTAGACGCTCTTTGTATTATTTTATAAAAATAATTTTTACAGAGCAGATCACTGAAGAGACGCCATCTGTTTCTAGTTTATAGCCCAGATTTGTGGAAAAATGGGTCGACTTTCAGTAGAAGAAAAACTGTGAGTTCAGCTTCTTTTATTATAAGGGTTTAAAATTACATCACCCATCTATTTGACTGGAAAGTAGACAGTTACAGCTCTCATACGACCCCCACCTTTTGAATGAAGCTTATAAAAGTTATGAAGAATATGATGAAGTGCATTTTGGAACCACCAGTGGTCTCAAGGAGTTGAATAGGTTAACTCATTAGTTTCAGTTCTATTTTTATATATTAGTATCTAAGCTGCACCATCTAGCAGTTTTGATGAGGTGGTTTTAGCTCTGATATGTGTAAAATTTAATTTTAAGTTAATTGATCACAAATTGTCAGCGTACCTGCCCATAAATCCCTCCTTTGCCGATCAGCACCCCCATATCCTTGGTGTCTTCAAAAATTTCAGCCATGGCCTCTGGAGGGAGGGGTTTACAACTCGCCTGGAAAAAAATAAAGTCAGGGTCAGACCGGCTTCAGGCTGCTGTAGAAATCTTTTTTTTCAATTTTTAATCACAGGTGCAGTCACAGCCCTGATCAAATGATGTTTTTTTGATTTCTTAAGTGAAAATATGTTGACATTCTCCACAAGGAGGTTGAAGGTGGCATTTTTCTGCTAATTTTAGTGCACAAGTTTAACATATTGGAAAAAATTAAACAAAATATAAAATGTCATAACTTTTGCAAAATGTATATTCCCCCAAATATGTTCATTTAAAAAAATAAACCTGTATTAAAGGGGAACTCCACCAATGTTTCAAAATGTCTGCATAATTAAATGGTTGACATGTCAGAGTGTCATTCAGCATGATTTGGTGTGAAATGCTCCATTCTAGAGAAACCTACTTCAGAATTGTTCACAGACAGTTATTACATGAAAGGGTTTTATATATATGCTGCCGGATGCCTTAGACACTGTTTTACACTAGTTTTGTGATAAAGCTTTTGGTATGAAATATATTTCAATCAATTTATTTTAATCCATTTATGGTGGAGGGACACATATTGTAAGCCAAATAGTCTCCAAAGAAATCAGATTTACCACTATTTTACCATCATCAACATTATATAGAAGTTAAACCTCAGAAGGCAAGTGTAGGTTCACTGGTGGTTTTGGGTAGTAAATAAAATGTCTATTTGTGTTGTAGACATTGTGAAGCCTGGTTCCTGTCACCACCACTGTAAGGAAGTAGTAATCAGTTTAGTTTCTCTACAAATGAAGTATTTCAAATCACTCTGAATGACTTTGTTTACATCTCAGCCATTGAATTATACAGAAATCTGGAAAAACAGAGTTCCGAAAATCAGAGTTCAGAAAATCAACAAAATGTAATTTGACAATAGGAACAGTCATAATACAAGGAAACTAAATCTTCTTCACTTTTAAAGCAATAAAAGTTAAAATAATAAAAACATACCATTCACTCCTCAGTTATAACAGTCCATATAGGGAAACAAAGATGCCAAAAAATAGACCTTTTTCAGTGTCATGTCACAACACAACACAGCGTATTAACATATATCTGCTTGTTCAGCAGGTTAGCCACGCCCACTCTCGCTTAAGTTCTAAGGAGGGTTTCAGCCCAGACTGCTTTTAGAATGATACAGTGCAGCCAACAACAGAGATCATTTACATATATCAGCCTTAAAGACACAGTAACATAAATTGCCTGTTTAAGGGATACAGACAGGTTGAAAACAGTCATGTAAAAATGAATTACGACTGAATTTGGTGCCTAAACTACACAAATGTCCTAAGTGGTCCTCAGCAGAAAATATAAACAAGAAATATGTAGGATACAGGCCCTTTAATCTGATAGGAATGGATATAGTGAGAGAAATCCGGTTTTCGTTTGTGATTCTGCTTGTTTTCTACATTTATTCACCCAATTCTGCTTAATCAGCAACAGCAGGTATGAGGGAGGTTTAAACTACAGCTACGGCAAGGAATGTCAGGACAAGGCACTTCTCTGCTGCCATCTGGTTAAACGTTAATGAGGTTTCATAGTTTAGGATGGAAAAGGTTGTGCTCATTAAACTCACACACACACACACACACATACACTCTCTCTGCATGCCAGTGTTCTGCCTCAGAGATAAAACACACACTACACTCATAATTATTAACTGTTCAGACTGATGGGTCACAAAAATCAACTTCATCCCTCTGCATTCCTCCCAGTCAGCCAACCAGGATCTCAGAATGCTGCATTCAGTCATTTAGCTGATCCTTCTGAAGCTGATCCTTCTGAAGCAACTTCACGGCTCATGCCTTACCAAAGGGTTCAATGGTGGCAGCCTTCAGCTTGGAACCACCTCGTGACCACTTGTGCCTAAGCTGAGTTCTCAGACTGCAGTTAGCTGAAGTTAGCTATAACATATCAAACCCAATTCTAAAATTCTGAAATCCTTAGCTGCGTATCAGAAATGGCCTAGCATAACAGATACAGTTACTGAAAGGCAAAGACATCAAACTTCGTTAGACATTTGAAACCGCAGCTTTTCTCCAATGACCCCTTCTTTTCCTCTAGAAATGTCTTTCTGTGGCTGCGGAGTCCAGCGTGCAGTGTTCTGCAGTTCTGGTAGTTAATCTGGGTAGTAATAGTCCACTATGCCCTGTACACTAAATGTGGCTACCGTAACACGGAGAGTAAAGAGTGTGTGTGCATCTTCTGAAGTCTTCTTGTAATACATTCATACAAGTAAGTGTGAAATTTCTAAGATGGATATTTGATGGATTTTCTGTGGTTTCAATTAAGGCAATTCAGTCAATCTTTGGCAGCAGAGAAGTGCTTTGTCCTGACATTCCTTGCCGTAGCTGTAGTTTAGTCACTCTGAGTTTTCACCACTACGCCACCCACACCACTGGTTCCCAACCCTGGACCTACAGGCCAAACCATATGAATCATACCTGGTGTTGAAATTCATTCATTCAGATTGACCTTTTTGTCTGACAAAACCTTTGCTTTTTTCAAATGGCCTTTACAGTCTCCATTTCTTTGTTTTATGATAGTATTTGTTTTTTCCAGTGATTATTTATTGTGTATTTAGAGTTTTAAAAAAAAACAGTTAATCTTTTCCTTGTGTGTTTTACGTTTCTGCTCATGCACAAAAGTGGAGCATGGTTCTCCTGTCCCAAGCTCGGCTACTGTCATGACTACCACCAGCCAATTAGCGATGTTAACTAACAGTCACATGAAATTTATGGCATATGTCATTAATCAGATTTTGATTGCTGGTGTTTGGTGGGGTGTGCTGGTTTATGTTGGTGTGTTGGTGTTCAGTGGGATATGCTGGTATCTGTTGATGTTTGTTAGTGTGTGTGTGTTAGTGTTTGTTGGTGTTTAGTGGGGTGTGTTAGTGTCTGTTGGTGTATTGTTGGTATCTTCTGGTGTTTGTCGGTATTCGGTGAGGTGGGCTGGTGTTTATCAGTAGTTTCTCGTATTTGATGGGGAATGTTGCTGTTTTTGAGTGTTTGGTGAGGTGTGCTGGTGTTTGTTGGTGTTCAGTGGGGTGTTTTGATGTCTGTAGGTGTTTGTTAGTAATTGGTAGCGATTGTTGGTGTTTGCTGGTACATTTTAATGTTTGGTGGGGTGTGCTGGTGTTTGTTGGTGTTTGGTGGGGTGTTCTGCTGTCTGCTTGTGTTTGGTGGGGTGTTCTGGTGTCTGCTGGTGTTTGTTGGTGTCTGTTGGTATTGGTATTCAGTGGGGATGTTGATGTTCGTGTTCAGTGGGGCATGTTTGTGTTTGTTAGTGTCTCTGGGTGTTAGTAATGGTTAGGGTTTGGTAAGCTATACTGGTGTTTGTTGGGGTCTGCTGGTATACAGTGGGGGTGGTGGTGTTTGATGGTGTGTGTTGGTGTTTGTTAGTATTCAGAAAGGTGTGCTGGTATCTGTTGGTGTTTGTTGGGGTGTGTTGCTGTATGTTGGTGTTTGATGTGGTGTGATTCTGTCTGTTAGTGTGTGTTGGTGTTTGTTAATGTTCAATATGGCGTGCTGTATCTGTTGGGGTGTGCTGGTGTGTGTTGGAGTTTGATATGGTGTGCTGTATCTGTTGGTGTCTTCTGGTGTATGTTGGTGTTTGTTGGTATTTGGTGGAGGGTGCTGAAGTTTATTGCCATGTGTTAGTGTCTGTAGTGTTTGGTGGGGTGTGCTGGTATCTCTTGGTGTTAGTATATGTTGGTGTTTTTTGGTGTGTGTTGGTGTTTATGGGTGTATGTTGGTGTTTGTTGGTGTATGATGAGTGTTTTTACTTGTGTTTACTAGTGTGTGTTGGAGTTAGTGTTTGGTGGGGTGTGCCAGTGTCTGTTGGTGTTCGGTGGCATGGTCAGCTTTCTAGCCAGTGAACTCAGCAGAAGCATAAAACCATGCTTTTTTGATGTCACAAAATCAATCATCTGGAAACGTGTTCTACTTTTACAGTCCAAATAAGCATTTCACAATGAGGTTCCATGAATCTTGTTTCACAATATATAATCAAATTAATTGTTTCATAATCCAGTATCCCAGCATTATGTGTCATAAAAACTGTAACATCATACAGCAGTAGAGCAGATGTACAAACACTTAATGCCAGATGGTTTTGTGTACCAATAGCATTACCTCACAGCACACACACACACAAATACGTCAGCAGTTGGAGCTGAATGGTGCTCCAGCAGATCCAGCTGGATTATCTATAAAAATGATATCCATACTTTTTCCATTTTGTCAGTTTGAGCCAAGTGTGTGATAGTTCAAGCATGTAGTTTACATAGTGCTAATTGGTAATTGATAAGCTTCTATCACTTGTTGCATTTGCCTTGTAGCTCTAGTGCAAAATTAAAAAGCAAACTTCAGACACCAAACATGTCTTGGCTGACTGATTACATAAACACTGCATTAATCTGTACCCATTCGGTCGTGCTGTATACATACTAGTTCAAGTTTATACAGATAAGATGAAGCATTTGGTCTCTCTCACTTTGTCTGTAACCATCTCCACCCCGATCTGCAGGCCTTTTCCTCGGACATCCCCGACGATCTCGTATTTATCCCTCAGCTTGGCCAGTTCAGTCAGCAGGTATGTTCCCACCACAGCACAGTTCTCCTGAAGCCTGTCCTCTGCAATCGTCTGAAACACACACACACACACAGTGCAAGTGAAACAGTCAGGGCTGCACATTATATTATGTGTTTATCATTATTGAGATACTGGTCTTTCCAATACTGATATCACAGAAAGCTGTAATATGCAAATGAACCACTAAATAACCACAGTGTTTTTACTGTGTGCTGTGATCTTCTTGACCAATCACAGCTCCAAATGAGTGTTTCTGTGGGTGTTTTAATGAATCAATGTGTTCCAGTAATCCAACAGAAGTAAATAATTTTGCTTAATATAATGCAGGACTGTCATCCATTACTGATGTGGTTTAATATACTGCAAGGCATATGACTATTATTGCAATACTATCACTTTTCCATGCTATGCTACCATTAAATAAATATAAATAGTTTACATTATTCATGTACCTGCATTTATGGAACATGGAATGGCATATTACTGTTATTATTATTACTAGTAATAGTATTATTTTTATTATCATTAAAACTGAGGTTGACAGAATGACCTCTGTAAACTCTATAATGAAACCTGAGCACTGGTTCCTTTAATGTAATCTTTTCATGATAAAATCATTTCTTTGTGTGTGTAGATTATGTAGTTATAGTTTTCCAGGACGAAATAATGTGCTGGCCTGAACTGAACAGTACAATCATGGCTTTTTGGCCATGTGGGATGATTAAAGCTGCACTATGCAATATTTTCTTTGTTAAAATGGAAAGAGGTGGTAGCATTACTGAGTCAGGAGATTAAAAAAAAACCACTAAAATATGGTGAACGTGCACTGCTGTGAGTCAGCCTTTAAAGCCTGAAATAATAAGTTAAAAGTGAGAGACATCGGGTGAGATTTGTGGGAGTTTTTACGTCTTTACGTAACGTCACAGGCACAAAAAGAAGGTCTGGCTCAAATGCAAAATCAACACTATACTGCTGTACATCCGTCTCCAAATCCCCAAAACTTATCTGGTGTAGCTTTATAGTTGTTAATGTACAGGTCATTAGAAAGAGCCACTGAATATTAGTCTGTACTTACATCCAGCACAGAGGATGCGATGGCACAGGCAAAAGGGTTTCCACCGAATGTGTTGAAGTGGAGCCCCTTTCCAAACGATCTGGCGATTTCTGGAAAACACATTGATGCACGAGTGATGGACACTTTAAAATGCCTGTTTTCACAGGTGCAGAATTCTAAACTCAAAAGCCACTCAAGTCTAGTAGAGAAGTAATATGTGCGTATGCTCTTTCTCTTACTAGAGAAATATGACGCCACTAGAAAAATCTTACTAGAGAAATACCATGGGCTGATTTTACGGAAGTTTATAAACATATAAACAATACAGTTATCATTTGAAGCTATTCACATAAATGGTATGATTTGGTTTGTTGTTATTGTAATTTAGCAAAATATCTTGAGGCTTTACCCCTTAAATTGCAGGCATGTTATTCAGTTATTAATATTAAGACTTACTATTCAGTGAATGCTATGAAATTAATGTATAAGTTCTGTGGTTTAAACTGAGGAACTAAACTGTGAACTTACAAACAGAGTTCTGGGAAACTGGCTCTCAGAGTTTAAGGGGTAAATAGAGCTTTTGGTAAACAGCCTTATTTGGTTCATCCTGTCTGTTTTTGACTTCTTTTGTTCCTTTGTTTCTCTCATTTAAAATGAAAAGAAGCTGTAGCAGTATGGCTGCATAACAATGGGTAAAATGATAATCATAATTAATCATGACAATTATTAAGGATATTCAGGAATAAAATATCATATCACTTTACAGAAAACTGTTTGTTTCAAGTCCTTATTCACACGAATTAGTACATCTTTATTTTTGCACAAACCTGTCTGCATGACATGACTGAATATATGACTTCATGCACCAGTCAATTAAAAAAACATACCTAGTATTAACCCATTTAACTAACTAAAGCAATTTTTAACTTTTATTTAGACCAAAGTTCACCACAGTTAAATATATAATGTTAAGGATTAATTGAGAAGGCCAAGAATTGGGATCATTATTTAAACATAATTAATTGTACAGCATTGATGGACACCCCCCCCCAACACACACACACATACATAAGAACATGACACCATCTCTCTCCCCACATTTGAAATATCAGATTATGTCTGTGACACTGTATTTAAATATAATTAGTGCATTTCACACTGAAATACTTCACTTAATATAATTCATATATCTGACTACTTTATTGGGTCTCACTTTGTTTGGATAGTCCCCTATAGATCATCTACAGACGTTTAAATTGTTAGCAAACTATCTGTTGAAACTCAGTTGATTCTAAACAGTGGTGGGATTAGGGTTAGGATTTGGACCAGGGTTAGGGCTAGGACCAGGGTGAGGGTTGGGTTTAGGTTTTGGGTTGAGGTTAAGGTTGGGGTTAGGATTAGAGCAGGTTTAGAGTTAAAAAAAATAGGGTCAAGTTAGATATTTAGTTGAATGTAACTTGAAAGTAAATTAAGTATCTACAAAGCATCTAAAGTGGACTTATCCAAATACAGGTTTACCTTTATTTTTTAACAATATCGGCTGCTTGAATTACTGTATCAACCAAATACTGTATTCCGTTGCTGTTCTGGTTGCTACCTCAATGACTGCTATGCTCATATATGCTAAGCTATCTGCTAATATGTCATAGTATGTCCTCCTTTCCACAACTCCACATAGTCTCTGTACCGTTCTGTTCTGTTTTTGTATTTTGTATAGTTTTTCATATTTGCTGCACTGTGTATATTGTATTGTTTTTGTGTTCCTGAGTTGCACCGTAGTCCTGGAGGAATGTTGTTTTGTTTCACTGTGTACTTGTACACAGCTGAAATGACAATAAAGCCTCTTGAACTTGAAAAAGCTCTGCCTAGCAGCATTAAAGGTCTATCCGTACTACCTTCTGTAGTGACCACAGCTCCCATAGGGAATCCGTTAGCTATGCCTTTCGCCATAGTAACCATGTCTGGAATGACGTCATGACCCTGAAAGCCCCAAAAATGACCTCCTGTGCGTCCAAAGCCAGTCTGGACCTGAAATATTAGAAAAACAGAACATTTCTAGCCAAAAACACTCAGTCATAACCAATAGTTTGAACAACTCTGGTCAAGTTATATGGTATGTTGATTTTCTAAGTGAAAATAAGTTAACATATCCTCTACAGGGAACTTAAATATGGGATTTATCTGCAAATTCTAGAGGTTAACATAAAAAAAATGTAATTATAACGCATAAAATGTAAAATGTGACAATGTTTGCAAAAGCCACATTTTTTCTTTTATTCTTTTTCAATACGTTAAATTCTGCAAAAAAACAGTAATTGTGCATTAAAATGTGCAGAATTGTGTTCTCTGAAGAGGATGTGTCACTTAGAAAAACAAAGAAAACATGGAACGTCACCAACTTTTGCATCCAACTTTCTGTGCAGTACCCCAAAATGTGTGGTTCTATCCTCATAAAAGGCCAAAAGCAATGTGAGCAACAAATATGTACACAGTGTTTTAATGTTCTTACCTTATAATAGACTTTTAAGGTTCATAAAAACTGAAAATGGCTTATATTAGATGTTTTTATTTTCTGGGAATGTGAAAGACCAAACCACAGTGATGACTGTGCTATGATGATTCTGAGACCAGGTCTGTGTTTATACCTCATCTGCAATGCAGATTCCACCTTTTTCCCGCACAAGCTTGTACGTCTCTTTCAGGTAGTTCTTAGGGTACTGGACTGCTCCGCCGACTCCCTGAAAAGATGAAGAGAAGATGAAACATCTAATCAGAACAGCACTGAGGAGCAGCACACTTATTTTAGCCCTAATTAGCCATTAATTGTGAAGAGTAGTTATTAGAGGATTATTAGTCCTCCTAGGTCCCTTTTGAAATGCCGCCTCTTACATTTTGTTTAATTATTTTACACTCGTAGCTCATTGAAACGAGATGAGATATTCTGTGGAAAGTGCAGATCCTACACTTTCATCTTCACCACATTTTGTAAGTGTTTTGTAAGTGTGGGGATACTTTATGATTTATATCTGATAGAAAGTTATTGTTGTGTCCACACTTTGTAGAAAGAAAAAACTTTTTTTTACATTTTTGCCTTGTTTTTGTCAATTTTTTAGATAAAAAAAGAAAAAAAAAAACTCAGAAGCACAAGGTTGAACCTGACAACATAGAATGTAAATCAAAATGCAATTTGTATAATAAAGTATGTAATATGTAATGTAACTACTTTAATAACTCAAGACTTCTAATTAAAGTTCGATGACACGTCATATTTGGTCCTGGCGATACACTGATTATGAAACCAAATGATTCCACTGTACATCAGTCATTTGAACATTTGTGTTTATGTTAGCTGCAATAGTGTTATTATAATGAATTTCTAAGGATCCATATTCTACATAAGCTGTGTCCCAATTCAGGGGCTTCATCCTTTGGAGGCTGCATTTGAAGGCCGACTGCGTCACAGCGGCGCGACTAGTCTGTCCCATTTCGAAGGCTCCATCATATGCGGCCAAGAAATGTGTCCTTTTCCATGGCAACGAAGGATCCAATGGGTGGATCCTTTGCCAGCCAACGTATCCCGTGGTTCATTGCATGCCGGCGAGGATTCGAGAACATGGTGGCGTCGGCAGAGAAGCGAACGGCGGCTGAAGAGACACTTTTAAATACAAGCTTAAATAAACAGCCAATGTGGTCTGAAGAAAAAACTTACACTAACGTTTATTTTAGGAACAGAGAGACAGAAGCATCTCCAGCTCTAATAAATGAAAAAATAAAAAATAATAAAATCAAAGTTTGGCTCCGTCTTCAAAGAACTTTAAAAGATCTCGACAGGAGCAGCGTTTTGTGACGCACGGTAAGGGCGAGAAAAGCGGTGCTGTGACGCAAACAGGAAATCCGTCGTAGGGCAGACCGTCTCATTTCGGTTTAGCCATCGCGGGTCTAAGCAGCCTTTAAAGGACACGCCTTCATAGACCGTGTCCTTCGAAGGATGCAGCCCCTGGATTGGGACACACCTATAATCTCATTTATTGTTTTCCCAGAGGTCTTCCAACGTTTACATAAACTTTTATAAAAAAAAACTGTCACAATCCGTTTTACATGAGCTCTTTAATTTTTTGGCTGCTCTTGGCCGCTGCTGTGAAATTATTGGCTCTCTTAGTGTATGTTTTGCTAGTTAGGGTCTGAGCTATGCTAACCTGGATGGGCTCTCCAAAGAAAGCAGCGATGCGATGGGGGACAGTTGTGTCGAACGTTTCCTTCAGCTGCTCAATGTACCTGTCATTGGCCTGGCAGTGACCTGTGGCAAGGAGAGAGTGGTTAACAAGTTGTAGATACACTTAACATGCAACTGAATTACAATTACACACATCTAGTGGATGAACTGAATGAACTGAATTCAAGGACATACAGTGTATATTATATAATCTCTACAATACAGTCTTTTCAAACCAATCTGGTTTTCATGCACAGCACTGAGGCAGCCCTCTTACATGTTCTCTCCACTGATTCTCTTGCCCTCTCAGATTTAAGAGCTGCGTTTGACCTTGCAACCTATAACACACTCATCTCCCATTTCATAACTGATACTACCCTTGCCTCATTTATCTCTTCTATCACTGATAGATTTCAGTTAGTTGTTCATGGTAAGCATAAATCCTTCTTCGGCACTACTATGCAAGGTGTCCAACAGGGCTCGGTCCTTGGCCCCCTCTTTTTTTTATCTACATGTTTCCCTTTGGTTGTATCATTGGTTTTCATTTACATTGCTTGCCGTCAATACTTTGGTTAGCACCAAAGCTATGACTATCCTGCCTACCATAACCTTAGTTTCCTGTATTTATGATACCAAACAGTGTATTAACTCTTAATTTTTTAAACTGAATCCTGAAAGAACTTATTACTTATTGGCTGAAAGTCTGTATTTGTTTTCTGCATTAAAAATAGAGACAGGCTTGTCAAATCTTGCTTAGCTGTTCACAATTTGGCTACAATCTTTGATCCACCTTTTTCTTTTCATGCCGATAACATTGCACGTCTTCACCCCACGCTTGTCATGACAGATCGTCCTCTTGGAATTATAAGGTTCTCTTTAGCATTTTTGTCAAAATTGAGTTATTCACATATTCTTATTCTGTGACAACTTCTTAATATTATATGAGGTGTTTTTGAGTTGTATGCATTTTTTTGGCTCTTTATCTGGAAAACAAAAAGGTTCTATAATCTAATCTAAACTCAAACTCTAACTTAGTTCTATAAGGTTCTATCTACAAGCCAATCAGCACTTCGAATACACATAAGAGGACCAATCAGGTTCTACTTCTTTGTCATGTCACCGGACTGCTCAGTGACTGCAGGAAAAATTTATAAAACTACATGAAACACGAAGACATGTTGCTGAAACGCTGCCTTGTCTTAAATTTGATAACTATTAAGCCTAAAGAATTGATGGGGTCTCATAAACACTAATTTCCTTCATTCACCCTCTTTTTTTCCTTCTTTCTCCCAAAATAAGGTATTCTTGTGCATTAGAGTCACATTTCTGATATAATTCAAAACCTCATTCTGCCTTTACACTGACCTGCTACACGTTCTTGCTGGGACAGTTTATTACAGTAGCTGGTCTCTGTCTAACCTAAAGAAAGCTTAAACTAATGGCTCCTACCTAAAACTGACCTCTGCACTGGACAAAATATTTAGCCCTGACCTTTATACTTAATCTGTGATGCATTTTTGAACAATAAAAGATGATTTGTCCTAAAACAAGCAATAAATGTTATAAAAATGAGAAAATTATCAAATTAAATGTCATAAAATGCCATAAAGCATTAAGTTTAACTTTCTGATACATGTAGACACTTGGTTACAGCACTCATTTTATGTTTTAAAACAAATTACAAGTAAACTGTTTGTATTCATTGAAAATCATTGCTTCTTTGTTTATGTTTTGCCAGATAGAACCTTATAATTCCAAGCGGAAAGTGAGTTCTTAGGATTAGAAGGTTTGAACACGGCAACTGTCCTTCATATTGTCTGAAAATTTCAAGAACAGTGGAACAACAGAAATGCTCTAAAACTGCTTGGAATAAAAGGTATTTACATTATATTACATTGAAATCAAAGAACACTTTGCCCTCTCCTGCAAACTTGCCGTTTTGGAGATACTTGTTGTGTTATTGTGTTTAAATACTACTTTATATTGTGGAAGCTGTGCGTGATCGTTTCATATGAAGAGAGCAGCAGCTGTGTTGGCCATTTTATCTCAGAATAGCTGTCTTTTTAGAGAGGTGTCAATTGTTTTCATAGCGGGGAGGTTCTCACCCCCCCTTTCACCACTCATTGCTCACTAGCAGCTCAACACAGAGTCACAATATGTCACACAAAGAGAGCTAACCGTGTCGTAGTTTCAGAGAAAATGTTTTGTTTGATTATATTAATAAAAAAGATCAAGTTAATTCTTATTTCCTTTGGTGGAATGACATCCAGGGGCTCTGCAGACAGAAGCTGAAGTGCTAGTAACATAGTGCTGTCAACTGCCAAACAAAGGAGATTAAAAACGTCTTGATTCTGCTGCAGTAACACTCATCTACCCCATTAGCAGGTGCCCTGCAGGGCTTTCCTTCTCTGTCAAGAATAAAGTAGCCAGCTGTTTTCTAGGATAACTGCTGCCCATGAACTGCACATGATACAACCGGGACTAAAGCACCATGTGTGTACAGTGCTCTTCTCCTGAAGAACATTATGAACTTTTTAACGCTGTGTAAATACTGATAATGCCGTCATGTGTCCGTAGTTTTGTGAGTAGCTGGGATTCCAAGCACAGGAGCTGGTTTAAAAGAGAAACAGGCAGAGTGTTCACAGAAAGCAGTTGATGTTTTACATCATAAAAAAGTCATATGTTACAGGATTTTTGGACTATAATTTACAGTACTCTACTGCTCAAACCTGTGGAATCACTTTTCATATTGATAATTCTTATTTTATAAGTATTAACTTATACACTATAAAACAAAATAGTATAAACTAGACAATAAAAGATACTTTAGATCTTCTAGTCAAGTTTTTCTGCACAATAAAATAGCTTTTCAGTGATAATACTGTAAATATCTGTATTAAGTGAATAGTGATGCATTCTAAACTTTATTATATATTTTATTGTCAATATTACTTTTATTGTAGCTTCATTCTTGATACTCATTCTTGATTTTATACAGCTTCTTCAGTCATTTTAGAATATAAATATATAATATTCAGCTCTTGTTCATTATTCTGAGCACGTCTTTAACCTGTGGCCAGTGGCCATTCCATTGGCAGAATGGAAATCAACTTGAATATTATGAATTAATATAATCAAATAAAAATATTTTCCACCGTAACTCTTTGATCAGATGAACTAGGACACTGTTGACTCTCTGCCTGTGAAATGTTGCGACTCTGTGAGCTGTGATGTGTGAGAGGGGAGGGGTGAGAATCCCCTGCTGTGAAACAATTCACACCTCTCCACAAAGACGTGCTGAGATAAAACGGACGACTGCAGCTTTCTTTATATCGAACAATCCTGTACAGCTGACGCAATAAACAATGTAGTTTAAACACAAAGAGTCCACGTTTATAAATGTTGACTTGTTTACTCAACTACAGAAATTAAAATCCAATTTGCTTCTGCTTTTGTAAATCATACCTTTCCTTCGAAATATACTCATCAATGTTAGTGAAGATCAAAATCCCCTCGTAGGTGAACTAAGGGAGCTCCAAAACAGGTGGGAACTGCATTTCATGGCTACTGAGAAAAGGAGTTAATTTCTTCACATGAGAAATTTCTGGTAACTGAAAGACATGGTGGACATGGTGGTCAAGTGATGTCATCAGTGTGATTTTTATTTCAAAAGAAGAGATTTTTTGTTACGCAGTAACACCAGTGACACGACTCCTGAGAACCATGACTTTCATTATATATTTCATGATATTTATTTGGCATTTGTTTCCTTTATGTCATTTAATTAATATATTCCATAGTCATGTTTAGATTATTGCAGTTAAAATGGCAGAAAAACGTGTTTTTTACTTCAAAATATGGCATCACCCTTCACACATAACTGTGGGGACGAGCACTTCTGTGGTGCTTGGATTCTATATGATTGATTTAAAAACGAATATTGCTAAATTGATGCCTCAAGAAGGTGTAATTGTTAAAAACCTCTCGATAGAGAATATCGGCCTAAATCAAAAAGAAACTGAATTAATTATGTAACTACCTACTGTATATAATTACCTATGGAGTTATGTAACTACATATAAATATCTGGGTGATGTAAACTGAATGTATGCAGAGTAGAATACATGCATTACACAGCACTCTACAGATCTGAGCAGAGTATGTGGGGTTGTTGTGGAGAATGCTGTACAGGAGTGCTGCGTAGAGGGTCAGCTGAGGGACTGTAGTGTGTGATACACTGAGCTGAGGTTAATATGGAACTGAGAGTAAAAGTGTTTAACTGAGGCTGAAAAATCATTAAACAGAAACGGCTTCCATACAGCGCTGTGTGTGTGTGTGTGTGTGTGTGTGTGTGTGTGTGTGTGTGCGGTGTGTGTTTTGTACAAAAACAAAGAAAAACAGGTCTAATGTTCAGGACCCAAAAAATGCTCCTGAGTTTGTTAAGTACTTTTTACTAAAGCTCCATATTTCATTTTTTAAAAGCACAGGATCAAAACCACACACACACACACACATATATATATATATGTGTGTGTGTGTGTGTGTGTATGTGTATATATATATATATATATATATATATAATGTATATGTATGTATGTATATGTATTGATACAACTCTACAACGCTGTGTCTGATTCACTCGTACCAGTGCAGCACCCCCCTGTGGGGGTCCTGACCGTTGAAGATCAGGGTAAAAGAGGGCTAACAAAGTATGCAGAGAAACAGATGGACTACAGTCTGTAACTGTAGAACTACAAAGTGCTCCTACATGGTAAGTGGAGCTGATAAAATGGACAATAAGTGCACAAAGAGGTTGTTTCAATGTTATGGCTCATTAGTGTATATATGATACACATTGGGCATGTTATTGTTACATAAGGGTACTTATATTTATAATACATATGGGACAAGAGTGTGCGTGTAAATGTCCATGAGAAAGTCTGGGTCTGTGTATGAGGAGAGATGCATTTATATGTCTGTGTGTGTCTGTGTGTGTGTGTACCTGGTGAGCAGCTGCACTCTCTGATGGTCTGAACAGGAGAATCTCTGCAGTGGCTCCCTCCCCACACACCCCGGAACACATCAGGACACATGGTCTAAACACATACATGCACGTCTTGTCATTTGGAACATTTGTCTTTGCAACTCTGCAACTCTATAAATGAATAAAGATGAATAACAGGAAAGAAAGAACGTATCCAGGACCTGAACTGCAAGAAATGACACCTCGACAAATGTAATCATCTCACACGTCAACAATATATTTAATATTTCTCAATGTGAGACTGCAAGAATATTAGAACATTATTCAACCTTTTTCTAGACATTTTTACTTTCAGGTTTCAGATTTTATCAAGTAAAATGATCTCACTGTTCTGGCAGTTCTGTTTTTTGTTCTTTTCCTACTTTTAAGGAATAAAGTTTCAAGGAAGTAAAATTATCTGACAGTGCAATTAAATCATTTTGATAATTTAATAACCTGATAATTACTTACAATAAGTACAAAATATCTAGAAATAGGTTACTACTATTATAGTAACTTTTTTTAGTTTACTATTTATTATAGTAAATATATTCTTACAACAATAATTGGAAATATTAGATATTATAAAATACATCATCCTACATTAAAAATGCTTTTGCTTGCCAAAATATATATTTTTGCACTATATCTTTTTTTTTATTTAAATGAAAAAGCCAACTGGATTGAATTAAGTTAGTCAGAGCTACAGTGAGGGGTATTAAGTGCAATGAAAGTAGTAGTATAAAAATAGTTGACTAAGAAAGACTATGGATAAACATGAAAAGTTTAAACAATGTATATGGGCACAGGCCTCCATCAGGGAGACAGTTTCTTCATTTCATAAACCAAGGAGATATTTCCAATGAAAAAACTTGTCTATATACACAGTTTTATCTTTATATCTTTATAATGCATCACTTTGCAAGTGTTAACTGGGTTAGAAAATGGCACGATCGTTCATCATCTATACGGACATGGTAACACCAGCGAGTACGACCACAGACGAATGTTCAGACTATGTGAGATGTGACGGTGATTTTGTTGCCCGCAAAGAAATCACAGTCATTTCTCATGTTTTCTCTAGTGGAATATTACATTACAGCAGGACGTGGCTGACAGCAGTACTGATAGTTTGGAGTTGTACATACATTATGGCAGCCAAAACCAGAGGCCACGGGGTATTTGTAAGCTGTGTTTGACGTCAGACCCAACGCCAGAGGACTGCCACCATGATAGGAGCCTCTACATAACACACATCAACACACACACAGTAAAACCACTAATCATTTCAACTTATAACACTGGCTGTCTTAAAATTTCAAGTTCACTTAACATCAAATCACTGTTGTTGGAAGAAAACCTCATATCTCTAAAATAGTAACTTTACAGGAGAAGGAAAAAGCCTACTTTACTTTTAATGTCCGTCAACGGAACCAGACTTTTTTCAAGTAATTACGGGCCGTTTCTTTTGGTCCATTCATCATGAAATTTACATACAATGTAAAGGGCAAAAGGCGTTTTCAAATTATGTCAAAAACTGAAAAACGACAAAAATGGAGATGCGAGGTTTTCTTCCGACAACAGCGAAATGCTAAGTTAATGGAACAATAATCACGTGTGTTTAAGTCTGTTAAGTTATTATTTAAAGTGCAATAAAATTAAGCAGCCAGTTCAATTACTTTGAACGTTCAAACTCCAAATCAGTTTTCAGAGTGCAGAAGGGGATTATTTACCAAAAAACAAAGCGGAGAAAGGTAGAGAAATGGGGATATTGAGGCAGCAATGACAGTGCTCATTTTTTTCTTTGTGATCCAATAGTGAATCAATTAAGCAATCAATCAACCTTTATTTTCACTCGGAAATATACTGAGGGTGACCCTCATTTTCAATGTAGCTGAGCATTACAATGCAAAAATTAAAATGGAATTGAATCAGTTATTATTATTACAATTACAATTATTACACACTGAAACCTATTACTCAGTACTACAGGGACTTCAGTGCAAACCGGCTGAGCTATTCTTAGGTTATAGAAGAGTGTAACAAAACTTCAGGCCTCCCGGTGGGCCCTGGCCATTTAAGGTGTTAACCTTTGTTCATAGGTATAATTATCCATAATATATATCATAAGTCCTTTTAATTTCCACAAGAGTGACACTGAATTTTGTCATTCTTGGAGACAGGGTGACTATAAACTACTGCGTAAAAATTACAGCTGCCATTTTAATCATCCGCTGCGCCACAATTTATCAGCCCATCTCCACCTCATCCATCACTGCTCAGTTTCTGACAACACAGCAGTTGTTCACCAGATATTATTTGGGTGGTGGATCTTTCTCAGCACAGTACTGACACTGGTATGGTAGTACTTGGTAGTAATTTGATTCCCTCGTTTTTAAGACAATGACTATTGCATCTCAGCCCTTGTGTGGTGTTTGGGTCAATGTTTCAATGTTTACCAAAAGAAAACAATTATGTGATTTATTATTATTTCAACCTCAGATTTCAGATTGCTCATTTTCTGTGAAGAACATATAAAATAACCCATTTTCAGTGTCTTCACTCTGTTCACCCCCCACACATTTATATTACACATGTGGTGCTGGGTGAACCTGCGGGGAATAAAAGTGTGGAGGTGCTGTGTTCTTCACTCTGTTCTCCTCCTACATGGCCTGCTGTTAGTGTGTGTGTGTGTCTGTGTGTGAGGGTGGACAACATGGACAGGCTGCTGACTGGCTACAGCTGCTAAAGGAGAACCCTACACTGACCACTTGTGATATTTTAAACATCTGGTATTTTTATATAAATTGTTTTGGCTGTATTTAGTTAAAAAAAACAGTAATGCTGTGGGTCCACCAGACCACTGAGTAACAAACACATCAACACCACACAAGGGTTAAAGAAATGGGCTGCAGTCTATCATTTTCTTTAAACGCAGACTAAATTATCTTAACAAAAAAGTGCCTGACTGTGGGCTACAATAGCATCTGAAATGGATGTCTGGCCAGAAACAGCATAGGGGCAAGCTGAGATAGCAGTGAAAGATTCTTACACAACCCATAATGACTATTAGGTTCCTCATAATAAACTGTGACAGGCGCTTGAATGATTGTATCAGACACAGCGGTGATGCTGGGGTTGTTACACACGTCAGTGTCACTGCTAGGTTGATATCCAAAATATCCAGCCCAGAGAGTGGCTCTGTGATCAGAAACTGACCAGTGATGAAAAACAAGAGAACAGCAAAAAATGTATATGGTTTAATATACATAAAATGTATATTAAACCTCAAAAGAACACTTTAAATCAACTTCTGCCCTGTTCCACTTTCTACAGTGTGCAGTGCTGACCTTAGTGTGATGATGTCATAGTTGCCTGTGTGCACCCGTGCCATGAGCGTAGCCAGGTCATTAGCCTCCGAGCCACTGTTTGTCAGGTAAACTACCTGGAACGAGAAAGAGAACACGAACACAATTACAATCAAACACACACCTACACTCAAAAAAAGCAATCTTAGACCAGCTACACAAAGCTCCTATAGCTAATTACCAATGCTCCCTCATCTAAATGTTCATTGGCTCAGTGAAGATGATTATTTTCATTGTCAGTTTAAGTACAGTTTCACTGCTCTGTTTTACTATGCCCACTGAAATATTTTAGATGTAATCTTCACAGGTGTCTAAACCCTAGACAGACTAATACCTGCATACTACATTTCTATAATTAAAATAATTTTCAACAACAGCAGTTTATCCTTTTTAGATTTTCTTTACTGTGATATATTCCTCTGGTCATCATGTTCATTAATCAGGAATGCATTTTTTTACTTTCTGTGATATTCTGACAGAATAACTGGCCAGAGTTTATGAAGGGACCTGTAATAAACCAGATTTCCTGTATCCCAGCCTTTTCCCTCCAAAACTGAATGAAAAAACATATGTTATTTTAGGTAATCATAAGAGTTGGCACCTATAAATCTAAAAATGGACAACACTACACATAAAAAAATCTGGCTTCAACTAGTAGCCACTACTGTTTCTAGCTATGCATCGTCCATGTTTACAGATAACAAGGGGTCATACAGTGTCCGAAACCACATTAACAGGTCAATGTGAGATTACTGAACAAGCAATTTGTGGCAACTGTGTGATGATTAGGACATGGAGTTTGAACGATGCTAACAGGCAGGTGTAAACTTCCATTACTTGTTAGCTACATTAGCCTGGTAGCTCCAGTACAAAACTAAAGACCATATTTATTGTGTTGTAAACCACTTAGTGCAAAACCTACTCTCATGTAAATACAACAAATCTGTCTTATATGCTATGTAAATATGCAAACAGATATACTTCTATTTCTACTCTCATACTTTACTCTAACCTGTGTAATTTTTTGTTGCCGCCTAATTCATGTCTTTTTTTTATTTTTGCCTAATACATGTAATAAGTTCATGTGCAATTATATGTATTGCTACTGTAACACTAATTTCCCTGTGGGATCAATGACGTTCTATCTATCTATCTATCTATCTATCTATCTATCTATCTATTTAAAGATGTAAACTTCAGACACCAAACATGTCTTGGCTGGTTGATAACATTTGGCTAAAAAGGGGAAAATTGTGTTAATCCAATTTTTCACAAGACTATAACTTTAGTGTGAGTGTGGAGTAAAGTCTGTTTGTACCTTTAGTGGTTCAGGCAGGAGGGAGACGAGTTTCTCTGCATATTCCTGAATCTGAGGGTGGATGTAGATGGCCGTGGTGTGCCATAGATGCTTCAGCTGCTTCACCGCTGCTTCATTTACTCTCCTGAAACACACACAATCTTTAGACTAGAGCTCTACACACAAACACTGGTGAAAATTCACTGGGGGACAGAGGGGGACATGTCCTCTCCACTTTTAGACATTGGGAAGGACATAATTTGGGGGCGTCACTGGACAGATTGTCAAAAAAAGGGGCACACAGCTTAGTCGCAAAACAGCTGTCAGATATCAAGCTGTCAATTACAGTTTAAGACTCTAATTAAACCCCAAATATAAAATAGATTATTGTTTTGTTTAGTTATAGCCAGTAACAGCAAAAAGAAAGAAGCAGTAAACTGCTCTGGAGTCATTTTCAACACTTCTTTACTCTGCTATGATTGTTTGTTGGCTTAGGCCATAACAGCTATTACCAGTCCTTCCTTTTTCTTCTGAATTATTATCATATTTATCATTATTGCAGATTTTGCTGCAATATTTATAGTTACATGCAGATAGAAACAAATGCCATTGTAATAGGAAACAAAACTGAATCTCTGTGAACATGCACGATATTATTCCTGTTTTTGTGTTTTGATATATAAAGCAGGAGATATCAATATGGTAAGTGTAACTGCAGGCGTACACAGTTTTACATTTGAATGGCTGGACCGATGGAAGCTTTAGCCTCCTGGAATTCATCTCTCCTGCTTGTCAGACCAAGTTGAACCCCTGTGCACCAGATTAAAAGCTACAACTGAATCAGCTAAAATATGTTTTGTCTGGTTTAACTTCATTAATCACTATATATATAGCACTTTAAGTCACTTAACCCCTTAAAATCCCAGGTTAATTACATACTAATGCTTCTAATTCAGTAACATCAGGGGCCTCAACCAGGTTGAGCTATTCTCAGGTTATGGGAGTGTGTAATACAACTTTGGATCTTGGCCATTTAAGGGGTTAATGAACTCTTGGACAGCGTGCCCATAAAGTCCATTCTGTCTGTTCAAAGGGCCAAATTCTCTATTTGTTGTACCACAAACCAACTTTCCTCATCAGACACATGGAATGAGTTATCATAAAGTACAGAATTAGCTTAAGTTATTTTTTTATTTTATGTTATTACTTCTGTAACCATCTGTAATCGGGTCAATCCTTCCATTCCTAAACCAGACTGTATTTAACCTTACGGGTGGCAGTGTCCGACGCTGACCGTGGCCACCCCGGCGAACAGGTCGAGATAGCGCTTCCCGTCCACGTCCCACAGCCACTGCATGTAGCCCTGATGAATAAACACAGGCCGCCTGTAGTACGTCACCTTCATAGTCATGGGGTGACAGTTCTGCTTCCTGATCTCCAGCAAACGCTCCTTAGACATGCCCTGCAGGAAGCCAAACACAAATATATCATCATTTATTTTTAAACCCAGTAAATAGTAGATTTATACACTAAGGCAGGGACTAGAAACTAGTGATTTATGGAAAACCACTGCGTTGACTACCTGAGTGTTCCTTGTAGTAACTGCATCAAATGATCTTTACACTTCAGCTCAGTGTCCTTATTTAAGACTTAGACAAAAATCCTTAACACCATTTAAAGGCTTTCATGACTCCTGAGGCCACTTACATAAAACATCGTAAATATTTATCCTAAGGTAAATACTTAAGTGAAAAACTGATCTAAACAGAGAGAGGCACTTATATGCATTTAGATAAAAAATATACTTACGTGTTTTATGCGTTTAAAAACTTAAGTGACAAAACTTTGAAACTCTACTTTCACTTGCCAGTTCTGCACAGTGCAAAAAGCGACCCTTCAATTTATTTAATTTCCAGTAAAAATGGACATTAAGTACAAGTTTTCAACTCCTTGCCGTTATTACTGCTTATATTCCTTTTGGGAGGGCTTTCTTTAGTTTTTCAAATAAATCTGGAGGGATATTTTTCCACACCTCCAAAATTCAGTCTTAGAAGTTGGTTGCTTTTTCTGCTTCTCATGATTGAAGTAATCCCAAACATTCAATGATGTTGAACTCTGGTCCAGTTCAACATCATTGAATCTTCTTTATCTGTCTCCTTTTCTCAGTGAGGTTCTTCTTGACAGCTACACAGCCTTTCAGACCCATAGTGCTGAGTCGTCATCTCACAGTGATGGACAGAAACACCTGTGGATGTTTTCAGATCTGAAGCAGCTTGATTTTCTCCTCTCTGTCAAAGATGAAAGCTTTAAGTGCTGTCTATCTGATGGGGGCAGTTTTGGTGTCTACCAGGTCTTCCAGGTGGTTGTTAGGAGTCCTATTTTCTCTGTAGCTTTTAATCATTTTTTTACCTCCAGTTTTGGAAACTCTTGTTTTGTTTTACTTAGTTTCTTTTGACTTATCCTTCCTTATGCATGTGGGTTATCTTATATCTTGTCTCCCTAGAAAAATGAATAACTTGTACTTAATGGGTGTTTTGGCTGGAAATTAAAAAATAATGATGGCTCAGAATTTTTCACAGTACTGTAATTTCCTGAAAACTTAATCCCAATATTCACCTAAGATGTTTTATGCAAGTGGCTACTGGTCTGTAATGGGTTTAAAACCTTTGTCACATATTAGTAAAATAATTCACACTCTTGGTATATAATCGGTTCATAACATATTACACTGATAATACTGTGGCTGCTATTGCTGCACCTGCCACTGCTGCACCTCTCCAGCCTTACCTGGTATGAATCAGGCTTAAAGTCACATGAGGGCATCTGAGATGATGGGTGTTTCACTGCTGTCTTCTGACACATCGCACCTGAGCAGAGACAGATTTACAGTTATCTAATCCAAGCGCAGTGGTCAGGCTCAGTTGTGGCTGTGCTATTATTATCAGCTTAAACTGACTCCTGGTAATCCACTATGCTGTACTCTAAAAGTCTGAACTTTCTGAAATGGTTTCTGACTGTATTTCTCAATCTCAGTGTACAGTTTAGTGTTTATCCTGCCTACCTGACCATAAGCTGAGGACATGAACCAGGTGTGTTAGAGCAAGAAAATACTAAACCAAGCCAGTGTAGTGATACTTCAGCACAGAAGATTCTGATTGATGGACAGACACTGCCTTCAGTAATCTGAGTTGGCCTTATTTGTTGTTGGGTAATTGCAGCCATACATAGCCACACTAAGTACAATATAAGGAATTGGAACCAGTTGGAGTTTATTTAGAGAGACAGCAGGGCAACCAGTAGTCCAATACAAAAGTTAGACAGGAAAACATGAACTAGTTCTCAGCACCTTGTAGGGTTAGCATGCAATTTGTTTTGGATATATTATAAATGTAGTCTTCAAAGTGTAACTGATATGGGTCTCAAATGATAAAGTAGCATCCAGGATTCCACCAGGGTCCTTGCCTGTAGCTTTTAGTTGCACAGAAAAACCATTTAGGTTAAGGATGAAATCTGCAACCTTATTTCAAACAAACAGGAATACTTCTGTTTGATCAGAACTGAGCAGCAGAAAGTTCCCGATCATTTATACTTTTATACAATCTTTTGCTGTCTTTAACATAATCTTTCATTATGTCTTTGTATCATTGAATCTGAGCTGATAGATATAACGATGATTCATTAACAGTTTTATGGAAAAATGTTTGTAAATTACACAACCTAGAAACAGTAAAAAAAAGAAGAGTAAGGGCCCTAAAACAGAGCCATGTGGAACACCATATCATGTTCTTCTATGTTTGTAAAACTTCCCATTTACACTAAGGGTGCTTTCATACCTACCTTGTTTGGTAGGTATGATCCGAGCGTTCTCATTAAGGTCATGCAAGGCATGACCACATATTGGATATGTATCCAATCTAGGACCACATATGAAAGTAGCTCAGATTGGATTTGAAAAGATCAGATTTATGTGTCCATACAGCTCTGAAAACATTAGATGTTTGTCACATTAGGGCAAAAAAATTGGATTTGGTAATGTGAACGCAAATGTGGTAATGTGAATGCAAACTTGTTCTGTAGTTTTTCGTCTATTTCGACAAGTATGAACATCCCACCTGGACTCAGGTGCACACCAAGCAACAGAACTGTGGTCCATCAAGTCTGCTTCCAACTGAACCTTTGTTCAGTTTGCTGATGGTGGGAACATTTTTATGATGGTCCGCACCAAAGGGGCGAATTCAACATCACAGCATGCTTTTCAAGTGCATGTGAGCACTGAACTGTACACTCAACCTGCTCAACTCTAAGATAGAAAAGGAGTGCTGGAAACAGGACGGTTATTAGAGAGATCAGAGAGAGCAAGGTCTGGTTTTCTCAGGAATGGCTTCACAATGGCTAACTTAAAGCACTCCACCATGTCACTACCATGTCAATGTTACTGCTGTGTGGTGGTCTCTTTGGGTAGAGCAGGCCTGATAATTGTGAATCAACAGATAAGTGACTGTCTCTAACTGTAAACCTACATAGTGGGCCTATATGGTGTAGGTACAAGGGCAGGTGTTCCTAAAAAGCTCAGTGGACTGTCTAAATACAGTGTTAGCTAATAGTCCCTTCTGAGCCTGAAGGAGAACTGCCTCTCATACCAGTCAGAGATGATGCAATCCAGCATGCGAGGGGTGAGAACTCATGGTAAGGAGAGACTGTTTTTGCACTGGCCCTAATCCCGTGTTAGCATTACATTAATGTGGTTCAGTTTGCAACACAATAATTTACAGGGTTCTCAGTTACTGCTGAGAATGCCTCGGCTATTCTGAGATATGAGGCTTTGGGAAGTGGGAAATAATTAGTCCAGCTAAGGCATGAAATGTACAAGTCCTCCTGCTGAGCTCAGCTGGTGTGTCATGTGCCTGCGACGCGGGTGAAAGTCTTGAGTTTTGATTGATTGGCCTGATCAGCTTTCACAAGCGTACTGTCTTTTCCTCAAAATTAAGGCAATACATCATTGTCACTGACAGGCCATAAAACTACTAAATAACCAAAAACAGTGACTTTTAAAAAAAAAATTAAAGGAGGCTTCCAGCATAAAATTCCTTCCCACCATGATAAAGAAATCTCGACTGCTAGCATAGCCACATTTAGAAGCTAGCACTTTCAGTTTTTCAAATGTTCTCCCACCTTCAAGACATAGAAAAGGATATTCCTATTACATTTTTAGTCCTAAGTACTTATTAAAGTTATTTAATACTTATCACATCATCACTCTTACAGTGGCCATTTGTGTCCAGCTGGAATTGGAACATTGTAGCTGTTAATCCAACAGTATAAAGGTTCATTTAAATAGTGTGGGTGTTGATTCAGTATTGTAGGTGTTGATCCAACACTGTATAAATTGATTTAACACTGTGGGCTGGCTTCCCAGACACGGATTAAGCCTAGTCATGGACTAAATTTCACTTTGAATAGAACATCTCCATTTAAAGTCCTGTTTAGACCAGGACTACCCTGCTGAAAAAAAAACAAAAAAATCTGAAACCATTATGAGTTTCTGTATGTTCCTGGTGGTTTTTCAATTTGTTTAGCCATTTCTTGATGGGTGGACAAAAAAGGATCCTAATGATTTAACAGGTGACGTTAACAGAGTCCAGCTGCATTTCATGTTTTTCTAATAAGAGCTAACTGTTGGTGTTAATCCAATACTGTAGGTGTTAATCTAACTGTAACACTGTTGGTGTTAAGCCAATACTGTAGTTGTTAATCTAACAGTGTAACACTGTTGGTGTTAATCCAATACTGCCAATACTGTAGGTGTTAATCTAACAGTGTAACACTGTTGGTATTAATCCAATACTGTAGGTGTTAATCTAACAGTGTAACACTGTTGGTATTAATCCAATACTGTAGGTGTTAATCTAACAGTGTAAGTATTAGTGTCAGTGTTAATTCAACACTTAGTGTTAATCCAATACTGTAGGTGTTAATCTAACAGTGTAACACTGTTGCTGTTAATTCAATACGGTAGGCGTTAATCTAACAGTGTAACACTGTTGGTGTTAATTCAATACGGTAGGCGTTAATCTAACAGTGTAACACTGTTGGTGTTAATCCAATACTGCCAATACTGTAGGTGTTAATCTAACAGTGTAACACTGTTGGTATTAATCCAATACTGTAGGTGTTAATCTAACAGTGTAACACTGTTGGTATTAATCCAATACTGTAGGTGTTAATCTAACAGTGTAAGTATAGTGTCAGTGTCAACACTTAGTGTTAATCCAATACTGTAGGTGTTAATCTAACAGAGTAACTGTTAGTGTTAATCCAATACTGTAGGTGTTAATCTAACAGAGTAACACTGTTAGTGTTAATCCAATACTGTAGGTGTTAATCTAACAGAGTAACACTGTTGGTGTTAATCCAATACTGTAGGTGTTAATCTAACAGAGTAACACTGTTAGTGTTAATCCAATACTGTAGGTGTTAATCTAACAGTGTAAGTATTAGTGTAAAGTGTTAATTCAACACTGTTAGTGTTAATCCAATACTGTAGGTGTTAATCTAACAGAGTAACACTGTTGGTGTTAATCCAATACTGTAGGTGTTAATCTAACAGTGTAAGTATTAGTGTAAAGTGTAAAACGTCTTTTTTTAGTGTAAAATTGAACACTGAAGGTGTACGTGTTGGTTTAGCACTGGGGTGTTTACTGTCTAATTTGCAGTTTAACCCTTTTTTCTTGCGCTTTTTTCCCAAATAATGCTGCAAGCCAGTGTCGACCTGCGCACTTCTTCTGTCTAACAACGCTATGATTGGCTTTATCACTCCATTATAACCGTACATGCAAATCAGCGATGACAAGCTGATAAGCTAAACTATGCAAAACGTGGGAAAGTTATTTAGATAAGATCGAGATTCCAAATCACAGTGAAGGGACTGGACACTGAAACACTCACCACTCGGAAGATGGACACTGGCCACACAATCGACTGCTTTCCCGAGAAAATGTGGACGGTGCGTTCGTGAAAGGATGGTATGCATTTTCAGTGTTGCTACACGTTTCTGTAACTTTCAGCAGGAGAGAAACAAACGTCTGTAGACATTGACTGCGTTTGGACAGAGAAAGTCTGGCGCAACAGCTGCTCCAGCACTTTTTCTTTTCCCACCCGTATTCCGGACAAGTCTCGCTGTGATTGGCTAGTAGGATTCCGCCTTCCGCGCCAGGATTGGTTAATAGTTCATGCGCCGCAAAACAGGTGGGGAAAAATTTAAGCTGCTTCAGCCACATTAGCGTTTGCTGAACATGCGGCCTTTTCTGATGAAAAAACCTTCAGATCTGTTTCCTGGCCTTTTTTTTTCTCATTTAGATTAATGTTTGATAGTGCTTGGAAGTCCTTTAAGGACAGCATGTGAGAAGGATTTGTGACTGGTGATCACCTAAATAAAAGCTTTATGAAGGCCTATGCTTTTAAATAAAAAAGTGTAGGCAAGTTATGAATGAATATATTTAGTCTTGAATGAGATGTGACATGTGGGTCTAACCCCTAGAATGTGCTTGTAAAGTATCCCCTTTGGCTGCATTAGGCTGCACTGTACTTGTATTATACTGAAATTCTTATGAATCAATCAATCACTAAATAATTGATTAATTAAATATGCAAAGCATCTCATGGCCTTGGCTTGTAACTCACTCACACTGTAGATGCTTAGTCTTCAACTAACATTCAACCAAATATCTGTGAAATGAAACTGAGCTCGAGGTCGTTTGTGACAGATTCTATTAAATCAGACCCACCAGAAAGTTTCTTATTAATTATTATGAAGTACCGGTAGACCGTCTATAGGGGACTGTCAAAATAACGTGTGAGCTGTTTAGCATGCTGAAGAATTTCCTTAAGGGTAGGGGTGCACTCTTAGCATTCAATTAGCTTTTAGTGCTTCATAAGAATGGTGCTTTGCATCAATGACACCACCTGTCCCAGTTTGTTTTTTTTTTGTATATTTATTTTATCACGCTGTGCCATTCAAAAAATAAATGTTGGATGAGAAAGCATTAAATGATAAGGACGTGTCACACAGCCTGTAAAATAACAAGAGTCAGTGCAGCAACTCCAGTGACTTCAGATTCACTAAAAAAAAGATATATTACATCACGTACAGTGCAATACAGAAAGAGTTTGACCAACATAACATCCATCAGAAGTGACTTTAGAGCGTCTTTAGTGTTGATCTCAGCAAAACGGTTCATCCGAAAGGAGAGAAAAGACAAACGGAGGGAGTTTTAATTCCCAGATGGGTGAAAAAAAAGTTATTTCCAAACGCATCCAGTGAATGAATTTGCACAATTTGGCTGGATTTTAGTCCGAGCAGTCCATGTGTTGGGATAAATCCTATGTCCAAATGCTTCAGAGGTCGTAAACCAAGACCACGATGAAGCTGTCTGCCATTTTGTCACATTGTCTGCTCCTTTACCACAGGTTAATGCCTTAATTGGGCCTTAAATGGGACCCAATGGGCCTGAAGTTTAATTACACACTTCTACAACCGAAGAATAGCTCAACCAGTTTGCATTCAAGTCCCTTAGTTGCTGGATAAGAAGCCTTAGTATGTGAAAGGCCTGGGATTTTAAGGGGTTAAGTAGATCCAAGAGTTAAGAAGATTTTCATGTAGGCTATGCAAATAAATTAAAACTGCATCCACAAATCCATTCTTTGTAAATAGAGAGTAACATAAATTATTCTATGTGCATTCATAACATCTGAAGTACATAGAGATAATAAATATTAAATGTGAGATAAAATGATCAATTTTCATTAATCATAAATTCATTTGAGTGCTTACACCTACATTAATGTTATACATCAGCTTTAGTGTTATATATTAGTAAATACTACATGCATATTTAGTATGCATAGAGTTTTTTTTTACATCTGAATAATATATGATTTGTCTGGCTTATTCTAAATAATCACCAGACATGACTGGTGGCTCTGGTCATTAATGTTGGCTATGGCTCTAAACATAAATATAAACATGTCTGTAGTAAATAACACTTTTTAAAAAATATCTTCTGACAAAACCTTAAACGTAATCTCAGATACTTTATACATACAGTAAGGCAATATCATAGCTGGTCAGAGGAATCAATAATACATCAATAATATAATAATTATGACATACAACAGTTTTCATAGCCAAAAGTTGTGCAAAAAAGCTGTATTTTCAAATTAAAGGATGCATACAGTAGTACTGACAGCTATTTTTGCATACTTGCAGTAAAATCCAGGGCCAGTTTTCCAGCTGACCTGGAAAAACAAGCAAAATTTCTGATTCACAAAGAAAAAGACAGGAAAAACATCTCATCACTGTTGTAACGAAACCTTGTTGTGTCTGCGAAAAGTTAACTTTACAGGAGTCGCAAAACAAATATTCCTAACTTTATTGTAAGGAAAAGTGATTCTGGAGCATTTCTATTGGTCCATTCATTATGAACGTTCACACAATGTAACGGGCAGCTAGGTTTTGTTAAGACAGTGATGATGTACAGTATGTTCTTTCAAAATGTGACAGCGAATGACTGACTGCAGTAAAATCAGAAAATAAAGGAGTGTTATAAAGTTGACACTATGGTTCATCATAGTGCCCACAATCAGTGCTGCCTCAGGGATATTTACAGTATATACATACATTCAAAGTGAGTCTGTCTCCACCTGAGACTTGTGTCTTCAAGGCAAATGTTCTCTAGGGACAATATTTCAAATCAAAGCTTATTCAGTATCTAATACCTTCAGAGCAGCCCTGTGTCCTTGCTGTATACTAATCACTGGGATTTGATGAACACAGTATGCATGGTATTTAGATTATTCACAAGTGCCAAAGCTGAGTACACTAAAAAAAGAAATCAGCACTTTTTTATTTACTTTTCTAATTTTTATATTTCTTCATTGCAAGGTATTTGTTGTCAGGGACGCAATAAAGCGCTTCAGCATTATAAATGTTATGTGGTCCTCTGGAGGTGGATTGAGTAACTGGATCTAGGGATGCACCGATACCCCTCTTACATTTCCGATACAGACACCGATACCTGATCGTTAAGTATTGGCCGATACGGAGTACTGATGTCGATACTGACTCTGTCTAACGTAACTATCTCACAAGTCCTGATATTTATACAAATCCACTTTTTATTTTGGTTAAAGCTGTGTTTTGTGTCACAAATAAGAAATACCAAGCTTGAGTCAATAGCCATTTACTTGTTGGGTTATATATATATATATACTTATATACATATTATATACATAACCAGTTTCAATGCTTAAAAAAAAACAAATCTATTGTTATTTATTCACTATATATAATTTATATGTACTATCACATAAAGTAATAAGAACCATAACAACATATGCCGTGCTTCTCTGGCTTTGCGAAAACAGTGCTGATTGTTGTTTCACGCTCATATGTGTGTCGTACATCTCTGAGCATCAGACTTTGTTCGATTTCGGTAAATATTACAGTCCTTCATATTGTCGGTAACAGCTGTTGACAGTGGATTTCTTAACTTGATGTGATTACCAGGTCACTCTGCGATGCAACTGACTGACACTACTCCGGCTAGTAGTTTGTTATGCTAAAAGCTAGATCAAGGCTAAAGGCTACTGTTACTCCAAGAGGCCGCAATGCCTTACATGAATGTATCTATTGTTCACTTCCTTGAACCTGGACTAACATTGACTCGTGAATTAAAAACTGCTTCATGGTCTTCGTATTCCTTTCACCAATACTGACAATGCAACTAAGTTCAGGGAGGTATCGGTGCAGCCCTAATCACATTGGACCTCTTTTACACCTGTACTTACTTTTTACTTTCCATTTATGACTAGATCACCCAAGACACACGTTAATGTCAGATGTGAACCGGGCCTAAGAGGTTTGTTCCAACTCATATCCAACAAACTTGGATGTAATATTTGCGTCCTTCAGGAGCTGTATTGGGCTGTGCTGGTCTAGACATGTCCAAATCTTTGCATTAGTGCAGTCCTACAAAACTAAACACATAAGAAAGAAGACATTTGGTAGTAGGACATAGGGTGGGCACAACTGCTCGATTAAACTCGATGAAAAAAACATGTACCTTCTTTTGGAATCGGCACTGATCAGTGTGCAATTTGCATTATGATAATGAACATTTTGAATTTGTCAATTGTTCTTTCTTACAGTCAGAAACAGAGCCTGATGAACACAACATCCCCAAAGTATACTTTGGGTCACTGAGTGCATTCCGCATTTTGGCAAAAGTTCTCATATCACAAAATCAGGATGGACAGTAGCACGACAAACACATCCCCTGACTTTTAAACGATGAAGAGTATTTGGCTTCATAAGAAATCATTACACTAACTGTAACTGTGCCATGATGCTAATTACATTTCTGAGAGTATTACATGGCGCATAGTGCATTGTCAGTGATCTGACTTGAGGTATGAAATGACTGACCATAAGACTGTAGGCTGTAATTTCACATGTGTGAATGCACCATGTAGACTTCATCCTGCTTCAGATCAGTAAGAGTTTGCGGCAGAAAATGGGTTTTACTTGTTTGTTGGCTCAAACAAACATAAGGTTTGTGCTGGTGTGCTAGAATAGACAGAATTACCCTTAATCTTAATGTTTTAGTACATACTTAAAATGGTGCTAAATGTTGGGGGTACATTCCAATTTGCCTCCCAAATGGATTCAAACATGGTTCTTCACTGTCCATGGAAACATGGCGAGCTATAATGGCAAGATACAATATTTTAAATACAGCAGGCAGCGAACAAAACACAGTCAGTTACAACTACGACAGTTAAAATCCAGTGCCTTCTGAACCTTTGCATGCCATGGCAGTGATCCAGTGCCTTATAACAATAATGTCTCGGTTTGAATCCACTGCTTGGTTAAGTGCCTCAGAGCTATGTATTTTCAATCCTTGAGAGTTTTCCAGAATGAATCATCAATGAATTTCACTCCAGTTTTACACCAGCTGAGTCTTATTGTGCAATACAGGTGAAATTAAGACTATGGTTAAGGGATTAGATCCATACCTCGATGGGACGTACAAGTTCCTACGTGACAGCAAAGACATTTTCCCCTTAAAGAAAAGGCAGAGAAACCAAAAAGAGCTTTTACTTTTTCCCTTCTGTCTTAAAAGTATGTTAGAAACAGTGATTAGTTCACAAACAGCAACTTCCTTCTGTAGATTTAGAACTACAACATGCAACACAAAGCATAGAAAGGACTTCAGTAGTGCTTCACCGCTTCATTTCCTCTGTGTACCCCATACATAGCAGATAAAAGGAGAGCTAAGAAAAGGAGTGTGTACCGTTAATTTCCGAAACGGTAGTCACCTAAAATCTCTTGCTAATAGAGTCTTTAGAGCCACTGAGGAAAGAGAACTAATGCTTTGTAAGAGCTTAAGAGGAGGTCATCACTTTCAGACAAACGTCTCTGGCTGGGATTCTGTTTCAGTGTCTCATTTCGTCCCCTTTTACATCGTCCTCAATCCTGGTCTTGGTGTCCTCTGTCCTGACATGTTCTAGCATACCTGATCCAGGTGATCAGCTCGTGAGCAAACCCTTCCTGAGCTACTGTTGATGTCTTACAGCAGGCAAGTGACAATGGCACCCCAAGACCAAGCCTGGGCCATAGCAGCATTCCGACAGTTGTTAGCTGTTAGCTGTTAGGACATCATCATAGTTGAATCCACATAGCCGTTCCCAGCCAACCTCATGCCATCCTGGAGCATGGGAGAAGGAAGATGAAGATGGACGTTGGGTTTGCAGGTTTGTTCCTCCTGTTGCAGCTGCATAAAGCAGGGGTCAACCTGTCCACTTTGGTCCTGGCAATAATCCCCCACATACTGTGGTCCACTCAAATCTCTCTGCAGCAGCAGAACGTTATCAGAGGTCACATCTCGGACTTTGCTGTAGTCTTCCCCGGCAAAGTCTGACAGTTCTGGGTCATGCGATTCGGGATTCGATAGAGGTCTGAGAAGCAGGACATTCTCTGGGTTGACTGTCTGCACCTCTACGTATTCAGCAGATTGGGACTGGGGCACCTGTGCTACGTGCTTGTGCTCAATGCTATCCATGCTGTGCATCTGAGTGTACTGGTAGAAATCAGGCTTGCTGAAATGGTTCTGCTGACCACAAGATGAATGAACAGGTGGAGATCTGCAGGAAATTTCCGGTACACTGTGGTAGGAAGCTCTGGTGCCTCCTGGCTGCTGTTGCTGGAAATGGTGTGGCTGAGGAGACGAGAACACAGGAGGCCATGTCTGGACCTTCCCGTCCTCCTGCCCTGGAGAGGCAGGGTTGTCCCTGCCCTCACCACTGTCAGAAGAAGCCCAGCTGGACTCTCCGAACTGGCTGAGCTCCTGCTCCGTTCCACTCTCCTCCGCACCCTCTGCACACTTCTCCATCAACAGTGTGCGGCTGTCGCAGCTGCCCCGGCCAGAGTCGTTGTCTGAAGACGTGCTCTTGGACTTCAGCGAGCCCTTGGGCAGGTTCTTCCCGTTCAGAACCAGCTCCTGCTTCTCGTCATCATAAACCTCCAGATACTCCACCAGCAGGTCCTCGTAGTTGGTGGTTGGGGGGAAACCCTGGATCACCAATGCGTTAAACATCTCTTCAGACTTTCCGCTCTGTGGTCAAAAGAGGACGAGTAAAGAGTAATTAGCCAATGGTAAAAGCAAAAGCAACAGTAATTAGTCAATCTTAAAGCATTAGTCAGTTTTAAAAGATTGTATAATGGGAATCAACAAGTCACAAAAGCACATATAACAGTATTTAGTCAAATACTCACTGTTTGTGTTCACAGACAAAGATTTTTGTCATTCCGATTGAATACATTCCGATTTCAGACTAAGACTGAGGTGTTTATATGCTCACTCTACTTAATGGAAAACCTCTGTTTACATGCGCACTACAAGTAATCAGATCCAAAATTACGTGCAGGTGTAGAGAACCACTTAGTGTAGACGTTACCCTGCCAACGAGCATCATGTGAGTCCAGTCAGAGTGAGACGAGCAGCAGTGAGCAGTGCTTGTGTTTTTAATGACTTTAAAATGATGTCAGACTCAGGAAAACGTCCTTCACATGTCCTTATTAAAGAAGGGCGAGAGGAAGACGTCGTGTTCTGAGACACATAAGATGGACGTCCGTCCCACCGCCGTCTTTTAAAGATCAGAGCATAAACTTCGTCTCCTCTGCAGACCAGTTTCTGCTCCGCCATGTTGAATGATATAAACTTTCTCTATGACGTGACGCACATAAGAACGTACTTAAACTTTCCGATTGGGAATGTAATCAGATACAGGCGTTTACACGACTATTATTCTTCTGTTTAACAGATTATTTACAGGATTACCCAGCTTGTTCAATCAGATAGAAATTGCATTCCGAATGGCCTCAATCGGACTAGTCTATTCCTATTGAGGTGTTTACATGGATATATTCTATTCCGACTGAGCTATTAGTCGGATTATTAATGGATTATCAGGCTGCATGTAAACGTGGCTATTAATCAGTCAGGTGACTGGACAAGTCCGCTTGTGATTTAAATGATTTGATAATCTGAAATACTAAACGTCTTCACTGGCAACAGTAAATGCTTATTACTTAAAGCATGTATAACAGTTATCAACCCTGCTACTCTAATACACACGCAGAAGTTTGGATGCCCTTTTCAAATGACATGTTTTGTTTTCTAAGTGGAATTAAGTTACACATCCTCTACAGAGACACAGTTCTGCAGACTTTAATCCTCGTTTACTGTTTATGTGCTGAATTTCACATATTGCAAAAAAATAAAACACATAATGGATCCTGTGCAAAAGTTAAGGGACAGTTTAAATTAAAATTTTATTTTTTTCATATAGAAATAAAATTTGCAAAAATATGTACTTAAGCTAGTTCACTCTAAAGGAAGTGATAATATTTTTCATTCAGAAAAAACACAAAACATGTAATTTGACCATGGGTATTCAAACTTTTGCAAACAACTGTATTTTTCCTGCCCTGTGTTGGACTGGTGACCTGTCCAGGGTGTTTCCTGTCTTCCGCCCAATGGTTGCTGGGATAGGCTCAAATACAAATACATCTTCATTCTAATACGTCAACTAAGACAATTAAGCTTTTTTAATGAAGTTGGACAAAATGTGTGTGAAAATGATCATTGCTCTGTATTGATTATGGATCTGTATTACCTTGAGCAGCTGTTGGTCAAAGCCTCTGATCTTTGGTCCAGGAACAGGAGGCAGCAGAAAGTGTTTCACACTAAACATAAAAACGAAGAAGACCGAATTATAGTGAATTATGGTTCCAACTGTTACAGTATGCAACACTGTAATAAATAAATTTGTCTAAGTGTAAAAAAGTAAGTAACTTGGTTGCCTTAAAATTTTGAGTTCTCTGAACTTCAAATAATAAGTTAACAGAATATAAAACACAGAATGTTTTGTTAACTTACTGATAGAAGTTTGACTCAACATTTTAAGGCAACCAGGTTACTTACTTTTAAGGTTAAATCATGGAATCATTTTTACAGCATACATTTGTGTTAATATTTTAATTTTAAAGAACACACATGGTTTTTTTAGGCTTTGGTTCTTTGTTCAGTAAAACCAAATTTAAATTACAATTAAAAGCCAATTTGCATCCCAAATTCAAAACCTATTAATGATATGTGTTCAGTTTGTCCACATTTATCTTGTTCAGCTCTTTTTGGTCTCAAGATGACCAAAACTCTACTTTAGAATATGGAACACATCTTGAAATATCAGTGATTTGTTAAACTCTTTTTAGCCATAATGCATTAAAACTCCAGAAGTCACTTGATGCTACCTAGATCTTACAGGAATGAAATGTTGCCAATTATGAGTTTAAAGCATTATATAAAATATAAAAGTGCCATCACTTTTATGTTTGCATAAAAATATGCACACAATTTAAAAAATATAACTTTGAAATTTGCAGTAATTTTGAAGCAAATTATATTTACAATGATTTACGGTAATGTTTAAAACTCTGCTGCTAGTAAATTACTATAAAGTGTAAAGTGTTGGTATGTGACTGTAAACTACTGCACCACTCTAAATACCCTATCTTTTACAGTATGATCCTGTGAAATAACAAACTGGTATAATAAATATAGTAAATTTACAGTAATTTTTTTTTTTTTACAAAATTTGACTTTTGCACAAGACTGTATTCATAATTATTGTTTTAGAAATGTAAAGCAATTGTAGTGTAAACATAAATCAATAAAATGCTTTTGTGTGTGGGGGGGGGGGGGATTCTCAAACAATGGGGCAGATGGAGAGAAAATTTGAATATGTCTGCCCTAGAGGCATACCTGACTGAGGACGGTGGAGAGGTATGAAAGTTACGTTTCTAGGAAACTCTCATGGAGGAATGATCAGAAAAAGATAAACATCTCAGACACACCTGCTCCGCTTAACGTTCATCGTCCAGGCGAAGATGAGGAGGATGAAGGCTGCGAAAACTGTCATCATGATCCATATGGAGCGCTCCCTGGGCCTGACTATGAGACAGAGCAATGAGCACGTCAGTAGGATTATGTAAAATTTCACAGTGTGACAGTTTAGAAGGGGTGTTTCGGTTATGCTGATGTTGACAGCTGTTTACGGTTGCTTTGCAGTGGTGGAGCTGATGGTGGTGTTATCAGTTCATCTACTGTGTCCTTCTCCATCCACCACTTTCTATATCACACACCGTACGCCATACGTTTGTTTTCCTTCTCGGCAAAAACGGGCCTTAAAACTGCACTGTATGTGTGCCGTTGTCAGGGGGGTCTCCCACGGGTGCGGCGTTTGGCATTAAGCTCCAGGGTGACTAAAGCCTGATGCTTTTATTAAAGGTGGAAGACAAACAGCTCTGGCTACAGGCTTGATAAGATTAATGTATATAAAAACAACACAATAAAAGAAATTCTACCAGGTGAAAAGTCTTATGACCCCCCCCCCCCAAAACACACACTTTCTGGAAGTTGTATGTCAATTTATATGTGAAAAGTTTCAAAATGAGTAATTATTATGACCAAGTAATTACCTGTTTTCTCAATATTTTGAACTAGTATGTCAAAAAAATTACTTTTTTCCAATATTTTGATCTAGTATATCGCAAGAATGACCTATTTTCTTAATATTTTGAACTAGTATGTTGAGAAAACAACTTATTTTCTCAATATTTTGAACTAGTATGTGGGAAAAATGACATTATCTCAATATTTTGATCTAGTATGTCTCTTGACTGCCCTGCCATGGACTGGCGACCTGTCCAGGGTGTATCCTGCCTTCCGCCCAATGACAGCTGGGATAGGCTCCAGCACCCCACCGTGACCCAGAAGGATAAGCGGTTTAGATGATGTATGTATATGTATGTATGTCACTTGACTTAAAGGGGAATTCCACCAATTTGTCAAAATTTCTACATAATTCAGTCATGGAGAAGCAAACAAAGTCATTCAGAGTGTTTCGAAGTGAAATAATTTACTGTTGAGAAAGTTACTGATTTGTTTACAGTGGTGGTGAATGGAACCAGGCGCTGTGTTCTCAGCAATACAAATGTAGGCATTTTACTTACTATACAAAACCACCAGTGAACCTACATGTGTCCTCGTTTTTATATGTGTTTATGTGTAACACTGTTAATGGTAAAAGAGTTCTGACAAATTTAAACCTGAAATAATAGGGTTTCATTGGAACTGTTTTGCCTTACAGCACCCTGCATCTACCTCTCTGTTATGAGTATGTTTTAAAAATATGTTTTAGGCCAAAATCTTATCGAAACTATCATTAAACAGTGTTTCAAGCACCAGACAGTGTATTCATAACCATTTCATGTTAGAAATTTAGGGGGAAATTTAAAAATTTAGAAAGTTAGGGGGCTTTTAGAGGCTTTACACTCTTCAGATGTCTGGTTCCTTTCACCACCACTGTGAAGAATTCTGACTTCTGACTTGGTAAATTTCTGTAGAATGGAGCATTTCACGTCAAACTATGCCAAGAAAATGAGCCATTATTTCCACTATTTGTTTAAACTTGCTATATAATCAAGGAAAACATGGATAGGAAACATGGACTGCTGCCAGAAACAGAGGGGAAACAACAATTCTGAATATTTCATTTACTTGTGCAGAAATCCTTTCGCATTGAAAAAGGACAAGCAAATCAGGCCTATACGGCACTGGTCATATGTTAATTACCAACGTTCGTCATCTGCATGAAAGTTCTTAGTAGACACTCAGGAGTGTGTGATCTGACTTACAGTCAGGCATTTGGATGTAGGCTGGAGTGGTCCATTCACTCCAGAAGCCGTGGTCCGGTTTACATCGAACCTGCACCATGTACTCTTTACCAGAATGAAGGCTGAAGACGTTGTAGTACTTCTGCATGCCAGCATCGTACTCCTGTACAAACACACAGCACAATATCTCAGAATAAATTCCTCAACAGGATCATGCTGTGTAATGTTTTGAGGTACTTTTATATTACATTTTTATATGACCTCTCTTTATCCCTTAAAACAAAATAGGCTGCTTTTGAAACTGTCCGTTAACCTCTGATATATGTAAATGACCTCTGTTCTCATTGGCTGTCCTTTATTGTGCCTCAATCAGAAACTTGAGGCTGAAACACCCTTTATAACTTCAGTGAGAATGGGCGGAGCTAAACTGCTCTAGGCTGAATAGGCGGATATCTGTAAATGTGTTGCTTTTTTCGACGTCGATGGGCTGTTTTTACGTATGTGAATTGTATTAACTGGGGTCTTTACTTCACAGAAGTAACTGGAGTCTGGATTTAAGCTACTCCACATGCCTTCACTACTGTTGCAAGGAAGCACGAGCTTTACAGAACCCAGTTTTTTGATTGAGGCTACAATTCACACAATGCTAATTGATGGGCTATAATCTTCTACAATTACTGCATTAGCCTGGCTTCAGGGCAAAAACTAAAGAAGCAAACATAAGACACCAAATATGTCTTGACTGACTGATTACATTTGGGGTGAGTGGAGAAACTGTAAACTTGATTTTACCAAACTATTTATATAACTATTTATTTTTTATATCATTATCCCTCCTCCACCAAACTTTACAGTTGGTACAATGCAGTCAGGCAGGTAAGGTTCTCCTGGCATTCACCAAACCCAGACTCGTCTATCAGACAGTCAGATAGAGAAGTGTGATTTGTCACTACACAGAATATGTGTCCACTGCTCCAGAGTCCAGTGGCATTGTACACCCCTACATCCCGTGCTCCAAATACGTAGTTCTTTTGCTGAAGTCACTTCCAGAGGCGATTTGGAATTCTTCAGTGAGCATAGTTACTGTGCACTTCAGCACTCGCCAGCCCCACTCTGTGAGTTTGCGTGGTCTACTGCTTCGTGGCTGAGCTGTTGTTCCTAGATTCTTCCATTTCACAATAACAGCACTTACAGTTGACAGGGGCAGATCTAGCAGGACAGAAACTTCACAAACTGACCTGTGGCGGAGGTGGCGTCCTATGCCATATTTAAAGTCGCTGAGCTCACCAGTGTGACCAATTCTACTGCCAGTGTTTGTCTATCAAAACTGCAAGGCTATGTGCTTAATTTGATCCACCTATTAGCATTGAATGTGGCTGAAACACTTGAACTCAATAATTAGGAGGGGTGGCCCAATACTTTTGTCTATATAGTGTATATGGGACACATACGGGGACACATATAAAAAGCTATTATTTCATTATTGCATTGAACTGGCAAAACATTCTCATGCATATTTAGAAAGGTTTAGTTAAAATAGGCATAAGCAGCTTTTTAAAGTATCCCAAAATACCTGAATGTACCCCAATAATTCACTTAGTCACTTAGCTATCAAGCTTTTTTCCCTTCTTTTTTCATTTAGACTTGTCCTACATGCATACTTTGTATGCACTGAGTCTTGGTGAGCATCTGGATAGTGTTTCTCAAGAATGTTCTTCTTCTGTTTGGATCTTCAGGCTTCTAAATGGCTGGTTCACGATTCCTCTGATTGTCTTCATCCGTCTTGTAGCTGATTGTCCTTTTTCTCTTTTACTTTCAACTGTTCTAAGCACAATTTTCTTTTCCAGTGAAATGGTTCTTTTCAGAATAAGCCTAAAAAATAGCTTCAGTTTGGGGCTTTGAGTGAGAGGAAAGGCTTGATTTGGTTGAGAATCCATTTGTCTGTATTCCTTGCCACATAAGATATTGTTATTATGACTGATAGCTCATCCAGTGAGATCTTACCAAATGATACTGAAGCTGTGAAAAATAATTTTATTCAGAAATTAAGGCTGATAAATCTTGCTAAACAGTTGTAGCACTAACAGCGTAACACTGACGTCTGTTCTGTTCTGTTTTTCGTCATTCAGGGTTATTGTTTTACTAAAGGGCAGTCATACTGCAGCCTTTCTGCCATTAAAAACACGGTCTTAGGTCAACTATCTGCCCCTCCAGCATCCCTTTGGCTGATTGCCTGCTCTGGACAGGCAGAGGTCAGTCAATAATTGGCATGGCCGCAAGTTGGTCATGTTTTGGCAGTTTTATCTTTGCACCAAGAAACAGACCATGGAGTCATAGAGTATTAAAAGATTTTATGTTAAAAAAACATTACAAGCTCATTATGAATGAGTCAGCCAGAATAATGACATTCCAGGTCAGTGATCAACATCCAGTACCGTAACCATGCTTTGTTGTTTGTAAAGCAGGTTTTTTTAAAAAAGATGTCTGGTAAAAATGCTAAAAAATGGCTAAAATGAATTCTCAGATCTGATTCTCAGTTCTCAATTGTTAAATTTTAATGAACAGAAAAAACTGTTAAAGAATAAGAAAAAAATACATTAAAGCAAAGTGTTAAATGCTAAAGAACATAGCAGCACTTCCAGATGACAGCTCTACATTTGTCTCCATTCTTCATTCAGTAAACATCTGACACAAACTAAAGAAGAGAAAACTTTCTAAGACCGTGAGGAAGAACCAGTGAGAGGAACCAACACTCAGTAAGAGAGACTCTGAGAGCACGAGGACGAACCACTTAGAGCAGGGGTGTCAAACTCACCCATTAAAGGGGCCATTTTAAAAAATCGCAACAAATATGTGGCCCAGAGAACACTTATGTTTTCGTTTCATTTTAAATAACATTTTGCGGGCCTTGTGTTTGACCTCTCCTCTCATCAATCAGCACAATGTTAGCCAATGTGGGTGTATTGGCAGTTAGTGCATGTTAATCTGTCCAATGATGTTGTGCTAAATAAACGAAAAAACTTACTAACATGAGGATGAAACACTGAAAGGACCCAAGACTTAACAGAGAGAACTATCTATAGGACTTGCTTGGCAGGTTCTCGCTCCCTCTCTTTCCCTCTCTGTGTTTTTTCTGGGTACTCACCTCCCAGTTCTCCTCTTTGACCTGTTTGACTCGTAGCTGGTAGACGAGTGTGATCCAGCCAGAACGAGTGTCTGCTGACCGTGGTTTGTCCCAGGAGACGCGCAGGTACGGGCCATGATCGTCCTCCAGCACCGAAACCATCACACTCTCTGGAGTGTTGGGCTGGACTGCAGGACGAGAGGAGAGAAAGGTGACTGTTATTACTGAATAAGTTCTTCAACTTTACATTATTAATTAAATGGGCACATCCAGTGGCCAGTTAATCAGAAACCCCTCCCTTGTTGCTCCACCTTGCTGGTGCACAGTTAGAGACTGTAGCTCATATGTTGATGGATGGTTTGTGTTAGCTATTCTCTAGGTCTTCATCAGTGGCCAGTTTCTGACCACAGAGCTGCTGCTGACTGGATATTTTTGGGTGGTGGTCCACTCTCCACCTAGCACTGACAATGAAGTGTGTAAAAACCCAGCAACACAACAACAGTACACACTCTACCATGTCAGTGTCACTGCTGTGTGTAGAGTGATCCACTGTGGAAGTACATGGTAGGTGTTTTGTAATAAAGTGGTCAGTGAGTGGCTGTAAAAGGTTGGTGTTTCCAATGTAGTAAAATAGTGAACAAATGTCCATTGTTCTTGTTCTTTAAGGAGACTAAAAAATATGCTAATATTGTTATACTGTATTATTATTTTATATTTGTATTTTATTTATTGCTATTAGTATTTTTAACTGTTTTTTTATGTGGCATTATTGATATTTTTAATAATCTTATTATTATAATTACAAATAATGTAGGATTATAGAAAACTTTACATAAAGTTCACTCACCTTTTTTAAATTGTGATGTGATTGTCATGACATAGGTAATAATGTAGTAATAATATAGTTATTATATAGTTATGACACTCAAAGTCATTGATGTTTTAGTAATACACTGACAACTCAGCACCTAAAATGAAAAGAAACTGCTGAATGTTTGCACACGGCAGAGCTAACGTGCTAGATAAACATTGTTTAAAGTCAAGTCAAGAAACAGACATCTAGATCATCTGTCTGATTTCTGTTCAAAAATTCCAAAAACATCCCTAAGAAACCGTGAGGACTTCTGGGAAAAACTCAGAAGGACTGAGTTACCAACAACATAATTTGCATAAAAAAGCAGTTTGGGGCTGCTGGAGCCAGATTAGAACAGTTAACACACACACACACACACACACACCCACACACATGCACACACACATACACACGCACACACACATACACACGTGCACACACACATGCACCCACACACATGCACACACACACACACACACACACACATACACATGCATGCACAGAGGGGAAAATCTGCCCAGTCCAAAATTTCATACAACATCATCTAAAATGGTTCCTTTACAGTAGAGGGCAAAAAGCTACCAACATTTAATGTAAGTTATTACAACAAGGTCTTATTACAACTAATTGTAGAGCATTTCTATCAGTCCATTCATCATGAAATGTTAACATAAAGTTTACATGTTGTAAAATATATATATATTTTATCTATACATCGCTGTTGTTGGAACAAAACCTCCACGAGGATAACTTTACGGGAGAAGGAGAAAACCCTCTTTAATTTTAATGTAAGTCAGTGGAACCAGAATTTTTCACAAATCATTTTTGGCCATTTCTTTTGGTTCATTCATCATGAAGTTTATACACAATATAAAGAGCAACAGGCATTTTCAAATGATGTCCAACACTGAAGAACGCCAAAAACAGAGATACGAGGTTTTGTTCCGACAGCAGCAACATATATATAAGCACTCCTCACAATGTAATTTTTAGTACAGCAAGCCGAGTCACTTTCCTTGACAACACTTGACCACTCTGGAGGAGCACCGCTACAACACAGGCAGGTTTATGCACAACAAAGGGGAAGTGTATGCAAAGCTGTAGGCCATTTCTGAGCCATGCCAACAATCTGATTGGTCGACACTCAGCTCATTTAACATAAAATTTATCCATGATGAGAGAGAGCAGAGTGAGCTGGCTGTTTATCAGTGGAGTGATGTATCAGTTATTAATGCATTTCGTCGTCTTTCGCCACATCATTGCATATTATCCTACATTGCTGTAAGTTATCAAAAACAAAAAGAAAGAAAGAAATTCAAACGGATCAAAAGGCAAGCCATTTTGCATGACATCACAGTTTACTCACACACACACACACACACACACACACACACACAAACACACACATTTTCTAAATCGCTTATCCTTCTGGTTCACGGGGGGGTGTGGGAGCTTATCCCAGTTGTCATTGGGCGAAAGGCAGGAAACACCCTGGACAGGTCGCCAGTCCATCGCAGGGCATCACACTTTACAGTTGTATCTTAAAATTTCAATTTAAAACATTTTCCTGCGTCCTTGTTTTTGTGCTACAGCCTCTCTTTAGGTTGAATGGGAAAAAGCTACCGCTTTAGCTGATGAGTTTGTGGGCAGAACATGGACAGGCCAATTCTTCAAGAAAATAACATAGTTAAGAGAGCGAGGAACTGTGTGAACTCATTACGACCCTCAGAGTTCAGGAACACAGAAAGAACTGATATGCATGATTCAGGGTGGATAACAACATTGGCTGGTGTTTGTGTTGTGAACAGGGGAAATGAGTTCATTCAAATTCATCTCCTCTCCTGCTGTGGGAGCAGACAGGTGGCACAGAGCTTTAATCACCGCATCAGTCACTCAGTCAGTCCACGCTAATCAACACCGCAGCAGACAGCATCAGCCAGACATCAGCATAGAGGGAGAGGGCTTATAAAATAAACGAGTCTATGGGGGTGGAAATGATGTTTCCCTATTATACGGACATGAGGGACAGACACAGGGCTCAAACCAATTCACCTAACCATGCCCCGCCCACAGAATGCATTGTTTCATAGCAACTGTTGCCAGGTCAAACAAAAGTTTTAATCCCATGAAACCTAATGGGAAATTAACCTGTCCATGCTCTGCCCACAAATAGCTGATGTCCAGGTTCTGTTTACCAGATTTAGATGGATTTGCACTTTCCTGACTGGTTTTAATGACTGGTTTAAGATACTCATATTTCTACTCATATTTCTAAATTTTTTTCCCCCTTTCCACTTATAATGTATGGTGGTTTCATGCATCAAAAGCTGTTATTCTTTTTTGCATGACTGTTTTCTGACCTCTCTTTATCTCAGAAATAAACAGGCTGTTTTTGTTACTGTGCCATTTTGAACTGACATGTCAATGTAAATAAGCTCTGTTCTGATTGGCTGCCCTGTATTGTGCCTCATAAATACCCCTTATAACCTCAGTGAGAATGGGCAGGGCTGAACTGCTGTAATCTGAACAGATGGACATACGTAGACCCAATCCCATTTTTACCACTACCCCTTGTTTTTGAGTGTCACTTTGCCCCTTGGAACTGAGTTACAAGGGGTAGTGGTTGAAATCATCCCCAACAAAATGGGACAACCCCTCAAGAACCCTACACATCATTATATATTATCCAGAGCCACTTACAATTTGATTTACACAGGTAGGTGAAGGTAGTGTTAGGAGTCTTGCCCAAGGACTCTTATTGGTGTAGTGTAGGGCCCTTGCCTGAGCAGAGATTGAACTGCAGTCAGAGGTGTTACCCACTACACTATACCAGCATCAGGTTATCTGCAGCAAATTGGAGAAATGTTAGAAAACGACGATGTCTTTAATGCATGGGAATGCTGGTGGATTGGTTTGCAGTATGTGGGATAGACTGCAAACAAGTTTTGTTGTAGTTAGCCTAGCTACACAACATGCTAGCTAGCGTGTGTCATGTTAGTGAGTTTGGATTCCTTTAACGTTTGATGGACCCATTTATGATACACACATAATATGTTTATTGATTTGTGTGTTGATTTCTCAACTTTCAAAGTTTTATTTGTCACACACATAGTCATACACGATACAACTAGCAGTCTCACAGCACTCCGTTTGGAGTGTGCCTCTGAAAAAACTCCTTTTGGAGGGCGATGTAGACCCTGGCACTTCGCCCTACACCTTTATTCTAACAATAATCGGGACACCCTACGCCAAGGAAAGAAACGGAGGGGTAGGACTAAGTGGTAAGGGGCAAGGAGTGGAATAGGACCTTAAAACAGGCTGTTTCTTTCTGAGCTTGTTTTATATGAACTTCATGGACTGGGGCCTTTACCTTAATGACGTGACTGAAATTTGGGTTTAAGCTACTCCACACACCTTGGCTGCTGTTGTGAGGAGGCACAAGCTTCACAGAACCCAGTTTTTGGTTCTAGATATCAACACCTTTAAAGGCCTGGGCCTGCCACTGGGCCTAAAGTTTTATGACACACTTCAATAACCCAAAAACAGCTCAACCAGTTTGCACTGAAGTCTTTGTAGTTACTGAATAATAAGACTTAGTATTTAAACAGCATGGGATTTTAAGGATTAAGCCAATGAAGGACATAATCCTTATAAATTACCTTGTAAATACTTGACGTAACAAGGTAGTAGGTGCAGCTCACACTAATTTAAAATGTAACGTCATATGTTAAGGCAGGAAAGTGAATCAGAAACACATCCAGGTACCAGGTAAGTTATATGGCATGCAATGAGAGCACAAAATTTTCCGAAATAAATGACAAGAATTCAGTAAAACCATAGTGGAAACTTCGCTTTTTTTTACAATCCAGATTCAGTTTCTTTGACAGATAATAGGCAGGGATATACCATGTAAGACTCTTTGTTTGTCTGCAGTCTTTTCACATCTAATCAGTATTTTTCCCCAAAATAACTGCACATTCCTATGGAGTATGTACCACATTCTGGCCCGGTTAATAGCTAGAACGTAAGGGACTGTAAAAGAGAGTGTTACCAAAACACATACATTCAATGCTTTATTCATTTCAAATGATGTTCCTTTTTAAATGCATATGAAAGATCATGCTGTTGTTGTTTAATCTCTCCATGCCTCAGAGTTACAGCAAGCATCTGTTTATAAAGCCATTGGCATATCGGTTCTTTATTGTTATTTAAAATTTCCACTTCGCTTCACAGTGAATTCCTTTAAAATGAAAGGAATTTCACATATGAAAATTTGCTGGGCTATTAGAAATAAACAGGCTGTTGCTGTTACTGCACCATAAAGGCTGATATGTGTAAAGGATTCTGATTGGCTGCTCTGTGCTATACCACATTCAAAAACTCAGGCTAAAACATGTCTTATAACTTTAGAGTGATTATTATGGCATTATAAAGGGTCAAGAAAGTACATAGTGCAGAAATCTTGCACCGAACCTTACAATTATCTAAGTATCCGTCTGTGTTTAGCAGCATCATAAACAAATAGTGTATTGGAACAAAGCTTTCTCTCAGTTTTTGTTGTTTTACATCAGTTGAAAAAGTCAGCTTAGCAGGTTTACACAGCATGCTAATGCTTCTTAATGGGTGCCATGATGCTTAACAGCCTAAAACTGCACTTTTATGAATGTGAATTGCAACTCGGAAGGACATGTAAATGGACTTTTTCCACTTGAATATCCCAAATGTCCCCGTTCCCACTTGGTCATGAAAGCAGTAGAGCTAAGCAAGGTGGCAACCCGGTGAACGTTGTTTGAATGTTACATGTTGTTCTATAAACCTGTCTGGCTCATGGTGGATGCACTGTTAATGAATTATTCAGTAACTAAAGTGAAGTCAGTATGTATGTTATGTAGATATGAGACTGTTGAAGATGTTGTAATTTAAGGGTTTGGATAAGACAGTGGAAAAGGATGGCTGCACTGCTCACCTATATAAACCACGTCCACCTCTACTGGCTCTGAAACACTTCTGCCCAAGGCGTTAGTGGCGACCACTGAGATGTTGTAGTTGACCCACAGCGATGTGTCGTTCTTGCTGAAGAAGCAGGAGTTTTCACCTGCTGTTTTATAATCTGGACACTCGTACACCGCCTCCGAACTGCAAGAAGAGCAACACACACAGTCTCAGTGAGCTGGGGTCAGGCCAACAAAAGAGTCAATGCTATGTTGAACGTTATCATTTCTGGGCTGGTAGTCTTTAGTTAGGGATTATCAGTTATAGTTTGAAGTTACATTGGTGGTGGATCATTCTCAGCAGTGCTGCTGGAGTTTTTAAACACCTCAGTGTCACTGCTGGACTGAGAATAGTCCACCAACCAAAAACATCCAGCCAACAGCGTCCTGTGGGCAGCGTCCTGTGACCACTGATGAAGGACTAGAGGATGACCAACACAAACTGTGCAGCAGCAGATGACTTTACATCTACAAGGTGGACTGACAAGGTAGGAGTGTCTAATAGAGTGGACAGTGAGTGGACACAGTGTTTAAAAACTCCAGCAGCACTGCTGTGTCTGATCCACTTGTACCAGCACAGCACACACTAACACACCACCACCACATCAGTGTTACTGCAGTGCTGACAAAGTATGCAGAGAAACAGATGGGCTACAGTCTGTAACTGTAGAACTACAAAGTGCACCTGTATAGTAAGTGGAGCTGATAAAATGGACAATGAGCATAGAAACAAGGAGGTGGTCATAATGTTACGCCTGATCGGTGTATGTACACATACAGACTGTAGTCCATTTGTTGCTCTGATTACTTTGTTACCCCCCTGTTCTTCAATGGTCAGGCATCCACAAGACCACCACAGAGCAGGTATTACTTGGGTGGTAGGTCATTCTCAGCACTGCAGTGACACTGTGGTGCGTTAGTGTGTGTTGCGCTGGCATGAGTGGATCAGACACAGAAGTGCTGCTGGAGCCCTTGGCCAAATGCATGTTTTTGTTGGTTCTAAGTAAAGCAAGTTACACACCCTCTTCCTGAATTTCAGATATTGAGTAAAAAGAAAATATGGTCTGTGCAAAATGTATGACACATTTTATACGTTAAAGCTCTGTTTGGAGCCTTGTGGCCAATAAAAAAGTGTGTAAAATCTGACAGCTCAGCAAAACACACCTGTACAGATGACAAACGACTCACATGATCTGTTTACTGTAACAACCCCAATGACTTTTCACTTCACACAAACCATTTCCACTGATTTGAATGATGGAGTGCTTAGGAGATTTTAGGAGGGGAAAAGAGAGTTACTGTAGCCTATTCTAAACAGCAACAGGGTTATCACAGTACACACAACATAACACAGAAAAAGGAAAGTGGTAGAGACCAAAAGAAAGTCTGTGTCACAAAACACAGACAGACACTTAAACATTCACCACACCTGAAAAAGAGAAAGAATAAGAAAAGTGGAGTGATAGAGACACCCCCTCTCTTTAGGTCCTAAAGCAAATGACCAGCCCTTGTTTGGTGTCTGAAATGTGCTTCTTTAGTTTTGTGCTGGAACTATGAGCTAACGTAGTAAACAAGTAATGTAAACTCATGTACACGTATTAGCATCATGCAAACGGCAGGCCTAAGTTATTTGTTTGTTAAATGATCTCAAACAGACTTGCTTATGTGGTTTCTGACACCCTATGATACTATTATCTAGAAACATAGACATAACCAGAGCTTTTTCTAATTATGAGTAGTTATTTAGGACCTTCAAGCCACCCAGGACCCCAGAAATAAGTATAACTCATTATTTTGCATTATTTGAAATATATTTCATTCATTTTATTTGTATATCAAAGTTCTTGTTCATACTTATTTACTGTTTAAAGCCGAACATATTTTTAAGCTTTCATGGCTTGCTTTAGCTTACATTAGCCCCCCATCTCCAGTGCAAAACCAAACATTTGGGGCAGTGGAGTGGGGGGGCTTTACGTAAATTTTAACTGAATTTACTGAATTCAGCTGGAAGGTGAAGAAGTGAAGAACAATACAAACAGGCAGGTCTCCTCACCCCTCAAGGCGGTAGTAGAGGGCATAGGTGGTGGGAAGACTCCCATTATCTCCAGGCTCCCACCAGCAGGTAAACGTTTCTTTCTCAGGCGAACGGCAGCTGATGACCCTCGGCCGGCCGGGAGGACTGGAACCTGCAGAGGAGGAGGAGGGTCAGCTTAGAACAGTTCAGCTTAGTAGGGTGGACTGCACAGTATTTGACCCCACACATCACGTCTATCACACCTATAACATCTATCACACTTATCTTACTTATCACAGCTCTTACACTTGTATCTGTCACATTGATGCATAGTGTTATTTCTGAGGGACAGGTAGAGTGGGAATGTCTTACTTGGATGGATGGAAGGATGGATGGACGGATGGATGGATGGATGGATGTGGCCTGTAGGGAATGTTTTAATATATATATGACTCATAATAAAATCTATAAAAAATATTCTCATACTCAAAATAAAATAATGCTGATTACATCTGTCAATACATTTCTTTGTATGTATGTATGTATATTATTATTATTATTATTATTATTATTATTTAACCCTGCTGGTGTCTCTGTTTACCGTCTGCTGGGGACAGTAAGATGAAGAAGACGCTGAGGGTCAGTAGTGGCATTGTTCCAGAGTCAAACCACCTCATGCCTGAGTCCTTCAAAGACGTCCTGCAGAGACAGATAAGAGAGGAAGAGGCTCAATAACAGTGTAAAACAAATTTTTCATTCACTTCATTTCACAGCTTTTTGAAGTTAACTCAGCTTAACCACCAGTGGGCTGCCCAGAAAACACTGAGCAAAAAGCCAGTGGGCCGCCAGCTTGGCTGTCAGTGGGCCGACAGTGGCCCGCTGTCCTCTTGCTATCTGGGTTAGGGAGCATTCCTTGCCACTGTCACCCTTGGCGACGGTCACTGAGGCTCAGACCTCATGTGCTCATGTGCTGACATTACATTACAGTCAGTTTTGGCTTTGGTCAGTTCTTCCTTCAGTTTGAATTTTTGCACAAAATAAAAAAAGAAAAAACCAAAATACTTTGTTAACTTACATTTTGAAACACTAAATGTCCCTAAACTTTTGGCAAGCAGTGTAAACGAAATCAATTTCCCTTTTTTTATTTCTAGGTCTAATGACTAATGACTAACTACTTTGATTTATAAGTCTAATGAAAAGAGTTTTCACTTAATGTATGAGCCTAATATGACATATTTTATGAAATACTGAAAATGAAACAGCAGTGTGACACTAAACAGTAGTCTGCTAAACAGTTACCAAACACCGCACTGTAAGAGGAAGGACTCAGGTAAAGTGAGTGGAACATAAAAGTCACTGTTTTGTTGCACTTTATAAAAACACAAAACAGTCTGTTGAAGTGGTTTTAACACAGGTCTGTAAAGCATCTGGCAGTTTAACTGCACTGGGTCATCAAAACGCTGAATATTGGCGGCTTTCTCATGAGAACAAACCACTGTTGAACAGAATACAGGCTGCAGTGGGACAGATTTTACAATGGCCAAACACACGGGAGAATAAAAAGTTCAGCTGTACTGCCTGTCAAAGTTTTCTTCTTTTGAAGAAAAGCAACGACATGTTCAACAAAAATTGTTTTATGGAAAATGTTGTTACAGCTGTATAACCGGCCTTACTTGTCTGTTTCACTGTTCCCTGTCATGAGTGTCCTGTCGGCATACATGTGCTGCAGACATACTCATGGAAAGATAATAATAATAATAATAATAATAATAAAAATAATGTTTATTTCTACAGCACTTTTCATGCTGGTGGCAGTTCAAAGTGCTTTACAGACAGGTGATAAAGCTTAACAGTAATAAAAGAAATTATGTATTAATTACTAAAGAGTAGTAAGAGTAGAGTATTAAATAGAGTACTAATTTAAAATCATACAAAGATGATTAAATTAAAAGGGTGGATATCAAGAGATGTACAGTTTTAATTAAACACTGAGTTAGAGATACGATTTTAGATGCTTCTTAAAAGTGAGCAGTGAACCTGACTGTCTAATAAAAGGTGAACTGAGTTCCACAGTTTAAAAGCAGAATAACTGAACGAGTCTCTCCGTGTTTTCTGTATTTTATGGATGGTATCTGCAGATCTAAGATCACGTGTTGGAACATAAACAGACATTTTATGATGTAAGTGGTGCTTTTACATCATTTAGAGCTTTACTAGTAGCAGAACTTTGAAATCTATCCTGAACAATACAGGTACACACATAAAAAAGAGGGTTCTTCAAAGGCTATTTAGTAAAGAAAATGGTTCTAGATAGAACCATGAACACTTAAAGAACCCTTTGCATGATTAAAGGTTCTTTGCATTGCTGAAGGGCTCTTCAGGTTGACAGAAATTGTGTTTTATATGATTCTGTACGGATTTTTTTTTCAAAGTGTTCTGCATAGCACAACAAATGGTTCTTCTATTCTTACAGGCTTGACATCGTAACAATAAAAGAACACTTTTGGTGTTATATAGAACCCTTTTCAAAAACGTTTTATATAGAACCATCTACAGCACATTCTCCATCGATCTGCAGAATGCTTTAGCGATGCAAAAACCTTTTAATCATGTAAAGGGTTCTTTACCTGTGAATGGTTCTATATAGAACATTTTTGAAAAGAGTTCCATATTGCACCACAAATGGTTCTTCTATTGTTACAGGCTTGACATCATAACAATAGAGCCCCTTTTTGGTGCTATATAGAGCCATCTACTGCACAGTATCCGTCAATCTGAAGAACACTTTAATGAGGCAAAAAACCAAAGGGTTCTTTTGAGTGGACCTGGTTCTACATAGAATCATTTTCTTTACTAAAGAACCCTTGAAGAACCATCTTATTTGAGAGTGCAGCCAGTGCCTTTCCCTCAATACAGGAGTGTTCTAATCTCTCTTTTTAGTCTTTGTTAGGATGCAGGCTGCTGTAGAGGATGGATTCAAGCGAGTTACTAGACATGCTACATTATTCAAGCAAGTTCAAAAACTGTGGCCAAGTGACTTAATCTGACAGATTATTTAGCACCATCAAAGCAGTCGTTTTCTATTTCTTCATTGTCATCACTGTTGGACGGTTTGCTTCTCTCAGTCACGGATTTGCTGTTTTCTATGAATAGGATGCCAAAATGTTATAATTGAGGGATTTGACTGAAAACTTGGCTTTTAATTCTCTGCAATTGGGATCTGAATGAAATGGTGAGTCTCATTTGATTCATTTTTATAGCCCTACAAACCTGGCAAATCCCAATACCCCCTCATTCCAGTCTTTTGCCTAGAGTAATGGGCTCCAGTGTGATTCCACCCCCCTCGACACACCCACCCTCCAGACCCCCAGTATTTCACCTCTGCTTGTTGACACATTGATCTCTAGTCATCTGCATAATGCTGAACAACCTTTCAAGAGACTGCAGACTGCTACTCTAAGCATGGAGGTTACATTATATTTAACATCAAATAACTCAAAATAATTGAAATAACGTCTGTGTTTATTGCTAAATGATTGTGAGGCTCACTTAATTTTGTATATCAGTGCAGTGCAGCGAATGTACAGCACCGGAGTGAGTCATTTCCTCTTTCAATCAGACATTGTGGCAAATCCATGCGAAGTTGATGTACAGTGAGTGTGAACTTGTGATTGGTCAATCATTAATCAGACTTCTGTCGGCGGCAGTGAGGCGGTTTCTCAAGCAGCCCAGGGTCAAACGGCCAAGCTTATTGTGAGGATTTCAATGAAGAGCTTTATTTGAATGAACCAAATGAACCTTTGCTCTGCTGCGAGCTCCAGGTTTGGCCGCACAGGCCCTTATTAGCAGCTCTAGGAGTGTGGCCTTCACTCACTTACATAACATCTGCAGCTCAGGCCCATGGAAACAACACTGACTTTCATTTAAAAGAAAAATGATAGATTCTGATTAAAATTACAGTTCATAAAATAGAACGGGAGGAAGCATAAACTATGCTGGTGGAAATCCCTTTTTAAATCAAATTTTACTATAGTGTACCTGGAGTCAGATAAGAGAAATGACAATGCGTTATGCAGAATGAGCATTCATTATGCAGAAAATGAAATGTGCAAAGAAACAAGACTAAACAGCAAACCCTCACCAGCATGTTCACTAGTAAGATGTGCAACAGCAGGGAGTCAACATTTTTCTTTATTTAAATTTGGTTCAAAATATTGTCAGAATATTTGTTCTGGATCCCAGGATCAAGAATCAGATCATATCGTCAGCCAAGTGTGGGCCTCTAACAGACCGACAGATGAATAAATGGACAGACAGGTAGTTGGAGAGATACACAGACAAGGAGGTTTATCTGAGTTTACTGTATTAAAATGTGGCCCGCAGAATAATATCTGGGTTTACTGTAGAATAATATGTGGGTTTACTGTAGAATAATATCTGGGTTTACTGTAGTAGACTATAGCTGTAGAATAATATCTGGGTTTACTGTAGAATAATATCTGGGTTTACTGTAGTAGACTATAGCCATAGAATAATATCTGGGTTTACTGTAGAATAATATCTGGGTTTACTGTAGTAGACTATAGCTGTAGAATAATATCTGGGTTTACTGTAGAATAATATCTGGGTTTACTGTAGTAGACTATAGCTATAGAATAATATCTGGGTTTACTGTAGAATAATATCTGGGTTTACTGTAGAATAATAACTGGGTTTACTGTAGAATAATATCTGTGTTTACTGTAGTAGACTATAGCTGTAGAATAATATCTGGGTTTACTGTAGAATAATATCTGGGTTTACTGTAGTAGACTATAGCCATAGAATAATAACTGGGTTTATTGTAGAATAATATCTGGGTTTACTGTAGAATAATAACTGGGTTTACTGTAGAATGATATCTGGGTTTACTGTAGTAGACTATAGCTGTACGATAATGTATGTGTTTACTGTGATTTATTATATCTGTGTTTACTGCAGTAGACTATGCTTGTAAATTAATAATATCTGGGTTTACTGTGATATATTATGTCTGGGTTTACTGTAGTAGACTGTAGCTGCAGAATAATACCTGTGTTTACTGTAGAATAATCCATGGGCTTCATAAGCCTGCATGAAAGTGAAAGAGCTGTTTGCCGTCTCTTATCTGACTCTGCTGTGTTTTCAACTGCAAACTAATTGCTACACTCTGCCCTCATCACCCTTATCTGACTCACTGTGGAGTTTTAAAATTACACTCAGTGTGTTATAGGAACAGCTTCTGAGCTGCTGCTGTAAAAATACTGCTGATCACCTTTCAGAGTGAGAAAATATGATCATCTCTCATCACTTCAGACCAAACACATTTTATATGCCTCACTATTTTCCAGGCAGACCAGCTGATCTGTTATTTTTCATGCTGATTCAGACCCTTTGACTGAGTTTCATATTAACTGCTACTGCATGATGCAAGAGTTTTTACAATACTCTAAACTCTGTACTTTACTTTCTACAGAAAAATAGAGAGAATAAAAGAAAGAACCAGAGACCAGAACCAGAGAGAGAGCAACAGAATGAGTGATAGAGAGTAAGAAATTGATAGTGAGAGTGATAGAACGAGAGAGAGAAAGTGATAGAAAAACAGAGAGATGTACACATAGACAGACAGGCAGAGGGAGTCAAAGAGAAAGAGAGAGAGAGGGACAGAGAGAGAGAGAGAG